CTCGTGCGACCGCGACCGACGAAGGTTCTCCGACCGCCGCCGACGAAACTTCTCCAACCGCTGACCCAAATCCGACCGGCACTCCGACGTCCGACCTCGCTGACCCAGTCCGACCCCAAACCGCCGGCCGACTTCAAGTTTTCAACCCTAGATTTCTATTTTAAGGTATATTTTATGTTATTCCTTTTTTTCACATAGTTTCGCAAAAGATATAATAGAAGAGTTGATGTTTGTATTAGTCAAACCCTACATGCCTAGATTTGCTTTCATGTAATATCTCAAATGCCGGCGGTTTTAAAAAAATACGACGACTAACTAAATCGCCGGCAAACCGTCGGTCAAATAGCCGGCGGCGTCACAGCCGGAAAACCGCCGGCATAAAATCCGGTTGAAACCGGCGGTCGGAACCGACGGAAAACCGCCAGTGATAGTTTCCTACGCGATTTTTTCCGGCGGCACAAAACCCGCCGTAAAGCCGCCGGTAGTTAAAAAAAACCACCGGAAAAAATCGCCGAATTTCGGCGTTTTTCCTGTAGTGGTTTGTATAAGGACAAACAGAATCTATATGTCCAATTCTCCCACATTTGTAACAAAAAGATGATAGATTTTCATATTCAAACTTTAGAAAAAATCTACCATTAAGGACTTCCACCCAAATACCATAAGGGAGTTTAGAATTCAAATTTACCTGAATGCAAGCTCTAGCGAATTCCCTTCTTCCCCATCTAGAAGCAATTCTAGTGATATTGGATTCATCTCAGCAATGTAAGGGCAAATGAGGAAGACGAACCCAAATCGGAGAAGAAATCCCATCCAATGAATTAGGAGAAAAGGTAGGAGACCATTTATCTAATCCTACGACGAAGCCCCCTACAAACCAAGGACCTCCGTTAAGAACTTCCTCCATGGCTTCATGAGACTGAAATGAACAAAGGAGCCAATCTAAACCAAGCATTGTAATATGAAATCCTCCATATTTCATCCATTGCTTTCTTAATTCCATTGAACACTTAGAAACAGGAAACTTTTTCCTAAGAATTTAACAACCAATGAATTGCTCAAAACTTGAACATTAGATTTTTTCTTTTCTATGTCAAGTTTGACAAACATTTGCATCTTCAATATCATCATGCATACCACTAAATTTTATTTTAATGTGAGGTTTTTTGATCCACACATTAGAACTTTCCAAACTTGAAGAAGTAATTGGATTTTTGATATTAACATTACCTTTGTTAATATCATTATCCTTCTTCAATATTTCAGCAAAACTGCATCCTGATGATGAAGCCTCCTTATCATATGTTCCAGAGATGAAAGCCGACAATTTTGGCTTATCTTTCAAGAATGAAATGACTTCTTTCCCTTTGTCTGAAATCGACAAAGGCTTATGATTTGGAATTGAACCTCCCTCTTTGATAACTAGAGGAGATTCCAAAATTCGAAATGGGGAGATGCGTTTAAAGGAGAATCTATCTCTTGAATCCAACATAATTGGACTTGCGGTAGATAGCAAAGTTTTGGTGTTCCGGTCATCCTTAGATGACCGGCCACCTTCTTCCATCTCCAACAATGGCACCCAAAATCTTCAATTTCTTCTTAGAAATTCTTCCTAATTTTGTGGAGCTTCTCTCTCTTCACTCTTGAACCGTGGAAAGCATAGTTTTTTTGAGAATGTTACTAAAGTGAACATCAAATCTAGTAAAATTTTTTGTACTAAAAAGCTGTTTTAAGAAGCAGAATGAAAGCCGTCCCAAACGAAGCCTAAATTTCATTCTTGATACTACTAGTGAGAAAATTATTCCTTACATCCATTTGAAATAATGCCAAAGGGAATTAAGTACTTTCACATAAACACTCGTATGAAAGAAGAGCAACACGGGAAGCTTTTATGAAAATCAATGTCTTATTCCCATATGAAGGCTAAATCAATAAGGCGGGTTATGATGTTCACAATAGCCATTCGAATTTTAGGAGGGAAATTAGTCTAATTAAGCCGTGATTTTGAATTCAAATGCATAGGAGGCTTTAATTCCAATTAATGACCCTTAATTAGGCTCTAAATAGGTTGATATGACCTATTAATGACTTTATTTGACCAAGTCAACTTTTGACTTGGTCAAATCAGTCAATTAGGCCAAGGGAGTCCAAGGATTGAGCCAAGAAAAAGGTTGCATATGATTTAGGCTCTAAAAGGGCTTAATGGGTCAAATTGGTCAACCCTGGTTGACTTGGTCAACCGGGTTGACTCAGGGTCCAAGCTCGGGCTCGACAGGCTCGACTCGACTCACTGAACCCAGTGGAGGGGGTTTCGAGGTCTGGCTTGGTCAATTTGACCAAGTCAACTCTCCAAGCCCAGTTCTGGGCAAAATCGAGGTCAACACCCATATATGGAGTAATCATTAAAACTAAAAAGTAACTGGCATCGCTATGTTAGTGCAAGTATTATATTCAACTTTAGCTTTAAAAGGAACAACCCTAAACTATTTTTTACTCCTTTGAGAAATTAAGAATATTCCTCAGAGAAAGTTAACATAATGATCAATTTCTAGCCCATAGGGTCGCCAACCTTTTAATGTAAGAGTGAACATTAATAATAAGTGGATATTGGGAAAAATAATGAAGACCATAATGCAATAAACCTAATACATCATAATATAGAATGTGAGGATAATGTAGAAAGTAATTAATATAATATACTCCATATATAATATAAGTCATGTAATAGTCACATATATCAATCCCACGACTAATTGTTGAGGCGAGCATCCTATAAGTGGACACGAGATGATCTTGTGGGTTTATGGGAGTGCATGTTGCCTTCAAATTGATGATACTTGTAAAAGCATGAAGATAAGAGACACACTTGATTTATGTGAGAAAATAATCAAAAGTGGTAAAGGAGATGTAAGGAGAAAGAAAATAATGTAAATGACTCCAATCTTTTATTTTAAAGTTCGGTGGGATATGGCTTTTAAAAGTAGAGATATCATCATTGTGTCTATTAACTTAAAATAATAAAGATATAACTCATAAAAGTGCGATGAACAAATAGGGAGGAACTCTAAGAAATGTAAAAGTGCTTTCTTTAGTTCATAAATAGCTCATCATGCTTGAGAATGTTACTCAATAGAACATCAAATCTATGCGGTGGTTGTATATAAGGCTTTGTTTGTGACGATTTTCTTTTTGCTTCTTAAAACAATTTTCTAGTACAAAAATTAATTTTTTTTTACTAAAAAGCTACTGTAAGAGTGGTTGTATATAAGGCTTTGTTTGTGACGATTTTCTTTTTGCTTCTTAAAACAATTTTCTAGTACAAAAATTAATTTTTTTTTACTAAAAAGCTACTGTAAGAAGCAAAAAAAAAAAAAAAGTCATCCCAAACGAATTCTAAATCTCATTTTTGTACTACTGGTGAGGAAATAATTCCTTGTATCCATTTAAAATAATCCCAAAGTGAATTGAGTACTTTCACATCAACACGGGAAGCTTTTATGAAAATCAATGTCTTATTTCCATATGAAGGTTAAATCAATAAGGCGGGTTTATGATGTTCACAATAGCCATTCGAATGAGTTTTGATTTTTTATAGACATGTTTGTAATCAACGACTTTTTTTTTATAATTAATCAATTAAATCTTATATATTTGTTTGTCGTAAGGTATCTAGTTATTATTGAATAGTCTATTGTTAACGAAGAAGCTAATCTAGTTATGTTCCATCGTAATGAAGTTGATGAGTGAGAATCAAAACCAAATGATCAAAGTCTCTCATGTTGTCTAACACAATATCATAGACTATAAATGCGAACTCCTCTACTCACACCTTGCCAACTATGATATTCATTAGAGATTATGATTGAATTTAATCTACCTAGAATTATGGCTAAACATGCACACATATAAATATATATTTATAGAACAAAAGAATAATAAAAGAAAACATAATTAAAATGTTCATAGAGAGAATCTAAACATATATAATAACAAGGTTTGTAGATTGATTCGAACATCCATAAATTTTAATTATATCTCTTATAATTTCTATTTTTCTCCTATTGAATTTTATATTTAAGAAAATAGAGTACTTTCTAATCTTTATAATTATGTGCTCCATCACTCCGTGTATAAGGCTATAAAAGTTAATAATTCTCATAATTATGATGATTGCAATCATATATAAAATTAGTTATAAAATAATTATTAGAAAAAAAAGTAAAAAAAAATTAAATATTATATTCTATTTTTTTTAATTAAACTAAAATTTTCTTAAAATATCGTTATCTAATTTTTTATCTTATTGATTAGAAGCTTCTACTCCCATCACCAAATTCATAAATGTAAAGATTTTATAGTTTAGCCAATATGTGTGCATAAATTTAAGGCTAAAATTTGCTAAAAAACCCTTCCAAAAATACCATATTGCAACAAATCTCTTCATGAAACATCATGAAAATATTTTTCCTCACATTTTTTTGAGAAAAAAAAAAACTAAACAAAAATATATAAAAAAAATGGGGGAAACTCACCGAAAAAACCAAATCCATTACTTCAGTTGCTATTAAGGAACTTTATTTGGTCCGGTCACCCTGATTTAGCACCTGACGTAGCTCTAAGTTCAGACGTTAGTAAAATAGTGTCACGTGTTCTCATTATTTACCGCGCGGCCCGACAACCCCGGAACAGAGACGGGATTGCTATGTTCGCGTGTTGCTAGCTATTGCTCGGTATTTGCTCAGTATTGGTCGATTTTCCTCGGCAATAACGAGAAATAGCATTCTGTATTGGTCTTCACAGAGTGATATTTTCATTATTGCCAAACAATACCTAGAGCAATACTCAAACATAACAATCCCGACGGGTCAAGTCGTCGGGCCGATATTGAATAAGAACACGTGGCGACATGTTATTGACATCCGAACATAAAGTAGAGCTATGAAGCAGAGCTAATCACCATCCATTGGAACTAACGAGGAGAAGAAAGAAGAGCGTCACTTACCTCCGCGTCTCTATATATAAACCCAGCTGTCGATTGCAAAGAACGCAAGAGTTTTGAAGTTTCGAGGGTCCACTGGCCGCATCGTTAAGGTTTCGTATTCTCTAGGGTTTTCTACTTTTCTTCGCTTCGTCTCCGATCTACATTCGACAACAGACAGAATCGAAATCAAGGTCGGGATAGGACGAGGTACTTTTCGTTTGTTTTTCTGCTGGCATAAGCTTGTTTAGTTTCTTTTTTTAATTAATTTACTTTTGAGGCTGAGGTTGAGGATTTCATCTGCTTTGAAATGTTTGTTTGAGAAGAAGGGCGATCCGATCAAAACGATGTAGGTGCTTCGGGTTGGTTTTGAGAGAAGTAGGGATTGGTGATGGTATGGTATATTGGTGGATTGGATTGCTTTCATTCCTTTTTGTCTTGGATTTTTCTTTTTATATGGGAGTCGGAAGTTTATGGCGGCATTTGAATGTTGTTGGAGGTAAAGCTAGCTCTGTGGGCTTTATTCTTCTTTCAGTTGGCCTGGGATTGTTTATTTTATGTTTCGGCGTACTTTTGAAGACGTTGTTCGGGATTTATTATGTTTTGATATGTTCCTTGTAGAAGGGGATCTGACTGAAACGCACTTGGTGCCCTGTTTTCCTTAGGGAGAGATTCGGGTTGGCATGTTAAATGGTTAGATTAGATTGCTGGAATCTCTTTCTGAGATTTTGTATAGTTTGGAGCAGAGATTTCTTGTGGTATTGGAGCGAGTTTTGTGTCACGTTGGTAAAGCTAGATGTGTGACCGTTGGATTATTAGCTTCTTTGTGGTTTATGTGGGTTTCTGTATTCAGCTTATTCTGGTGATATGGCTATTATTGGAAAGATTTTGTGAGGAAATTTTTGGTTGAGGGGGATTGGAGTTTTCAGGGAATTTTATTGCATAGTTGTTCATTTTAAGTCGTTGTTTGATGTTGAATTGTTGTTGATTTTAGCCTTTCTTACATGGACAATGAGTTTGGTGGCCTGTTTAAGTTCTTTGTGATGTAGCAATTAGAGCATAAGAATTAATGATGAATATACAAAATGTTGCAGTAAGGAAGCCAAGGCACTATATGGCAAGATCCTTGTTAATAGGTCCAAATCATACAAAAACCATAGGGTTACGAATTTTATTTCTTGGATTGTTCACAATATCTTTGTCATTTTTTATGGCACAGAAAACTTCTTCCTTCGGCCATCCTCTCAAGGACTATCTTTAGATAGGCCAATAGATGCTATCATGACTAACATTGAGTAGTAGTGATGTTTAGTTGAAGAGCAATAAGAGGGAATCTATTCCCTGACGAGCAAAGTGGGGAAGGCATGAGCAAGCGGCTAGTTCCCTAGCTCCCTTCAACCTGATTGAAACTATTATTTTCGTGATCAGATCATGCAAAGGGTCGAGTGACCCACATTTTTTAGTCGTTTGTGTTCCACTAAGAACCATTATAGTTCAACAGGAAACCTCTTGGGTTGAGGTGCTTAAGGACCATATGGACAGGGAAGCCAAGATGGCCAAGATTGAATAATGCAGCCTATTATTGTAGAATTTTGATCTGAATTGCATCACATTGAATCCAACCTTTGCACTCCCATTTTTGAGCATCCCAAAATCTTTTATTGAGCTACTAATGAAAGGATGTGACTTGAAAATCATGCAATGGATATATAAGGGTTACCCCTGGCATTATGCTCTTATGGATCAAGTTGTGGTGGTGATGCTTCTGACACAAATTTTTCAGAAGTTGGCTCAATATGATGGGAAGCAATGTTGAGGTGGACACCTACCATGAACTTGGTTTTCCACCAAGAGGTAAAATTGGTGATTCGGAAGAATCTCCTAATTATTCTGTTTATTGTGAAATACCAAGGCAAGGGTTTTCATCCGACCAGACTTAGAGATTATCTGCTTTTCAGCAAGAGTTGAAGGATGGTAATGGGCAACTCCGAGAGGACTTGCAATGAGCAGAAGTTGAAAATATGACCCTCTCACAAGAGCTAATAGATAAAAGGATGTTGTAGGCAGGAGCCAAGGGTTGAGCCTAATTATTTTAAGAGCAACTCTTGAAAATGTAAGTTGAGTCCACCTCAATCGGTTAGCCAAGAGGCAATGTTCGTTGTGTACCTATGCTTTGACATCTAGTATAATTGCAATCTCAAGGAAACACTCCATGATTCAACATTCTTTGTAATGTTTTGCAGCATTTGGGATTGTTCTGCTTGAAATCATTGAAAATTTGCATTACAAGGATTTGATTGGATGAAGTTGACAAGCAATACCTCCTAAATTAGACATTTTTTTCTTGTGATTGGAGTGAAGTTCTGTATACATTCAACAAAAAAATAATGTTTATGTTAACATAATGAATGAAAAATTGTACCGTCTATTTTCTTTCATGATAGAATTTTCTTAGTTTGAATTGATTACTATTGGGAGAGATTTTATTGACTTTCTTAAAGTCCGCGTACAGTCTCTACTTTCCATTTTCTTCATCATCGTATTGGATACTCGTTTAGGGTACCTGGTTTCTTGATGAGTCCGACAATGGTCAATTTATCCACTTGCTCCTAGACTACATGCTAAATTTAGCTTGAGTGGTTGCATTCCTTAATCAAATTGCTTTGTTATCCTATTGAACATGGAACATATGACTTGTGATACCCAGGCTAACAGCATACGTCGAAGGGCTCCCAAGAAAAGATGTAAACATATTGGTATTTACCATGTCAGCTGCACTTATGCAGAGGTGGTGCACCTATATTCTCAAATTTAGTTGACTAGAATTTCCCTTGCTTCATAATCCGCATGGTTGTCATTCTTTATCTCTAGATGTTTGCTTTGACAAGTCAAATGATGTGCTCCTTCACAATGTCAAAATAGCTTCTTGCAAAGATCACCAACTCCCCCTCACATCATTGTAATGTTATCTGGTGTGGATAACTTTATAGGCATAGGATTGTTGTTAGAGATTTCTTTGCAATGTTTGAATAATGAGTCTGAAAACCCATTATAAGGGCCACTTAGGTGATGGCCTGTTTGTAGGTTGTCACTTTTAAGTTGCTTAAGTGAAGTAGACAATATAATCCCTGATCGACTCTCTCTAACCTTGTTGGACGTTATGCAATTTTTGGGTTCCGTGGCAAATAGGTTGCATAATTTATTAAAAGTTGAGATGCTGCAAGCTAGAAGACGAGTCAACCACCTTCGCGCCACATTCTTAATTGTGGTAGTAAAGACCCCCTTCTGCAAATTTTCAATGTCCTATGCAAAAGACATTTCATCATCAAAGTTGCCTAAGTGCTCTATGGAGCAACTCTAGACCTGTCAATATTGGACCCGACCCGAAAACCCGACCCGAAACCGACCAGGAATTTTCGGGTTTGGGTTGACCCGAACCCGAAGCGGGTCGGGTTCGGGTCCGGAAAACCGACCCGTTTGCAAAAACTGGGGTCGGGTTCGGGTTGACCCGACGGGTTGTCGGGTCAACCCAAAAACCCGTTTAATTTTAAAAAAAATGGATTCCCGCGTCGTGAGTTGAGTCCCGAGGACGGCGTTGCTGGCTCGCTTTACCCGCACTCGTCTCGAGCTCACGTCCCGCAGCGTGTTCGCGTCGAGTGTCGCACAAAATAAAATAATATTTGTTAATTTAAAAACTCCTCATAACAGTCTCTGCTCCCGCGATTTCCAATGCATCCAGGCGGAAAAGGACCTCTTCATGACTTCATACAAAGTGTCATTTACATAAAACCCCTCATCTTTTCCTTTTTTAATTGAAAAAAAAATTACACAGAATAACTAAAGTTTTTTATGTAAAGAAAATGGGTTTGTTTGTAAATATGAAAAGGCAAAAGGGGCGGAACGCAGAATTTGCGCAGTAAAATCCCTGCACCTTCGGTCCTTCACTACCCCCTCCCATGTGCCTGTCGCTAGTGCAAGACAGATGTGGGGCTCACATGGAAGATTTCTTCCTGGAATACCCAAAAAAATATTTTCAAAATTGTAATGTTATCTGGTGTGGATAACTTTATAGGCATAGGATTGTTGTTAGAGATTTCTTGGCAATGCTTGAATAATGAGTCTGAAAACCCATTATAAGGGCCAGTTAGGTGATGGTCTTCTTGTAGGTTGTCACTTTTAAGTTGCTCAAGTGAAGTAGACAATATAATCCCTGATCGACTCTCTCTAACCTTGTTGGACGTTATGTAATTTTTGGGTTCCCTGGCAAATAGGCTGCATAATTTATTAAAAGTTGAGATGCTGCAAGCTAGAAGACGAGTCAACCACCTTCGCGCCACATTCTTAATTGTGGTAGTAAAGACCACCTTCTGCAAATTTTCAATGTCCAATGCCAAAGACATTTCATCATCAAAGTTGCCCAAGTGCTCTATGGAGCAACTCAATCCCATATACTAGTTGAGCACACGTGCCTTGAGCTTCACCAATGCCTCTTCTAGGATTTTCCAACAAAAAGGGTAGGAGCCAATCACAGGTTTGGAAAAAAAATGTTAGAAAGAGGGATTCTCCATCAGGTAGTTTCTCTTCACTTGACAATCGAAGAAGCATATATGATTGATGTGTTATAAACCTCATTAGCGACATTCTGAGTTGGATTTGAAGGAGCGACAACATTCGGAGGCAAAGATGAAGGAGCTATAAAATCACTTGTCGTGGTTGGAGTTAGGGTCCCAAAAAGTTTTGGAAATTGTTACATTTTAGTGTAATCTTTGGCTAGCTATTAAGAGCCCTCGCCTCCATTATCAGTAAGAGGCATTGGAGATGACATTATTGACAAAAGGTCTACCATAACATAGGTGTTCTTTCATTTAGTTTTTGGCTTTTCTTGAGATTAGTCAATGAGAGAACTCAGATGTTAACAGTGGAAAATGGCCAAGAGGATGAACAAGCATAATTTAATCTAAAGTTCATTGTGGAAGAGGGAAAACTAGTAAGAAGATAGGAGACAAAAGGTCATGAAGCAAGTTTACTTCTTAATGGAAGGTTAGTCCTAGGCAAGAGAAAAGAGTAGAGGACATGCAAAGAGAGAAGATGGCATGGATTTTTTTTTTTTTTTTTGAAGTATTTTGTTTCTGCCACCTAAATGATATGGAAGAATAGAGATGTTTCAGTATCCTAGGAATAGATTAAAATCGGTCTACTTCATGGCTCACTTTTTCCTTGCAATGGGAATTGGAAAAATGGCATGTCTTGATTTCTCATCTTAATTGTGTAACATCTACAAGCCAAGGAACATTTATTTATAAACACAAGTGATGTTGAATCATTAGTGTTGTGGCAAGTGATATGGGGTGAAATTGGCATTTTGTGGTAGTGTGGATGTAATTAAAGACAACTTCTCTGTAGTTGGTATTTTGTACCTGAGGCGGTCATGTGATGCCTTCTGAATAGTTGGTATGAACAACAATGGATGATGGCGTGTCATGACAAAAATGAGAAATCTGTTGGCTTTGAGGAGCAAACCAGGTCAAGTGTAGCAATGTATCATGGGGGTTGATCTATTGGTATACACTTGATGATAAGATCGATCATAAATTAAATGGAACTTTGCGCAAGTCTTCTTGTATCTGATCAACTTAGGAGATTGTGAACTAGTCATCACTTCATGGTGCGGAGCTTCTTGGATTGGTGCTGGACAGAACCCTCAGGTTCAGCTTTTGAATGCAATCCGATAGTTATATCAAACTGGCCAAACCAAATTTCAAATGGTCATTTGACACATGAACTGATTTATTGAAGCACACAAAGTAATTACAATTGATATGGAAGGCATTTAAGATCGCACTTAATTGTTATTTATTAAATGATATTTAGGGAATCTTTATACGCAACATAACATTACATTTTTCACTATATCAATCAGCTACTAAAAGGTAAATTATCACTACCGCATTCTTTAATATCAGTTATAACTACAACATTATTTAATAACTTTGCATCCAATTGCTTTTGTGTTATTATGCTGGCTGAACTGATATTTGTCTTTTTTTTTTCACATCACTTCTGAAGTTTTTCCTACTTTCTATTTTTCCAGAGAATTGAAGAGCTTTTTAACGGGGTAGTGCTTTTTACTGCTGATGGGAAATTGCTTGGGACGGGTGAGCTGCTTTTATCCTTTATAAAATATATTATTTATGATATAGTTTAAGCCCTTAAAATGTTGTTGTGGTCCAGCGCCAGTGCTCCACTTTAATATGATTTTATCATTTTTTTGTTCCTTGTATTCTTTTAGCTTTGCCGATACCACATTTCCTCCACTTCATTTTGCCTTGCAGTATTTTAAATTAGTTTGTCATTATGATATAAATTGGTGTAAAAAGGTTTTTTTAGCTGACTGGTCCCTTGTTATCTGATTCCGAGCTCTGGCAACATTAAAGCTTTGAGGTTTTGGCCTGTAGCATGCTTATGACAAGCGGGAAGCTTTTTTGAAACCTATAGTTTATGCCTTCTGTTTGTTTTGGAAATTGAGGGCCACATCCAGCATATTTATTGATAATCACTGATTACAGCAAGGATTACAAAGGTTAAATTATATGATAAAAAATAACACAAAAATTTGCATTAGAAGCTGATACCTTTGATTGAAAAGATGTAGAGATGAAAAAAAACAAAACGGGCTCAATAACACTAATTTATGCATATTTCCTAGGCAAATTGTCCGTAGGACCCCATCTTTTGCTTTTTTTTTTTTTTTGAATCTTTTGCTCAACCTTATGGCAAGCAGAGTTTCTTCATTCAGATGCTAGCATCCGTAACAGTGTTCCTGAATATATGATTATTTCTTTCCATGCAGATGTAGTAAGCTGTGATATGACAGCCAACAGATTTTTTTTTTTAATAATTTTGTATTTAAAAGCAAGGTTTTGAAAACCGGACTGGACAACGAACCGGAAGAAGAAGAGGTTCACAGTTAGACCGGTCGAACCAGATGATGTAATAAATAATAATATTATTAAAATTATAAAATGAATAAGAAATTTTCCTCTAATACCTTCTAAGTTCTAATTGTGCACATAATATGAAGTAAATAAGCAAAATATTATAGCAAAATCAATCAGAAATTGATAATATAATGGGAACTCCTAGAAAATCTCCAAGATTTTCTTCAAATTAGGTCACATTTTTCCAAATACTAAAGAACCTTGACTAACCAAACACCAAATTAAAATAACAAACATTTTTTTTAATGATATTTAGATAATCATAAAAATAACAAACATTTGAAATCCCTATCTTGCTACCAATCATAAGCAGATCTATTATTCCCTCCTCCGTTCTTAGCACACATTCAAGAAATAATAAATTATTGTAACTGAGCATCTAAAAGCAGCATGTGAGATAGCTGAACTATAATTAAAGCAGCAACGGCTATCATCTCTGTAAAGCACCACCACTAATATTTTGAGTTAAAGCAGATATCATCAGCTTTAACTAATGCCCTTGCGCTGATTTTCTCTCAGTTGAGAATGACCATTCCCCAAACAAAATAAGAGCTAATTTTACACAAGAAAGCTCTTCACTTGCACTACATATAACAAAGAACAAGCCGCCCATTTCAATCAAAGGTTCTAATCAACCCATCTTTAAGAAGATAAGATTTAAAGGTTCAGATGACATCACTCTCCCGAAAGTTTAATGTTTGGAGGACATTAAACCGTAACCATTTCACTCACTAATAGTCTTTCATGACCACAATGAGCTTTATCTCGATGATTTAAAGTAAACAAAGAATCCATGGTTGAGTAAAGAGAGCGGATGTGAGATTTACCTTGAGGAAATGCACGAGAGAGGTTGCCGGTGGGGAAGTTGGAAGTCTACGACTCTGTGAGGGAGAGAACGATGCTAATGTATGGAGGAATCGCGTATGGAGAGGGGAGTCGCATATGGAGTATGCTTAGGGAAGACAACTAGACGAGCAAATAATTGTATAATACCGATCCCTAATGCATACGAGTCATTTGATCGCAGATAGAGAGCTCATATTAGAGATTTTAAGAACCATCTGGTTCTTCAAAAACTGCCCGGTTCAAAGAGTTCCCGGTTCAACCAGGTTTTATCCGGTTTTCAGTCAAGCCGGTTGTTGTAGCTAACCGGACCGCCCGCCGGACCGGTTCAACCATGAACCGGACAAACCGGCTGGTCCGGTCCAGTTTTGAAAACCATGTTTATAAGTGTCAGCATGAATTAGCACTTGATGAAGAAAACCCCCAAGTGAAAAAAAAAAAAAAAATCAATTAGGAATGCAAATTTTAATCATTAATAATGAAAACTAACAGTTAAAATAGGTGAGTGTGGCTTTCATTGAATTGATTTCATAAAGCAAAATTTTGATTCACCCAAATGCCTCTATTCAAAAGACGGTCTACAGTCTTAAGCAAATGAAAGAACTTTGTTCTTCCAACCACTGAGCCAACCAAGATGTTTGTTAAAAAATGCGGAGCAATTTGACTAAGTCTGATGGGAGATAGAGGAATTCTAAGATAATCCCTAGAAAGGTTCTTTTAATTGAAGTTCAAAAGATTAGAATAGTTTCCATTTATATTAGTTTAACAGAATTGATGAAGTAGATTACAGTTTTATTTACATTAAAAATAAAACCCATGGAGTTCTAGAATGAGTTCAAAAAATTTTCAAGCTCAAGCAGAGTGGGGTTGTTGGCCAAAAACTAAGAGATCATCATCATATATCTGATGAGAAACCTTAGCATGCTTCTTGGAGATGCATGAGAAGGTATCATTAGTGCAAGAAGCGTCAATCAATCTTGAAATTGCATCCTTAACAAGTGTGAAAAGTAGAGGAGAAAGAGGATATTCTTGTCTGAAACCTTTTTTCGGAGTTAAAATATCCATTCAACTCTCCATTAATAATAACGGGGACAGACATCTCGAGTGCAAACTTTAATCCAATTGATAAAAATAGGAGGAAAATCAAGAGTAAGAAGAAGACTGTTGTATAAGGACCTGTTAACACTATCAAAAGCTTTCTGAAGATCAATTTTAGCATAGAATGATTGATGTGTTGATTGTTCATTAAAACCCCTAAATATATCATTAGCCATAATGATATGATCGGTTATGTCCCTCCCAAAAATGAAAGCAGATTGAGCATTATTTATAAGCTTTGGTCGTTGGTTCTTGATTCTGATGGGAAGCAGCTTGGTAATAGCTTCATATGATACATCACAAAGAGAGAGATCTGAAGTCAATCATTGTTCTGGATTGAGGAGATTTAAGAATTAGGGTTATGGCGTAATGTGTTATCTTATCATGCATAAAATCATTATGAAATAAGTATATGATAGTAGCAGTAAAAAAGATCCCAACAATATGCCGACTATCTTTAAAGAATTTGGAGGAGAAGCCATCAGGCCCAAGGGCTTTGTCATTCCCAATATCAAAGAGAGTCATTTTAATATCATCTTCCGAAAATTCAACAATAAGATCAATTTGTTCCTCCAAAGATAAGGTGGGACCTAAAGGGATTGAACTTTGGCTTTGTTTTGAGGAGGATTCCTCATCATTAAACAGGGAGAAGAAGTAATGTATGGCTTCATTAGAAATCCCCTGGGTAGGGTATATAGGGCTAGAATTAGTATGTACTTCCCTTATATGATGTCAGCTTCCCCTTGAATAAGCCAAGAACATTTTGCTCTCTATGTGATCCAACTATTCTTCCATCTGATAGCATCAATGAGATCTTGTTGGATATTTAGGGCACAGCCAAGAAGATTTCTATCCAAAGGATTTGACTACAGGCTACTTAAAGTGAATTTTTTTTTCTTCCTTAAGCAAGACAATCTTGTTGTGAAGAAAATAAGAGGAATTCTAATTTGTCGATTTCAGAGCATGCTTTACATTCATGAGTTTGTTATTAAGAGCCAACATGGGATCCCCCTTAACAGGGATCTCCCAAGCATTCTTGATAATTTCCAATAAACTTGGGCAAAGGGACCAATAGTTCTTGTACATGAATCTTCTTCTAATGAAGGCATGAGGATCTACATGAAGAGAATAGGAGAGTGATCAGAAGATAGAGGGCTTATGATTTAGTAATGAGACAGGGGAAAGGAATTTAACCATAAAGCATTGCATAAGAGACATGGTCAAGAAGGCATCTTATGGGATTATGAACTTGTTGGTTAAACTAATTGTAGGTAAGACCGCAATGAGGAAGCTTCATTAGACGAACATTAAAGATACAATTGAAATCCCCACCAATTTGGAGGGATGGGAAGTAGTAACACCAATTTTCTCTTCAGAAAATCTTACACAATTGAAATCATCAACGATAATCCATGGATTGATAATTGATTAAGAAGAGATCAGTGAGAGTTTGCCAAAGAACCTTTCTTTCTTGAGCACTATTTTCAGCGTAGGTAAAGGTTCTCATAATTTTGACCATGAATGAAGTTGGGGTGAGACTGCAAACAATTGAAGGAGACATAAGCAATTAGGGGTGTCAATATTTGACACGACCCGAAAACTCGACTCGAACCCGACCCGAAAATTTCGGGTTAGGGTCAACCCGAACCCGAAACGGGTCGGGTTCGGGTTCAACATTTCGACCCGTTTCAAAAATCGGGTGTGGTTCGGGTTAACCCTTTGACCCGAAATTGACCCGAAAGTGACTCGATTTTGACCCTAAAACCCGATTTTGACCCGACAACCCGAGATTGACCCAATTTTGACCCGGTTTTGACCCGAAAAGAGGAGATTGACCCGTTTTTGACACGGAAATTAGTAATTTTTTTGTTGAAAATGGGTCATTCGGGTCGGGTCAGGTTGACCCGGACCTGAAACGGGTCGGGTTCGGGTTGACCCGAATAGTGCCGGGTCAGTTTCGGGTTCGACCCGAACCCGACCCGTGACCCGAAATTGACACCCCTATAAGCAATTAAGCAACATTCTATTTGATCCAAATATGACAATGAGAAGTAAAAAAATTATAACAGCTATTTTCCTGATGAATAATATTGAACTTTCTTGGGTTATCACTCACACTAGACGAGCCAACATTAAGCTTGCTTTCAATCATATAGAAGCATTTGGATATGTAATGGGGCTTCAGCGGGATTAGCAGATTTAGGAAAAGAAGATTTGTCATCTGCAAAAGTATCACGGGTTGGACAAGAGTTTGGTTTCCATTCATAAACAATATCAAGCTTAATATTTTTCTCTTGTACGTTAATAGTAATCTCAACAAGGTGCAGAGAGGCGATGGGAATTTGGATACTCACCCAAGAAAAGATAAGGTGAGATTTGTTGGCAATGAGTGTGTCAAGTATTAACGAAATGCTAATGTTGCTGGCCATGATATATATATGCTAGATTCAATCCAACAACATAATGGAAGATTTGGGATTTTGACCTAAATAAGAACTTTAAAGTCTTTCTTAATGGGGGTAAAAGCCGGAGTCCAACATTTGAAGATGACTACCATTAAGGAACCAGGGTCCCCCATTAAGCACCATTTTTAGGTCCTCCATATGGAAAAATATGAAGAGAAAGAAACCATCAGAAGGAGAAAGAAGTTCGAACTAACCTTTCAGCAGCAGAGTTTCTTAAGACAAATGAGAAGATGTTCATAAAAGGGGTGTTTTCCAAATGCATAGCCAACAAAAGCCAAGCTCCTTGCCTTAGATCCCTCCTTTATATCCTCTTTCGAAAAGGATATATTTTCCTCACTTCTAGGGACGAAGCATAGAAGGAAATTAATAGGAAATACTTGAGTTCTCAAGTAACCCCTATGGAAAATACTTGAGTTCGCAAGCAAACCTATCACTAATTGGTAAAAACAGCGAGAAATAAGCAAAATTTTGGGGAAAACAACCCCAAAATAGAGGATTGCAATATGAGAATCAAGCCAAACAAACACTAGAACAAGATACAAGGGATCCTCAATTCGAGATGAGGACCGTCTCTCTCAAATCTCTAGACAAGGTAGTCTAGAGCCCAAGACGCCAAGGAGCTTCAAAGAAATTCAAATCATACATAAACACTAATCCTTTTCCGAAATCAACTAATTAAAGACAAAGGACAATTACAGTTTTCCTAAACAGCCCCCCTAATTCAAAAATTTCTTTCAAAGTCAATTTAATTAGCAAGTGGGCCCCTAGGAGCATCCGCCCCCTCGCTCTCTCTCTTCGCTGGTTCCGTCCAATTCTGGCCGCCTAGTATATGTCAAAACCGGTCCACCAGGGACCGGTTCAGCCGGCCCAGGAGGAGCCGGCCTAACATAAATCTTCCATTGAAGGCGTTTGAGGAAGCAGTGGGGAGGTGTCAATGTCCAAAAGGTCAAAAGTCCTAGGCCCGGAGACGGTGAGTTAAAAAAAAAAAGGAAGAAAGGTTGGGTTTCGGAGAGGAAACCAAGCCTTAGCAAAGTTCCATGCATGCAGTTTTTAGTTAAAACTGGAGCTACAACCGGTTTGTTTATGCAATATTTTGTCTCATGAGTTACAATCTACTTAGTTTGGTTTAAGAGAAAGACTTTAGAGTCTGAACTATCTAGCTATATTCTCTTTGCTGTAAAGTTTTCCTCTTTGCTGTAAGAGCAGTAATGGGCCTGAGATTTGACTTTTGTTGCTCTCCTTGTTGACGTTTTTTTTTTTCTGTGAAAATTTTCTTAACACTACAAAAAAAAAGAAAGGTAATTAGGTTGTTCAGCTTGAATTTTTTTAACAAATTCTATTCATTTATCCTTACTATGGTCCCACTCTTCTCTTCGAGTTGATAAATTGATTAAATGCTTCTGTTTGATGAGCTATATTACATTGAATAAGCATAGATTTTTTTTTGTCCTTTAAAATATTTAAAATAATTTAATAGTCCTTTTGGTTTTGTCATTGGTTGTCTGAGTGCTAATTTTTTTTTTCTTGTAGCATCGAGATGAGGATGATTTCGATTCCAAGGTGAATTTCACCGGTGGAAATGTACATATTGTTGATAGCATAGAAAGCTGGGATGAGAAGATTTCAGAAGCAAAAAAAGAAGGCAAAGTAGTAAGTATTGTGATTTGAACTTGACCGCGCAACACAGCTGTTAGCTAGCAGTTTCGAACTATTAATTGCATTGTATTCAAGTGCCTCTCACTTCAAATATTTTAATCTTCTATCGGTACTGTCATTTTTAATTTATGATATTTTCACCTGCTCAACGTCTTTTTGATCTTTTCTACTTCTTTTAGACATTCATGACTTCACTGCCCACTTAGGGCATCTCCAACCGAAAATCTCATTTTTCACTAAAAAATACAGTGAAACTCAAAAATGTTGTGATTCATCTCCAATCAAACTCCATTTTGCATGCTTTTGCGAAGGTAACAATCTTCTCCTCTTTCGCACGTTTCTTCGGCAAACTCAGTTGAGACAAAAAAATCGCGTAGGTGAACAGTGCAACGCCAATATTGACGTCGCACTGTTCACCCTCCACCGATTAGCGATTTTTTTGCCGTTCGAATGGAGCAAACCAACTACGCCATACTGTTGTTTGGAGTTCAGCTGGAGACGCCCTTAGATTTGCTTCAGTACCCTGATGCTCATTTTCATTTAAAATTTGTCATTCCCTCCAGGAAAGTTAATGCAGTTTCATGAAAATTTTCAAAATTGATCGTTTCATTTCTATAAATCTTTTTTATTTATGTTGAACATTTTTGAAAACATTGTACTTGCTGTGAAATTCAAATATAACAATAATTTTGCACATAGCCTCTCCTTCATCTTTCTATATTTTCATTTACTTAACAAAGTTGTGGTCCATGCAGATTGTCGTGAACTTCAGTGCATCTTGGTGTGGCCCTTGCAGAATGATTATTCCCTTCTATGCTGAACTTTCTCTCAAGTATCCTCAACTAGTTTTCCTCACAGTAGACGTTGATGAGTTACCGGTAATTATCCATTCCTTCTCACATTCTTTATGAGAGAGAGAGAGAGAGAGAGATTTCATCCATTGGAAAAATTATTATGTCCGGATTCCAGCCCCCAATGAAAATGTGTCACGTCCGGTACCGAGCTTATACTGAGCGGTACTTGGTACTCGGTACCGCGTGAACCGGACGGTTCTCCCGTTCGGTGTCCGCATAGAATAATCTCTCCATCCATTGCGAGTCATTGTGTAATAGTTTCATGATTACAGGATCTGAGTTCTTCAATGGATGTACATGCGACTCCAACGTTCTTTTTCCTGCAAGATGGAAATCACAAAGACAAACTTGTGGGTGCCAACAAACCTGAACTGGAGAAAAAAATACTCGCATTTGCAGAGTCAAGCCATTGTTCCAAGTGATTTTCTGTAACTCAAACCCTTTTTTTTTTTTACTCTTCTCCGTTAAATTTGTTGGTGATAAAATAACACAGCCATTTCTGTGATGCTAGATAAGAGATGTAAACTACCGTTGATCGATCAATCGATTACAGTATTGTAGTGGTTAGAAAAATTGCTTCGTGTGATTTTATTGCTTTGTTTTGTACTGAATCTCCATATGATCAGGTTGAATTACAGGTAATAAGAAGCCTATAGATTGGTTTGTTTGGAATAGTTCTCATTCTGAGGGCAAAGCATGCGCCATCCCTAAAGAGGTAAGTGAGGATTTGCATAGGCTCAATAGCTCAAGTTATTTTTATGTGCATGAAAAATAATTGATACAAGGAATTTTATGTATTATTATAAAGAGTCCTATTTTGTACGTATTTAAATGTCAAATAAGTTTTGCGATATATGTACTTTTTAGATAATATACTAACATATTATTAAATTAACGGTATTAAAAAATAATTTAATTTTTTGCTCAAATTGGATTTGAATTAAACCAGATGAGTTTTTCTTATATTCTTATTTCAGAGAAATGCTCGATAAAAATTTCTGATTTGAATTAAACTTCTGGCCATTTTTTCACATCTCGTGCCCGGTCCAGTTGTTTCTTATCTTTTTCTAGTGTCTAGTGAGAATCCAGGTAGTTTCATACAATGTTCTCTCATAGAAAAGAGCACAGAAATAGGACTCTTTCTTTCCAAGAACAAATCACTTTTGTGAGAACAATCTAGCACCTTTTGTTCTGAAAAAGAACAAAACTCGTACCTTTTTCGCCTCTTTTGATGAATTCTCTTTTTTATTTTTTTGAGACATTTAGGTCATTTAAGGCAAACTCACACACACAACGCATACACATAGACTTGAACCTTGAACCTCTTAGTTGGAAGCCTAAGCTCTCAACCAATAGGTCAAGAAGAGTTGTGTTTGATGAATTCTCTAGAAGATAAATTTTTTGGCTTTAAATTCGAGGTGATATATTACTAGGATTATATGCATATTAAATACTTTTTAAATTAATAATAAAAAAACAAGAATAATAAGAGTTTTTAGCAGGTAAAATCTTAAAATTAAGTTGATTTGAGCTGAGGCAATTTGAAATTAAATCAATTTCATATATTTGAGTTATTGAGCCTAGACTTAACCGCCACAAAATAATATCTTTCTCAAGTCTATTTGGACATATTTGATATTTTCACCATACAACACATGTAAAGGGAGATCAATCAGAATGTATCCCGTCATCCGTGTTCGGTGTATAATGCTGCATCCTTAAATCGCTGATGTAAAACATTTTGATTGATCTCCAAACGGGATTTCCGCACAATATCTGTTTCGTAGTTCATGCAAAAGACGTAGCATTTCTTTCCAAATGGCAACTTCATCTTCTGAAATTTGAATAGAGACGTTTGAGGCCATGGTCCGCCTCGTCTCGCCAACCCTTAAGCCGGTGGAAATGCGTGACCGACAGAGCAATGTATGAAAGGCAAACATTATGGTACCAAAAAGTAAGTAAACTAGCAAAGTCATCAAAAGCAACCCACTTCACAATCAGAACAACCTCAAGAGACGACGCCAGTTACATCATAGAAGAAGAACTACATTTATTCGGCACATACCGAACATTCAGAGAGCTATTCAAATCACAATACGCTAAATTAAGAGAGACCTCACCGCCCCTTCGGGTTCATTATTTGAGAGAAAACCGCGCTGGGCGTGAGCCCTTCCGAGTCCTCGCTGATGATGCTCCGATCACCCATACTCATCGTCGAGGTGGATGTGACCGTCGTCGTCCTCGACTCCATGGAAGGGTCATCCACATCCTTCTTCCCATCCATCATTACCGGACCTCCATCCACATCGGAGATTATTCCATCAGCCATCAAATCACCCACCTCCTCCGCACTCACCTGCAGCTGCAGAGCAAACTCGAGGTTCCAGAGAACATCGCCGGTCGCCGGACGATCGATTCCATGATCGGAAACACACTTCTCCGCCGTCTCCGCAAACTTCTTGAAGCACTGCGGCGCAATCTTTCCTTTAAGGTATGGATCAATGATCTGATCGAGAATTCCCTTTTTCTGGCAATGCAGAGCCCATTCGGCCAGACTGACTTGCTCCTTGGGGAGGTTTTGGTTCAGCGCCGGCCGGGCGCAAATCACCTCAAACAGAACCACTCCAAATGAATACACGTCTGATTTCTCCGTCAGCTGCTGCCGCCGGAAGTATTCGGGATCAAGGTACCCGAAGCTACCCTTCACCACCGTGCTCACATGAGTATTGTCAAGAGTAGGACCGGTCTTCGACAGACCAAAATCGGAAACCTTAGCGACCCATTTGTCATCCAGAAGAATGTTCGTCGTCTTCACGTCACGATGAATGATGGTATGCTTCGCGCCGGTGTGCAGGTAGTGCAGTCCTCGAGCCGCGCCGATGCAGATCTCAAGTCGCTGCTTCCATGGCAGCGGCGGCTTCTGCGTCTTGTAGAGGTGCTCGCGAAGAGTTCCGTGCGCCATGTAATCATAAACAAGGATCATCTCCCTGTTCTCTTCGCAATATCCGATCAAGGAGACGAGATGTCGGTGGCGTAGCTTTGACAGCATCTCGATTTCGGTTTGGAACTCATGAACGCCTTGCTCGGACATGGGGTTTCCTCGCTTGATCGCAACTTCGGTGCCGTCATCGAACTCACCACGATACACCTTTCCAAACCCACCTACTCCGAGCAGAAGCGCCTCATCGAACTTATTTGTGGCAGCCTCAATCTCTGCAAACGAGAAATGGCGACAAAGGTTCGATGGCAAGGACGAAGCATAGCTGCCTGTCGTGTTCGTCTTGGCCGAAGCTGCTGAATGGGAGTTTTCATAGAGTGAAAGAGGAAGCCAACCAGAAGGACCATCACTTGTGCCAGCAGCATCCTTCCCCTTCTTCTTCTTTCTTTTACAAAGAAAAAGCAACAAGAAACCAAGACCGATAATGGCCGCCGCGCCGCCAACTACTCCGCCAACAATCACAGGAGTGCTATTGAAATTTGATTTCTTGTTGAAAATCTTGTCAGGTTCGAAGTCTGGCTGTGGTGGCAAGTCAGGGTTTGGCCCGGCAAGATTATTTTTCCCGTCCTGCAACTTGAAAACCTCCATTCCATTCAAGATTGCATCGAAATATTCTGGCTTGGTTTTGAGATCTGGATGCAGAGCTACCCACAAATCCGTCGTCCCAGATCCTGAGGTCAGAACAACATAATCCTCATACACAGGCACACCAATCCCACCACTCCAAGCAATCACATCTGCTTCTTCCTGTGCTGTCTGATTATTGAGATAGATGTCGAAGACTCTCTGATTCACTTTGGTTATCGGGTACTGTATCTCACAGAAATGAAACCTAACAAGGTAGTAGAACCCATTATCGACGCTCAGAATCCAGGTCAAATTGTAGTTTCTGTTGACAGTAGGATCAGGCCCCATGGATCTCGCTGTCGAATACACATCAACAGGCGCAATATACTCTGGTAAAGTAGTTGGGTACTGAATTGTTACATTTGGATCAGCACCGTAGGTTACTCCAAATGCAGCTCCATAGATGTACAATGAATCATCCGCCCATGATCTATACAATCCTGAATCTCCAGACGGGGATATCGCCTGCCCTCCTACATTTAACCTATAAACAGTTTCCATTGCCCAATCGTCTGGAATCGGGTACGGAATTGGTGTTCCACCTGAAACTAGAAGAGGATTACCTGTAGAAAACATATCCGGCATGGAAACAATTTCTATGCCGTTGATGAAAGCATAGGAGTTGGAGTAGTTCTTCGACGGGGTGAAGGTGAGGTTGAGACCAGCAGAGGACACATTGACTGAAAACTCCCGAATCAGATAATCCATGTTGAGGGCCGCCGCAGTTTGATAAGCAGAGAAATTCTGGAGGAGAGTGATGGGTCCGGCGGTGACGGAGAAGAAGGCGTCGGCGCCCTCATGGTTGGAGTAGTTGGAAGGGTAGAAGTAGAGGCGAACGTACTTCCGGCCAGCGCCGAGGGGGAAGGTGTAGGTGAAAGGAGACGTGAAGACACGAGCCGTAAGGTATGGGCACTGAGGAACGGACGAGTCCTGGTTCGGCGCCTGAGAGCTGACCGAATTCAGCCATGAAGGTGCGTACTTGGATCCGGTGTCGCCGTTCCAAGTCCGGCCATCCTGATCTTTGTTCTGCCCGGAGGATCCGCAGTCGAGGAGTATGTAGTCACGGGGTACGTAGCTGGAGTTGTCTCCGGCGGCGATCGCGGCGAGGAACAAAATCAGGAAGGGCAGCGACTTCATCGAGATCGGATCTAAACCTAGGGTTTCAACTAGAAATAACACTGGATCAGCTCATCTTAGTAAGCAAGTTTCCCGATCTATCAGATATTCTGTTCAGAAACTGATCGGTGCCGAGATTTCTGTGGATCAAACCGAAGATCTATGAAAAGTTAGATCAATCGATAAGAAATGAAAGAAATTAAGTGGGAAAAAAAGGAAGATTAGTTGAAGATCCACATAGGAGATCGGAGGAGACTCGAGAGGAAGCGAGAGAGGGAGAGTAGTATTAAAGCGCGGGTAGAGAGAGAGAGAGAAGCTGCGCCGGAGGAAGCGGGATGCTGCGAAGACTGGAAGAAGACTGGTGACGGGGTTCCGTTCTTTGGGTTTTATTAGATTATTTGGGATGGGATTAGTAAGGGTTTTTTTTGTAATTAGAAAATAATAAGTAGATTTTTCATTTTTGAGCTGCTTAACTAACCTTTTCTTGTTAAGGGTCGGACGCGGTATTGCCCGGTGCCTGATCGTCAACGTTGAAGTCGCTGTAAAATGATAGTCTGCGGGGCCCACTGGTGGTGGTGGAAGCGATTCTTAGCCGTTCGATGATGGGATGGAACCAAGGCGAGTAGACTGCTCTATTAACCTGTTCGATCTAGTTTAATATTTTATTAAAATTTATATATTAATTTGAACTGATAAAAATAAATTTTCAAATTAGTCTTTTACCTCGCCTTTTCTTTTACATAATGCATTGGTAGAATAACGAGAAATCTCGAGTTATATCGACGAAGGATTTGGTGGACATTTTTAGTATATGAATGTATGAGTGTATGCTAAGATATTCTAATAGTCCGCTTGAGCAATTGGCTAGGGTTAGGCTTCTGTTGGGACGGCTTTTTTACTGCTTTCTAAAACGGAATTTTAATAAAAAAATAAAAAAATTTGTATTAAAACTCGGTTTTAGAAAGCAATAAAAAAGCCGTCCCAAATGAAGCCTTAATGAGATTTTCAGATGTTGCATGTATATATGGGGACTGAAGATAAGAATAGTATTCTTTGGTGTTTGCGTGCGGAGGCAATGAAGGTAGATGGGAATAGAAATGAAAATGAATTTTTTTTAATGATAGAAAATGGAAATACGTGGAATCTAAATTTTTTTAGGAAAGTCGCCACCTTGTTATTGCACATTTTCTCCAAATGCATTTTCATGAAGTAAGTTGTGAAAAGGAAGTTGGGAGTTCGAATGTTGTTGGATGACCGCCTCGTGATCTTGAAGTTTTTAAACCTGATTGATTGGTTTATAGTACAAGTTTCATTTCTACTTTCGTATGTCTCACACAAACATAACTCTAGGGATGTATATGCCACCTATTGAAGGGAATTTTATTTGGTCCGGTTGACCGAATGCAAGAAACATCCGGTTGTAGGCAAAAACGCGCCTATACTGAGGTGTATAGGGGCATTTTTTGAAAAAACTCGGTACACCTCTGTATAGGCGCATTTTTTCCTACAACCGGATGTTCTTCTTCATCCGGTCGGAGGACGTAATAATTGTTCCCTATTGAAGGAGCTATAGTAGTGTAATCACCTTTATTTTTCTTTTAATGTTGTAGGTTTTTTTTTTGCTGTTCTATGAATGGGCTTTTTTCTTTATTATTTTTAATTGTACTACATCTCCGTTTTTGAATTAAGTAGTGCTGATTATGTTTTAAATTTTCATATGTTTAAAAAGTATGATTTTGCATAAGATTTCAATATAAATTAACAGAATTAAGTTAACAAAAGTAGTAGATTCAATCAATCACAAACAAAGAGAAAAGGCTAAGAAATATAACATAAAGAGTAAATGGTAACTAAGACAACATCCTGTGTAAACAGATACATATTGCAATATAATAGACCCAGTCAATACTAACAAGCCCCAAACAAAAAATAGAATGTAACAAAAAATAGTATCTAACAACTTAACATTTTCTTCTTGGCTTGTGCGACAAAGCATTAGAACCAGGTGTATATTGTTGGGGTGGTCAAAGAGGTCTATCCCGCAACTCATGCTGCTCCACTGCACCTGTGACTAGCTCTATAACTTTCTTTTTTTTGGGACATTTAGGCCAATTAAGGCAAACTCACACACACAACGCATACACATAGACTCGAACCTTAGACCTCTTAGTTGGAAGCCTAAGCTCTCAACCAATAGGCCAAGGAGAGTTGTGTAGCTCTATAACTTTCGGTGCTTTAGTGCATGGAACTTAGTTAGATGTGTACTATGCTGGCGTGGACTGCAGTGTCGGCTGATTAAAGTACTCCTGAGATAGTCTCGAGTCTTCAAACGACGATGGTTCTACAGTCATAGAATGAAGATCTACAATCGATGGAGTAGGAATGAGTGTTGTTGACTTAGGAATGACACTATTGTACATGTAATCAACATTGAGGCCCTCCAAACTAGCATGCTATGAGACATGAAGTGCAGGATGACTAGCATGAATTCATCTATAACAGATATGTATATATCTTGTAATGTTCGTCACCTTAGAAAGTTCTTTATATAAGTTTGTCAAAACAACAACCCCTAAAGAGTACGTGATGAACAAACTCAAGTCTTCAAGCAATGGCAAGTACCTCAGATGTATCTCAGAGCCTGATGTATCTTATAGAATGTAATATTCTAGCAGAAACAAAACATATGCTTGAATATGTTGCCAAAATTCTAACTCATTTAGGTCTATATAAGAATCTTTGCATAAGGTCTATTGCAGCCATCTCAGGGGCAAGTTTTGATTACTTACTGGGTTATATGCTTATTATACGATTTTATATGATTTCAAGTAAAGGTAAAGAGCTTGTAGTTTGAGGCTATATAATGATGCCAGCTTAGTTTTATTTTGAGTTCTTTAGTTTTATGTATTTTTTATAGCCGATAACAACTATTACATATGTTATTTTAGACTTTGTAGTTAAATATAAACATCAACTATTAAAATAATGAAATTTTGTGTATTTATATTTTTCTTGAATAACATTAGTCAGTTTGGTTTGTAAATGAATATTAAGTGTTAATTAAACATATGATATGAAATAAAATTCTTCCACTTTAGATCCTGGGGCATGACAAAAAGATATGACATTGAAACGAACTATTTTAAGAGTGGAGTGCATCCTACTATCATTCGACTGAAACATAACCTACAAGACACCTACATGATGGATACCTACACGGGTATTCATGGATGTACAAATATTCCCATCTATTTGTACAATTGAATAAAGATGTTTAAAATGTGTAGTCTTATTAAAACTTGATCACCTAAAGTCACAATCCTCTCACTAGATCTATTATTATTAAAATAACACTATACATTTTATTTTTAGAAGTACTCAAATGAAAATCTTTAAACTCTAAAATTAACCTCTATAATCCAAAGTTTCTTTCAACTCCATCATCTTATCAATAAGGATAATATTATAAGCAAAAAACATAAACCAAGGTACACCCTATTGCAAATATCTAGTAAATATAAAATCAATCAAATTTTCATTAAATAATCATTTTAGTGAACTCTGATTAATTATTAAATAATAATCCAACATGCTCAAAAATAAATAAATAAATAAATGAGTATATGAATATCTAAACTTAAGATCTTCGTAAGTACATTCGCTCGCATATTTAAAAAAAAAAACGACAAAAATATAAATATTAATAGCTTTCCGATGAACTAAATGTTGAAAATTAATTATCTCAAACATATCCTTAAATCCTTACCCGCATCTTTTTTTTCCATATACATAAAATCAAGAATAAAAGAAATTATATGAAGTAGCGGAGAAGACTAGATAGGATAACCACATATGTATGAATACAATGAAATTCTGTCCTGCCTTTTTTTTTTTTTTTTATGAGATTTGCATACATACCACATTTTATATTATGCTATTTACATATTTAATACACAACTTTAATATTTCAGGACTAACATTCATAGATCAAATATAAATGCAAGAAATAAAATGTATAGGGTGACAAAGAGTTATAGTACTGAAATATAGGAGTAACATATTTAATATTAAAGGATTTACATACATACCACTTTATTTCATGCTATTTATATATCTAACACCTAAAATTTTAATATTATATTCCTACCACTCATATAAAATTTTAATATCAAATATATCACCCATATATTTCATTCTTACCATTATATAAACTTTAATATTTCATTACATGCACTCATATTTGTTCTATAGGTGGTAGACATGTAATATTAAAGTTTTAGGTGTTAGATATATAAATAGCTTAAAATAAAGTTGTCTATGAATGATTGCCATGAAATATTAAAGATGTGGATATTAGATATATAAATAATATGATATAAAATGGTATGTATGTAAATACCTTTTTTTTTTCAGTTGTCGATAGTTCCTCCCAATGCAGAATGTATCTTGCTCTGCAAAAAGCTGGGTTTCTGAAGGAAATTGCTGGGCCTCACATACGAGAAATTAGAGAAGTCGCAGTCACCGGCGACCGGACTGGCGACCGGAGAATCAAGCAAAGGCATGCTGGTATATTTCTTATCAAAATTTGCAATGCATAATTGGTCAGCAACGTTGGGTCTGAAGCTCGGTTGTATTTCCCTGGCATCCAGTTTCCTCCAGTTGATTGATTTAAACCACTTGTGATTCTTTATCTCATTGCTTCCACCTGGTCCATTGCCAAGCCTCCTGATCACTTCCTTTTGCAGCAGCTGAGAATTCATAAAAATGAAGGGTTTCAGAGTATGCTCGTCCAAGTTTCAGCAAGTTTGAATCCATTTTTTGGCTTGGATTGAGCCAAACAAATTAAGAGAAATTATTCTGTGCGGACGCCGTACGCCGTCTGGATACCAATCAGAATGAGCCACAGTACTGACCGTTCTCGATATTGCTGACATGACTCATTCTGGTTGGTCTCCGGATATAGAACTACGTTCGGCATTCGTATAGAATAATTTCTCCAATTTTGAGAAGGGACTTAAGCGGATTGAGCCAACTCAAAATATAAATAATATGTACATGCATATGGAAAAGCATTTTTAAATGTTAAAAAGGGAAAATTTAATGGTTAATTCGAGCTGGATTAAACCGAGTTGATTCAAGCCAGCCCAGCTCAAAATTGAAACAGATCAATCCAAGACCCAATTCCAAGCCAGCTTTTTTATGGGTTCGGCCGGATTTCAAGCCAAACATGGACCAGCTTAAAATTGGAACATTCAAGGCCCTACTTAAGGAAAAAAAAGTTATTATGTGCGGACATCGAACTCCGTCCGGAGACCAACCAAAATGCGCCACGTCAGCCCCTCGCTCGGTACCGCTGAAGTGATGCATTATCATTGATCTCCAGACTGAGCTCCGGCCTCCGCACAAAATAATTTCTCCTACTAAAGGGTTACTAAAATAGAAAACGTACTCCTTTTAGCAGAGAGTGGGCTTCAGTGGACAAATAAGCTGGAAGCTTCATCTTTTCTTTCACTATTTTCTGCTGAATTTTATCTCGATTACCTCCAATAAATGGTGGCTGTTAATGAGAGCTAAATAGAGTTGGATAAACAGTAAAATAAACACTCTATAGCTAAAAGCAGTGGTAGAAATACCTATTACCTTTCCTGTAAGCATTTCAAATAAAAGAACTCCAACGCTCCACCAGTCAGCAGCCTTGTCATGGCCTTTCCCAGTAATAATCTCCGGTGCCATGTATTCTACAGTTCCACACATAGAGTTCGACCTAGCATTCTCATCAAATTCCTTCGCAAGCCCAAAATCCGTCAGCATCACCTAAGCAAAAAATAGAAATCATTCAAGCTACACAAGGGGAGTAAACAAGTCAAGCTTGAGATTGACTAAATATTATGAAAAAGATAAGAAAAATAATAATAATAATATATTATAATAAAATAATATGAATCACTTGGTATAAAAAATATTGTTTGCATATTTTTAACAACTTTATACTTATTTCATTTTAAATTTAATACATTTTAAATGTACTTTATATTCGCTTATTTACATAAGCCAGCTCATAAGTTAACCAGTAAAATCGGAACTATCTCAAGCTAATCCAAACTTAGCTTGTCATCTCATCTCATAAGTTAACGAGTAAAGTCAAGCAAGCTCAAGCTGACCCAACTTAGCTTGTCATCTCATTGAGCTAAGCCTAAGCATGACCATAAGTCAGCTTTGACTCAATTAAACCCCTAATCCACAACAAATTATTCTGTGCAGAGTTCGGACGTCGTCCAAATGCCAATAAAAATACGTCACGTCACCCCAAAAGTGTACCGCGCTCGGTATCGAACACGGTACCGACGCTCGGTACCGAGCTGTACTGAATGGTTCTCCAGCCCGGTGTCCACACAGAATAATCTCTCCTAATCCACAAATACAAAGCATTTAGGGTTTTGCCATAAAAGGAGAGAAGGAAAATACATGGCCATCAGCATCCAGAAGGATGTTCTCAGGTTTAAGATCTCTGTGCATTATCCCATTTGCATGAAGGTGGGAGACAGCAGAAACTATCTCAGCTGCATATATTCTTGCCAAGTCCTCCCTGTAATAATTGAAATAGTTAATTTCTATAAACGTGATTATTTTGATGCATTTAACTAGACCAAAAGGAAAGGAGGCAACACCTGAATAAACCATGATGATACAGTTGAAAGAATAGGTGTCCCCCATTAACAAAATCTAGCACAAGGTATAATCGGTATTTTGTCTGGATATTACATGCAAGAAAGAAAGTTAGATTGAAATGATACTTCAGCATAAACCAAATGAACACTCTAATATGGTAATCATAAATAAATTTCAAACATGTGAAAGAAAATTAGGATGCCGAACACCGTCCGGAGACCAACCAGAATGAGCCATGTCACTCATTCGCTTGGTACCGCAGCTCAGTACCACTGACGTGGCACTGATTGGTCTCCGGAAGGCATTCTGCATCTGGCCTCCGCACATAATAATTTCTCCTCGATATGTGTCCAAGTAAGTTGAAGGGTCAAAGAGACAAATTCAATATATGCTTACCAACGTCAAAGATCCTACTGTTCTAGATGCCAGCCCAATATACTAAAGGAATGCTTATTTTGGTGAAAACATGATTTGAAATAGAGTTTATGAAGTATAATTTTAACAAAATTTAACTTAATAATTCATTCTCTAAATATGACCAATTCGGCTGATTTTAAACAAAATCAGCAAGAGAATTAAGTCCTGCTTTTAAACAAAACTCAAGCACCACATCACAATACTGCTACAAACAAGCATGGTTAAGTATAAATTTGCTGAACTGCAGCAACTACAACCTATTTCGGCCATCAAGATTCAAAATAACATTGTGCCAAATGGCTAAAGAACCATACCTGAAAGGAATATCTAAGCTGGACAATAAATGGATGGTCAACTTTTGTCAATATATCCCTCTCCGCTTTCATGTAAGCGGCATGATTCTTTTCAATTATCTTATCCTTTCTCATAACCTTCATTGCAAATATTTCTGAAGTGCCTTTTTTCCTCACTTGAAAAACTTTGCCGAAAGCCCCTTGTCCAACAAGTTTCAATACTTCAAAATCATCAAGTCCTACTCCTGAAACCTCCTCTGTTTGGTTATCTTTCTCTACAACATCATTAGTGCATGCCTTCTCTTGGTGAACATCAGTGTCAATTGTGGAGCACTCTACAAGATCCAGTAAGCTGTTTTTTTCAAGTGAAGTGAGCTGCAAAAGCTGGCTAATATGAGATGGCCCAACTAGAGCATGCGACCTGTTTTGAATGACCATTGGGGTATCATAATTTTTAACATCAGAAGTTGCTCGTGGGACAAAATTATCTGAGGTGGGACCAAAAACATCAGAAAAATCTAAGTCCTCATGGTCAGCTGAAATAGTATCAGGTGGACCGATCGGTAAAAGTATTTTCATGGTGCAGAGCTTCTGAACACCATTCTTGGTTAAACCAGGTATACCAGAAGAAACCATCTCCAGGAATGATAGATTGGCTAATGGAAAGAGCTCCAAGAATCTGAAGGCACACAAGCCAGTAACTGATCCAGCTAAGGCAAGGACCCTCAACGAATACCAAAAACAGCTGATGAATATGTGCTCCTAACAATGGCCTTTAACAAGTGGAAGTTAACAAAATAACCAGAATATCCCAGGAATCCTGGGAGCAAACCAACCAAAACTCCAGAGCTTTTCTTGTTTCCCGATGCACAGGAAACAGCAGATGCCACTGTACTTCTGGAATACATGAATATCACCTTGTTCTGAGCTGTTAGCAGAAAATCATAAAGGCATTGTCAGTAGCGCACAAAGTAAAAAGGATACTAAAATACGGGCTCCTTTTGATAGCCCAGATGTGCAAGAAAGGGGCACTTCCCACTTTGCCAAAAGGGAAGTCAGGAAGTCACTTCCAAGTGTGTCTCTATTAATAGCATGACACTTATTATTTATTAAATTCTAATATTTGAGCGTTTGATAGAAAGTTAGGATGCTATCCTATTTGACGGATAGTGTTCATTCTTCTTATGCATCTTATACCCTCCTCCCTCTCTCCCTCCAAAGTGTTCATTCTTCTTATATCAGTAAGTCACTTCAAAGTGAAATGTTTCATTGTCTATCAAGGATATGACGCTTCTTAATCTCAATTATTTGAGAGTTAAATAGGGAGTTAGACTCGTATCCTTTCAAAAGGATAGTGTTCATTCTTCATATATGAACCATACCATCGATTAAGCCCTCCTTCCCTTCCTCCAAATTGGCACGCCAAACTTGTCAAAATAGTATTCAGGAAATCACTTCTAAGAAAGTGCTTAATTAACTAAGAAACTTGTCAAAATGGACACCTATGCAACACTAAACAATAAAATAACATTCACTTGCTCCAAATTAACTCAAGCTCTCATAATGAGAAATAAATATATCAATATATCATCATCAAAACCTTCTTCAAGGTTATCTTCTAATGTTGCAGAATAACGACAAAAAGGCCAAATAAATCCATATAAAAATCCAAGCTAGGCGGAGGAATAAGTGTTAATCAGTTTATGTAAAATCATAAAAGTAAAGAATAACACTTCTGGAAAAAAAAAAAACTGTGATCAAATTTACCACCTAGTCAAACTTTTTCTATTGCTGAGGATAAATACCTTATCTCTATTATCACCAACAAAACAGACAGATTATGCATTTTTATTATGATAAATCTAAATAATAGTAGCTTGATTAGCACAAAAAACCTGAACATTTTGTATATCCGTTACCAATCCAGTAAATATAGAGCTAGTTAAAGCTTCAATTGGTACCAGAAGATGTAACAAAATTAAAGCCCTTGGTTTCCTCGATCAATAACAAAACAATAATGACAAATAGAACCAATACAATATAATAAACTGGCAACACAACGGTACAAGGGTGAAACAAATCAAACCGATTAATGCAAATACAAATATCTAAAATTTATTAAAGAAGTGAAAGAAGAACATAAAAAAGGAAGCACTGAATGCGGTATACATTCCATAAAAGGTATGCACGGAAAAAACAAACTCAAATGCATCTCCAACCGAAAAACTCATTTTACACTCCAAAATGCAATACTACTCTAAAATTAACTCATTTCCAACCGAACTCTGTTTCATAACATCAAGAAAGAATATACGCCGTGAACAGTGCGAGTGAACAGTGCGACGCCACCTCGTGCAAAATATCGCTGAATATGGCGTTTGACTGGAGCTCTCGACGACTGCAGACGCTCGTTTGCGTTCGGTTGGAGATGCCCGTTTTTTTGGTAAATAGTTCAAAATTGATTTTAAAAAGTATTTTATAAGCCACGTCTATTGCAATGATTCTCCTCCAACCTTAATTGAAAACATAACATAGATAAAATCAGATGCGCATAAATTGACCTCTTCACACAAACATCATCTCTCTTCTTCCATTTCCCCAAGCTCCATGTCAATGCCCCCTAAATCGCAGCTTGGTCTAGTCGGCTCCATAAGACCAAAAAAAAACCCACAATCAACAATAAAATCCCTCGCCAAACGTCTCCCAGTGCCAACACAACCTCCCCTCATATCCCATCTGCCTAAATAACTCTCACAACTTCCCCATATGCATCCATAAAGACAGAAAACCAGAAGTAAATAATAGCAAACCCTAGCGATGATAAATACAAATAGCAAAGACTACCTAGATCATATCATAGCTGCAAATGAGAAACAACAGCTGCAAGGCGCAACGATTACATAATCAAATTCGAAAAAAAAAAGCCCTAACGGAAGCAAGATCCATAAACAGGCCATAGACCTCAGAAGCAAGATGAAGGCAAAGAAGAAGAAAATCCATGGAAACGAAATCAGAGGAGATTAAAGGAGGGAAATAGAATGGGATTTCTTCTCACCTTGAGAATCAAAGGAGCGACGATTTTTCCTGAAGGAAACCGGCGATCTGTAATTAGCGAATTCTTTCAGGAACTACTATGAGGCCGTTATAAAGACCCGAAGGCGAGCCGATACCGGGCAATGGACGTGTCGGTAGTTGTATGGGTGGTTTGTGGCGCAGCAGGGCCCGCTACAGGGAAAATTCCAGCACGTGGGAATATATTTTATAAGAATATGCGCGGGACAGAATTTCATTACAATAATGAATTTTAAAAATTCCAATTTATTTTAAAATAAATATTATTTACGATTAATTAATTAATTTTTACGATATATTTGTCTTAAAATAAATTTATAAATTTGAAATTCATTTTAATTAAATTTCAGATAAAATTTCCTAATTTTTTTTACTGTGCTATACATCAAAAACAGAATTGATAATTCTAATTCATTTATAAAAAATTAAAATTTTGAGGGTTTATGATCCACTTAAAAAGTTTTTTTTTTTCTAATTCACTATAGTATGCTAAAAATTAGCTAATACCAATAAATATGTCAGGCTTTCAAAATTATAAAAAAAATTATTTTTTATCGACAAACAATATTCTATTATTATGAGCTAATGAGGATAAAAAAATTAAATAAAAAAACAAAATAAATTTTAATCTTTTATGATTAAAATGTTAAAGTTCATAACACAACTAAGATTAAAATATCATTATGTCAAAATTAAATATATCTTATTTATTTTTTTTAACTCCTTAAAATAAATTAACAAATATATATAACTCATAGTTAAAAAACAGCCTATATGTTCTCCTTCATATCGCTAGCTGATATCTACATCACCAATATCTCCTTACCCCTATTAGGATCCCGCCTTCTTGCCAGACCTCAGTGGAAGGCCTTCATTCCCTGGGTCGCACCGCTGGTTATGCGACCTCTGTATTCACTCGCGGTGTTTTATCGCCTCATTTTCCAGAAGTGATCCATATGTCAATCGAGAGCTACTACCCGTCGGAACTAATGCAGGACAAGACATCAATGCTTACGCAATGGGGCAGCAAGTTCGATGATATAAAATTCTCAGCATAATACGCAATTTCTCCTTCAAAGATCTAAATAAAGGAAGCTCTCACACATGTTGGTCGACATGTGTGCATATTCGGAGTAATTTCAATGTTTTCTTTTCACAAGAGAGATTTTTTATGAATAAGCAAATGCATAAAGCCTTTTCTAACTAACATATCCTTAAAATTTGGACCTTTTTTAATAAAACTATTTTAACAAAAGTCAAAAAAAGGTTTTTTTAGAACTTGTAAAAAAGGAACTTGCACGTTGGCCCATGCAGGTCTCGAACCTGCGACCTTCGCGTTATTAGCACGACGCTCTAACCAACTGAGCTAATAGGCCATCTGATTGTATGTTGCAATACATTATTTATATAGATATTAAATTTTGTTATTCCATGAAAACTTGCTCCGTTTTAACACTTGATTGATGTCACCGTGTAGAATATATTACCTGATATTTTATTAATTTAATTATTAGATACTTTCATATTACTATTAATCTCGTCACATGTTATTTACTTTAAAATATTTTTTTAGTGAAAATTTTTACTTAATGAGTTAGCTCAAAATGTTTGGACAATATGGATTATTATGAATCAATTTCAAATTTTGAATATAATTGCATTTATTCATTGATAGAATATATGCGTCTTGTGTCAGTAGCTGATTGAAATTATTAGTTGAATACTTGATGTCCCAATGAATTTCTCGATGTGAGAAATTATATTAAGAGAATTGCATACACTATTATTGCGAGGGTTGCCATTTAATTCCTTGATAGTATCTTCTTCGTCCAAAGAAAAATTATCTAGCTACTTCAAACATCTCTCTGAGCATAATAGAACATTTCTTCATATACTTGGCATAATTGTAATTTAGATTAATTGTGAAGTTACTCTGTAAAGTGCAAGACAACCTTATCATTTAAATCCTAGCCCTCCTATCGACAAAATCTCAAAAACGCAAACCCTAATTGTTTTTATAATACACATAACTCTATTCATTGATATCCTCCCTCAATGAATAGTTATTATAACATCATCTTTGCTAAAACCACAAGGTGGGTGCATGGGTGCTTTTTAAGCTATTATAAATCTTATGTATATTGTTTCTTGTATTATTTGTTCTATATTTACACTAATTCATCATGTCATGCTCTATACATAATAACTCAATATAAATATTTCTCTTTCATTCATTTCAACTTTCTAAGTAGAAATGAATGTCTCTTATTATTCATTTGAGTAAGTGATATAATTTTATTACCTCCCAAATCTTAATGTCTCTTCAAGTTAGAAAATAAAGTTGATATATAATGACACTTTTAGAGGACATATATTCTGACTCTTATGCCTGCCAACAGACATATTCGTAAAATTATGATCCTTATAACTCCCAACATACATACTTCAGATAATTTTGAGAATAGAATAATCATTTAGCACCAAAACAGGTCCTTAGGCACCAGAATGTGCATTTAGCACGAGAGTGTATATTTATCATCAGAATTAGGGGTGTCAATATGTGACACGACCCAAAATTTCGACTCGAATCCGACCTGAAAATTTCGGGTCAGGGTCACCCCGGATCGGAAACGTGTCGGGTTCGGGTTCAATAATTTAGTCGGTTTCAAAAATTGAGTCTGGTTCGAGTTGACCCTTTGACACAAAGTTGACCCATTTTTGACCCGAAAATCCGAGATTAACCCATTTTCGGCTCTCTTTTTTCCCGGAGAAGTGGAAATTGACCCATTTTTTTACCCGAAAACTAACTTTTTTTTTTTTCACGACCATAGGTCATTCGAGTCATGTCGAGTTGAACCGGACCCGAAGCGGGCCGGGTTCAGGTTCCAAAAATTGACTTGTTTGCAAAAAATGTGTTGGGTTCAGGTTGACCCGAATAGTGCCGGGTCAGTTTCGAGTTCGACCCGAACCCGACCCATGACCCAAAATTGACACCCCTAATCATAACTGAACTTCTTTCATCAACATCTAAACTCACCTGAGTCACATAATTTAATCAGATAAATGCATAATTCATTACACTACATTAATTAAAATATAAATGAACTCATTTCAAAATTTCACAAAATTCTATAAAATTAGGCACCAAAATAAACTATTGTGCATAGATTTACTCTTTAAAATTGTTACCAAATTAATAGAGATTATCCAAAATACTATTTAAATACTTCAATTGTATCACAGCTTTTTTTTTTGAGTCATTATTATTTTCTAATCAATTAAAATAGCATTATTCCCAACATTCCAACTTCCAAGTGTAAATTTTCTAGAAAAATACCTAAATGTTCATAATAATTGTCTCTATAACATATAAAAAGTTATAATGTGAAAGTTTTGCAGATGTAAAGTTGTCCTCATTTTTCAACAGTGAAAATATAAATTAAGCAAAAAAAACTCTACAATTTTTTTTAAAAATTAAGATAGGCAAAAATGTCACCTACCTCAATCCGAGCAACCTTCAAAAACTGAGTCATTAGCTTAAAATGACCTGAATCAGCTCAAATCCACCTTTCTCTCTCTAATATTCTCTCTCTCTAGCTAGCAACCACCTTAGGAAAAATGAATGAGATTTTTTAATTTGGAATATAATATTTTCTTATTAAAATTGAGCATAGCGTTGCGCTGCCCGACACGACTCTAGCTACCTTAAAGAGCCCACAGCACTGCAACTTTGCCCCATCACCGCCACGTTGATTTATTTTCCAAATTTTTCGAGATCATAGGCCTCAAAGCGCCACCAACCTCAACGCTGCAACGACCGAGGGGAAAATTCAGACATTTCAAATATGGAAATAGACCCCCGTGACCCATTTCAGAACACATGTAGACTATCACATGCTCATAGAACATTCCCACATATGAAAAAGGGTTCAAATGCAAAAATATAATGATTTAATTTATTCTAATTGAGTCAAAATGGATTGATGTAGTGCAAGAATGTCTCTAATCAAACACCCAAAATACTAAATCTATATATGCAAAATAAAAGTTTTTAATCCAACACATTCTTTAATGTAAATTTAGGACTTGCTAGCTGATCTGAAAAACTTCTACTCCATATATTTTAATGAACATACATTCAATATGTTAGCGAGAAGAATATAAACAAAAACCTTCAAAATAATAAATTATTATGTAAATTTTCAACTGCTAATTAGAAAAAAAAATAATTTACTAAAAGATTTAGAACATTCTATATACAAATTTAAAGACATGAAATAACTCATTTAGAAAATCATATATGATGAAAAGCTGATGAAATGATATAGTTTACGTGTTACCTTATGTACTATTGCGACTTAAGGCTAGCGAGGGACTGCGCTTGGAGTGTACAAGCTTGAGCAGATGAATATTGATGGAAAATTTGATGAAATATCATTTTTTTTATAGTGAGCTTTGAAATTCATGATAGACTATCATATCTTTAATAATGACAAAAACACAAATGGAGGCATACACAAGGAGAATAGTATTTTTTTTTTCAAGAGGTTTATGGGGTGGGTGACTCTTCTAGATCAGCCGAAGATTAGTGAAATCCTGTGAAAACTATTTGGCAAGATAACTACTAAATCCTGTGAAACTATTTGGTAATATAATATAGGATTTAAGACGGTTAATTTATTAAAAATTCAAATTTAAATAAAAGTTATTTATTAATTTAAGTTATAATTACCTTCAATAAGTTACAATTGTAAATAATATAATTAGAAGCTAATTTAATTATTAAATAATTCAATTGTATATGTAACTATTATTCAAATAGCTTTTATTTACTAAATATACTATTAATTATGCAATTAATTATTTAAGTGCCTTATTACTAACTAATCCGCTGAATCATATGATGTAATAAATATGTGATTTATGATAAAAAGGGAAATCAAATGTTTTAATTCACCATGAGATTTAAGATGTCCATTTTTTCTATTTAGCAGTATTTAACGTAAGTTCGGTCTCAAATCCAATAACAAACAACCACTTAATCTTACAAAATTAGACTACCATAATTGATAAAAAGAACTAATAAGATGGAGAGATGTTTCTTTACTTAAAATATTAATTTTTAAATTTGTACAGTTTGATATAAATATTATATATTTATCTCAAAATAAATTACTCTTGAAATAGACATCTGGATTTCTATCGTACAATTGTTGCTTCTAATCTGATCGCTCTCAGAGGCGAGTCGGCCCATCGTAACCGACTCAAATTCTAGTGGAATCATTTTCAACGGGGCTAGACCCCGTGGTTTTCCCCCTTTCAAGGGTTTTCCATGTAAAAAATCTTATGTTCTATGTATGTGAGTTGGATATCTGTACATAGCTAGGACGTACAATTAAAACTCTATCTCCGCGTATATTTAGCAGGATTTAAGAATATATATATATTATTTATCATTATACACTTAATAATGATTTTTTGTTCTAAAAGATGTAAATATTATTGGAAGTTCATGAAAATGTCAAAGGTCAAATAAATTCTTGCTTACTATAGGCTATAAAATAGGAAGAATTATTTTGTGCGGACACCGGATGACGTCTAGTGACCAATCAAAATGCGTCACGTCATTTTTTTGTTTAATGCTGGTATTCTTTACCGCTGTGTATTGGGTGACGTGTCAAGTTCTGATTAGTCTCTGAATTGCCCGATGTCACAAAATAATTTCTCACCAAATAGATCATTTTTAATGATTAATTTTCCCTCGTTGCTTGCAAAGCGATTCAAATAAGTTTCTAACCCTAAACATACAGCTACTAATCATCATAAATTCGCTTAAAATAAATTAATAAAAAAAAATTTGCTTTAAATAATAATAATAAAACAAAATAAAATCACTTTTTACTTTTAGAAATATGCCTCGCGCCTCTGCCCTTACTCGCAAAACTCCGTCACTACCGCTTGGGATGGTGGGCCCCACATGGATGTCATGCCGCCAAATGCCGCCGTCCGACGAAGAAACCGCGCCCGACGGCTTTCTTCGGCTGACCCTTTCGATGCTCACCGCTTCAACAGCCTGTTCTATAAACGAGAGAGAGAGAGAGAGAGAGAGGATTCTTAGGCTTCTTCGAGTCTTTAGAGGCGGACCAGCTGGTGATCGCCATTTCAACATCGTTCTTTCGATCTGAGTTTGGTCGATTTGAGGGAATCGGTTCTGATCGATTGGTTTAAAAATTGGAGTCCTGGTATGTAGGATTGTTACCTGTTTCACTATGGTAAATGTGTAGCTGCATTTTGTTTCCATTTGAGATGCTGTTGAAAATAGAAATATTTCTGTTGTGGATTGATGTGTTCGTTTGCTTTATTTTTTAGGGGATTTTTGGAGAACTGCCTCTTTAGGTTTATTTCGTTTCAGATGAGAATAGGGAAGTAGTTGAATGATCTTTCTTATGAAGAAGATGATTTTGATGAGATCAGCTTTCGGGGAGGGGAGGCCTTTTTTTTTTTCTATTTTTATAAGTCTGTTGTAGGAAGTAAAAACTGCTCAATTTGTAACGTGAATTATCACTTTTGATATGAGATTTCCTGGTCAAGGTTTCTGTTTAAGATTGTTCTTATAGTGCGAAGTTGTCAAGAGGAGAATCGTGCTCTATGGGGCTGTTTGGCTACAAGTAGGATTTTCTTCAAGTAGGCTTAGTAAATTGATAAATTCTCGAAGTGCTCAATCATGGCAAATGTTTGGTAAAATAGAAGTTAAATGAATGAAATAGAAGCACAATGAAGAGAGTGGTGTAAATGTCTTAAATCGTACTTCCCCATGGATACACTAAATCCTAAATTTAGCCTAAAAAAAAGGATTCAAGAAGGTGGTAGAACTTATATAGCTTAGAGAACTATTTGACAATTTTTAATATAAATTCTAGCTACATCTTGACTAAGGCTTCTCTGGGACAACTTTCTTACTACTTTGTAAAACTGTTGTAGAAAAAGTAAATTTTTAAAATTATTATAGAAAGTAGTTCCATAGTACAAAATATTTTGAAAGCAGTAAAAAAATAATGGTCAAATAAAAATTATGGTTGCGAACTGAAAAATAAAGCAGTAAAAAAGCTGGCCCAAATAAAGCCTGAATCTTGTAGCCAATCAACCCCTATACATATTTGTTATTAATGACTAATTAGATGGATTTTTTTAAGGTTAAGCTTGAGAAGGGATTAAGTTGGGTGTAGTCAGATAAGTAGTGATTAAGGTTTTGTTTGAGACAACTTTTATACTGTTTTGTTTTTCAAATTGCAGGCCCAATTTCTATCTGGCCATTTCTTTTCATGTCTTTCAAGAAATTTTTTTATGCTAGAAAGCTACTTTCTATAACAACTTTATAATCACCTTTATAAAAAGTTGTGGCTATCCCAAATGGACCCTAAGCTGCTTTATCAAAATGTAGGCCAAAATTATGAGATTGGCTAATTATTTTTTAATTTAAGATGTTGATTATACATAGTTCAAATTATTCAACGTTTAAAGCAATAAGTAATTTTGAGTTCAAAATGCTGATCATCTCCTTTTCTACCATATATGAATAGGCCAGACTAGTTTTTGCAACCAACTTCTTTGTCTTTTGATAGAAAAAAATAGTCTCTATTAAATAAGAAACGCGTTAATTGAATTTAACAAAGCATATGCACATCTTTAGCTGAAACTAGCTCCTTCCATTCTCTCTTATGTTAACTTGTAGAGCTTAAATTTTATCCTATGAAGAAAATGCTTTTTACAATTTATTGAGGGTGGGAATCTCCCTCCTAGGAGTTCAGAGTGAAGCCTTTGAAAGGTTTCTAATATTTGTGGATTATTTTATTATGTGTATTTTGCTAGGTTGGCTTTATTGATTAGAAGAAATAGTAGCTGCAATTAGTATCAACTTATATATATATATATGAAACTTGAATCAAAATCCAATTTATGTTTCTCTTTTCTCGTTTCTTTGCAGAATCAGAAGCTTTATTTTTGGGAAATTATGGTATAGGTTTCTTTACAGACCTCTTAAAAAACTAAGTAGGATGGCAGCTAGTAAATCTCATTCATGGTGGTGGAACAGCTATATCAGTCCAAGAAATTCAAAATGGTTGTCTGAAAGTCTTCAAGGTAAGAGTTACAAAGAATATCAATTATATTTATTTATTGACAGGCTTCCAGAGGTGGTATATTGTGTATCATCTAATTGAAATGAAATTCTGCAACTTTCCACTTATTAATTTAAGACTTAATATATTATATTTGATTGATCTACATGATTTTTAACGACATTGCATTTTTCTTTTTTTGCTTTAGAGACTGATCGCTTGGTTAATGCAACGCTGAAACTGATTGAAGAGGATGGTGATTCATTTGCAAAAAAGGCTCAGATGTACTACCAGAGGCGACCTGAGTTAATTGCCCATGTTGGGGACTTTTACCGCATGTACCGTGCGCTTGCAGAGCGGTATGATCATGTAATTAGTGATATCTCCAAGAATATTCCCACTGAACTCCAATCTCAAGGTTCAGTTAATGGTTCTGAATTTGGCACAGAAGCAACTTCACTATCTGTAACTTCCTCCCCAGACCGAACATCAGAACATAAGCTGAACCATCTCAAGCCACATTGGAAGTCTTCTAGCTTTGAATTATTCCTTGGGAATGGGGAAAGATATGATCACTCTAAAAAGGGTTGTGATGAGTCATCATCAGAATCTAGTTCTTACTGTGATAATGGCAATGTTATAGATGATTTTGAGAACTCTTCTAAGCTGGAAGAAAGGATAATTGAATTGGAGCAAGAGCTTTGTGAAGTAAGGGAGAAGCTTCACAAATATAAGATTGGACACGAAGAACAGTGTGAAGATTTGGTTAACAATGAACATTTAGATTTATCTTTAACAACTTCATCCTTTGATAACCAACCTGTAGTTGCTAATAAGATCTTCATGGAGTTGGTGAAACAAATTGAAAGATTTCAAGCAGATTTACCGGATAGTAAAGAAGAGGTTGAAAATCTCAAAGATGCAATGGAGGCTGCTGCTAATCAGTTCGAGATTGAAATTTCGTGCAGGAACAATATTATTATTAAGTACAAGACATGGCTTGATGAGGTATTGAAAAAGTTTGAAAACGATGAAGCTGAGCAGATTTCAGAACACAGATCAAGCCTAGAGATCAAAACTGTGGAGCAAGAGGAAATGATTAAGGAACCGAAGGCCTTGGCGACACAATCTTCTAATCAGCTTCTAGAAGAGAAGTCTTTGCTGGAAGCTAAAATTTCCATACTTATGGCCTCAAGCAGTTCCTACCAGTCAAAGATTCAGTTTTTTGAGGAACGGGTAAAGCAGTTAGAAGCTGAGAATAGTGAAGTATGCATGGAGAGTGAGAAGCAGATAAGTGAACTAAATCAAAATCTTTATAAATTTAAGATGAAAATTGACATGTTGACATTAGAGAAAGAGGAGCTCAATTCTGAAGTGATCAGGCTTATTGAGGATATTGAAACTTGGGATGATGAGTCTCGTAAGATCGATGAACAACTGCGTGAGCTGCAATTAGAGCACGAGAAGCTAATCCAAGAAGTTGAGGATGCACGAAAAGCCTCAATGGAGCTAACAAATAGAGTAAGGGAGCTTGAAGAAGAGGTGGAAACGCAGAGGGGAGTGATTATTGATTGTGCCGAGGGGAAGAGGGAGGCTATCAGGCATCTTTGCCTCTCTCTGGAGCACTATCGTGATGGGTACCAGCAGCTACGGCAGATTCTACGGATGAAATTCAAAGGCCTGCAATCATAGCTAAGTAAAAAGCTTTTGTTTGGCGTTAAAGCTTCCATCTTTGCACCTGGTACTTTCTTCTACCTGGTTAATGTAGTTTCTTCTGAAGGAAAAGCTGAGCAGAAAGTTCTTTTGGTTGCGTTTGTCTGAGCATATGTGGGTTGAAAGTCCTGTCTGCTTTGTATCAACCTATACTTTTTTGAAGGAGAAGCTTATTGTTATTTGAAGCGGCGGTCGCAGTGGCTCTAAGATGAAACTTTGCAAGATTAGAAAGGATTTTAGGCTTCGTTTGGGACGGTTTTTTTATTGCTTCTTGAAGCAGCTTTTTAGTATAAAAATTAAAATTTTTTTACTAAAAAGCTGCTACAAGAAACAGTAAAAAAGCCGTCCCAAACAGAGCCTTAATGAGTTTTCTCGCATGTTATCCGGAAAGATCAGTATTTCATTTCAAAAAGGTTTGTTACTCGTTAATATCTTCATAGTTGATTTTGGCAATGCTGAGTTTTTATATGAATAATTCAATATGTTGGAGGGAAAATTATTACATGTGGCGTCTGGATTCGTTCAGAGGCGAATCCAGACGTGCCACGTCACCCGGGACCCGGTGCATTCAGGCGACATGGCGTCTTCGAACAGTCCGAACACCGCACGTAATAATCTAATGGCTCTTTTTGGCTGCTAATGAAAGAGTGCTATCTTGGATAGATTATAAGAACAGAACCATGAGCCTGCTGTGATGAGAAAATGAGAGGGGCGCTGAAAGGAAGAAGTAAAGCTAATTGATACAGAGATGATTCAGCTCATGGATAAAGGCATGACGTTTTGGCTGGCTGAATTTAGAACAAAAGAAGAGAGACCAATGATTTAACTTCTGCTTAGTTTTGGATGGCTTTTTTGCTATTTCTTAAATAATTTTTTAGTGAAAAATTTGAAATTTAATTTTATGTTAAATAGATTTGAAAATTATTAGATTTTTTAATTAGTATAATGCAAACTTTTCATGAATGGCAGTAATTTTAAAATAAATGTAATGATTTTCAAGTCCAATATATTATGCATATATATTTTTTCATCTTTGAATCTGTGTTATAATCATTTGAAGATGTTTTCATGAATTATTTGGTTAGCATCGACCATGTAAATCAAGGTTTTGTTTTGGACGATTTTTTAATTAAAAAATTTATAGTTCAAAACATTTTTATTCAAAAAAGTTCTTTTAGAAAGCAATAAGAAAGCAATAAGAAAACCGTTCTAAATGAAGCCTAAATGGATGTTAATATTTTATTTTCTTACCGTTTTAAATTAAAACATGAAAATTAAACCGATGTTAGTATTTCATTTTCTTGAATTTTAAAAATATTTTAAATTATATTGAAATTAAATAATAAATGAGTGCGAAAATAAAAATGTAAATATGCCAAATGAAAAGTATAAATATAAATTTTTTTAATACTTTTAAAGAATAAAAATACTAGATTGTTGAGATTATAAATGGACAAATTATGAATGAATATGAAAATAAATTGACAAAGGCAAAAATATGAATATCAAATTAAATATATGATCATGGCGGCACTCGATCTAAAATAATATATATATATATATATATATATATATATATATATATTATTTAAATCCATTGTGATCACCCCTCACCAACCTCTTGTCTGAGAAGGAAGATAAAATGGGATAGGAAGGAGGAGAGAGAGAGAAGTGAGAGAGGATTTTGGATGCCAAGGAGTTGCATTCATTTGTTGGGCCAATTAAGGAGTTTGTAGAGCACGAGATAGACTTCTAAACACCTATATCTAATTTTAATTCTAGTTGTTTCATAAAAAACTTTGAATAAAAATATAATTTTCTTGAGTTTTATGATATTTTCACGTGTAACTTTTAGTATGTTTGTGTATGCTTTATTCTGAATATTCCGATAATAAGAAATTGGATTTTTGCATGTTGGTTTTCTCTATGTTTATTTCTATACATATTAAATAAATGGAGGCATTTTGTGTTATCATAATAATTATATAAAAGGCTTAAAATATTATTTTGGGTATTTCTCTAGAATTGTGATTAGAATGCAAATTGTACAGTGAGTAGGTTATTTATATATGCAGTGTGGCTTATTGATGGCAATTATGACACTCCATAATCATGTGTGAACGATTTAATAATCTACTATTACATATATTATTCATATCATGATATTGGAGGAGTTCTGATATTTCATATGTGATAAGTACACACTCTAAAATGATACAAAGGTCATGTATGTTTTGTTCTGATTCTGACCCCACTTGCTAAATATGAGTGTGAGAGTTTATTTTGTTATGTCATAGCCTCATTTATTGTATGCAGGTATGAGAGATTAAAGGGAGCTATAAATATAAGTGGAGTTATAAGGACATGTGAATCATGCATTACATATTCTGAATTAAGTTCAATTAATATTTAAAACATATTTTTATAACTCTGAAATCTCTCTAAACACTGATAAAATAAGAAATGCAAGTGTAAGTAAGATTTTGCTGGTCATTATTCTTTAACATCTTTCGTATTTTTCTAATAGTACAAGTGATAATTCTAAAACTAAATGCACTCTAATAATGACGAGAAAACTACTTTTAACACTCTATGTATCCATTAATGAACATTAGAAAATATTATTATTAGCAATTTAAAGGGTTGTTAATATATTGAAAAGCCCCGCTAAAGTTCAGCTGAGTAAAGAAGGACAAGGATAAGGTCATCTAAGTCAGCTACTAAGGTATTTTTTATAATTCAATTTTAATTTCTTTTAATGTATGAAATTTATGTGAACTGGATTATTGTATATATATATGAGTTTTGAAGAATGGAGATGATGTGAGATTTATATTACTCTTACATTGGATTTTATAGCCAGCTCTGATTTATTCTGCTTGTGGTTGTTTTAAAATTTAGGTTTAGACATTCAATCATTCCATTAGGTCATATGATATCACAGATATAATGAAATGAATATTGAATATGATGGTAACTATTATGTTACTAGGCAATATATATGTTGTGAAATATGTACACGCAATAAAGGCTAGCTAGCTACTATGATTTAAGTTTATAGATAAATGTACATTGCTTATGAGGGTGGACCGATGAGCTTTCCTTCAAAATATGGTTAATAGTGTGAACTCAATACATGACATGGGAGGCATGAGGGGACATAGTATGATTATGTTGATTGACTACCCCTACACATTATGCTATATAATTGTTTATATAAATATGCCATGATACAAAACATGATACAATATGTAAAAACATCATATTTGTTATGACTCCCAAGAAGACTTTTTTTTTTTTTTGCTTAATATTGTATGTCTATGATGCTAAGATATGATATTTTATATGACACGATATGATCTCACATGATATTAATGTGCATAAATACACGCTATGATGAAACATGAATACTCTAAAATTTTATCTTGCATATTATTTCATATACATGTCAATTTCATTTTATGATAGTATTACTATATATGATGATAAATTTAATATTAATTGAAGTATCAAATGATATTCAAATCTTATGTGCTTATAATCAAATTGTGCCAATCAATTAGATGAATTGAAAGAGCCTATGATCATTCAATTATAAGGTTAATAAAACACTATTATAGGTGATAAAAGATATATGATCAAGGGGATCAATATGCACAGTTATGTTGAGCGTTTTTTATCATGACAATATTTTATCAAAATGCCCCCTCTAAAAAAGCTATGATCATATTTTTTATATGAAATAAGTTTGAAAATTGAGAGATCTTAAAAAATCTTTGCGACATTGACATTATATTATCATCTCCATCCTACATTTTTTTTTTCTATAGTCTCTATAATGAAAAAGAAATAACTTTTCTCCATTATATAATACTGTATAAGAGTGATTTGTAAAATTTTTAACAAATATCATAAAGCAATATCGTACGACTTTCATGCTTCATTACATTTTTGCTTGTATATTTTCTAAAGGTAGTTTTAAAATTGCTGTTTGGGAGAATGAAGTTTTCTAACCGAGAAATTAATATAAAAAATCTTTTGAAAAATAATGCAAAAATATAATTTTCTAAAAAAACATTTCTATAAAAATGTCACATACAATGATACAAACAAAAGCGCCCAAAAAAAAAAAAAAAAAAAAAAAAAAAGAAGAGAATAAAAAATCTGACATTTCCAAACTGAAAAGTAGAAATTAAGCGGTCTCAAATTCATTTCCTTTTAAACCACCGGTGCATTGCTTGGCGGACTTATAAATCCTCAATGACAGGAAAGCCTTCTTTATATATTTATTAATTATCAACTCGTCCCTGTTAGCCTGTTTGGGATTGAACTCTCGCGCCTCCATACCCTGCTCAGATCGATCTCTTTTACGATTTTCTCAAATTTACTTGACGGATTCCTCTTCCAAGGTGCACCCCCTCCTCGTTTAGCATTCAAATAACTTCAACGCAAAATTTATACCTTTTGGCATTATTAATGCTATAATCCTTAACGATTTGGTTTGCTGGCCATAGAAGGAGCAATTTGCTTTGGAAAAAGCTAGGGTTTATCAAATGGAATTTCATTACTAATAAAAATCGACATTTTAGATATCAAGGGTTCTACAATCTTCACTAAAAGATGTCTAATCAGTTTGCGTTGGCGGTCTACTGTGTTGTACTCCTAAAAACCGCTTCTGTTCTTGCGAACTGTTTGTTTTTCGCTTCATCAATCTGTTTGGCGTTTTTCATGATTCAGTTTATTTTGAATTGTTTTAGTTGGAACATTGCTTGACTTTTTTGAGGGTTTATGTGCTTTTGCAGATTTTGTTCTACTGAATTGGAGGTTTCCAAGCATAATATTTTGGTTTTTGACTTCCTTTTGGATGCAATGGGTAGAAAGAAAAATCGGCCAATGCGTTCTGGTTCCCTTGTATCAGAAGTTGATGATCCTCAGAGCAGTGGTGTCGCTGAACAAAGTTTAGTGGCTGAAGGTCTCTGTACGACTGCCGGAGAGAATGCTAATTTTTGGAAGCCATTCTTTATTGAGATTGAGTCATGCACTTCGACATTTGATGAGCATTTTGATGTTGCAGAAGTATCACTTGACAATGTGAGTTTTTTTGATGGATTCACTAATTTACTGGTGGAAGATAGTTGTGTAGACGGTAATTTTTCTCTTCGGTTCTGCTTATTGGGTGTAGAAGAAGGTTCCCTTAGATTGGGCAATTTTCCTGTGCTATCAGCTGATAGTATTCTATTGGAGTACATTTGGTTGGGAAGACCTGACTCAAATGGTTGCAGAGAAACTATTATTCTTTTCTCGGGACAATTTGATGGCCCAAATGAGTGTATTTCTGGTCTTGTGCACTTGGTGTTATTTAAGTTTCTGGGATTAAGGCTTATGTTGGATTCCATACTTCCCAATAATTCATCTGCTAGGGTCAGGATTGAAGTTATGAGAAGTGCATTTGATGCTTGCGGGTACCCTTTGGAGGTTGCAAGACAGCCTTGGAGAAGAAGTATGATGAGCGTTATGTCTTGGTTGCGCCCTGAAGTTGTGACATCTGAATTTATATATGGAATAGGCCAATCAGAAGTGATAGATGATTATAAATGTTGTGAATCTAGAAGTTCTGGTTCAAGGAACCGTTTTGAGTTTAATGCTGCTGGCTTTTATGAAGCTATTAAACCCTCAAAGTAAGTAACAATAGCTATTATTTGTGCATTATCAACTAGCTTATTAATAGGCATTTTGCAATGTTTCATGCTTCAGATTCTAGGCAACTTGGTTGTTATGATGTCTAATTTAAACAACCTAGTGATACACTTTTCTACCTAACTGATAGCTCGCCATATATTTCATGAAAATGATTGGACATCTAAACTGGAAAACTGGTTCTTTTCTTCAAGAATAACTAAGCTTTATGTACATTAGTTGCTAAGTAATCCAAAATTTTGTTTGTTTGAATCAATTTAGTTTATGGGATTGTAAATGAAATCCTTATATGCTTGGTGTTGTTGAAAAGTCATTATTTCAACTTCATTGAAAAGTCATTATTTCAACTTCATTCCTTTTTATTGTCTCAAAGTTTTAATGAGTTTTCTAGAGTTTCTTAAGTTATTATTTATTATTCTTGCTGATTACAGAGAAGAGCCAAATTTGGAAAGTGATCTTCCAGATCTACTTCCTTGTCTTAGACCATATCAACAACGTGCGGTTTACTGGATGGTTTCTAGAGAGAAGGGATCATCTGCTGAAAAGTTTGAGCAATTTTTGTTAGCTCCGTTCTCCGTTCCTGTTATGTTCTTGGAAGGAAAATCCAAAATGTTCTACAATCCATTCAAGTACGGTTCCAATAAAAAGGAAAACCCTTTTATGTTACTTTATGCAACTTTTTTATTTACAATAAATAACATAAATGTTGCAGATATCCATTTAGATTTATGACTGCTATTTGTTATTGTTAAAGCAAATGATGGATTGATTTTTACTAGTTTTGGGAGTATACAAGTAATGTGATAATCTGATGTCAAAATTGTTTTAAGATGGCTTCGATAATTCATTTTAGTTTGATTTCATCTCTGATTAACATAACTTTTCCTTGATATACACAAGGGATTCCATAACTTGAAATTGTATGTTGTCCATGTGGGTGTATGCATACTATTCTTGTTAAAAGTTTCACGTACTGAGGACTGACAAATCTGTGATAACTATGCATTTCAATGATTTATCCCTTAGAAGATGCTCAACTAATTATCATCAGTAATGTTTAACAACATATCCACTGGTTAAGTGAACCTTGAACCAATTTTTAATTTAAAGGCACAGCTCCAATTTGAAAAGACTTGCAAGGGAGTTGACTAATTTCTACAACTATTATTATTCTATGTCAAGACTCAACTCCTAGTGTCAATAGTTCTACAAGAAAATATAAATTTCAAATTAGAGAGGTTCTAACAATCCTTTTTATTGGAAAATTTTATTTAAAAGTACTGGAACTGGTTTTATTTTATGTGGCTTTCACTATGTACACTTATTCAAGCTTTGCAAATGATACATATCAAGCTAACGGTCAAGAAAGTCCCATTCAAATTACCATTGGAGAACCTACATGTGCGATAAGTCACAAAGGCAGAGAGGAAGTTAGTAGGATGTTTACCCAAATTTTGGCCCACGAGGACCTGAAAGGGCTTGTTAATAAGAGCCTAGTAGGACCATTAAGTGTTAATCTCTTCCAAGTGATTGATTAATTGCTTTAATAGAATTATTTTAGTTATTCTTGTTTTTTTTTTTGAATTTGAAAAGTTGGAGGGGCTTTTATGTAAAAGTGTAAAAATCTGCTTATTTAAAGGCCTTGAGAATAAGAAATCACTTACTTTTGGTTGCTTATTTAATTTGTAATGTGTTCTTAATTACTGCTGACTGCTGCCTATTGGGCCCCTCTTGGAGTCTCCAAGAATTCTTTTCCTCTTCGTCCAAGTCTCAACTGAGACCCTCATCTTTCTTCTAGCTTTCAGCCGCCAATCCTTAGGTGCTGCCTTGGTGTCTCTAAGAACTGCACACTCTGGTTCTGTTCTTCGAGTTTCTAAGAGCCACATCTCATCTTCCCCTCCAACTCTCATCCATCCAGCCAGGCGTTGCATTCTGGTAATTCTACCGTGAGGATTTTAGATGATGGGCTCCTTCTGATCCAGTCAAGCACTCGCCATCCTTCTTGGATCAAGCACTCACCATCCTTCTCGGTTCTTGCCGTACACGGACAACAGCTCTTAGAACTGAAGGCTTTTGGTTGTTCAAACGCCAACATGTCTCTGAAAGTTGGAGAAGAATCTTTCTTCTCTCGGAATTTTGAAATAGATGGAATTCCAGATCACATTCACTGTTCTCAGATCTTGCAAATTTAGTAGTCAAGAACTTTCTCTCTCCTAGGTTTTGTAAACCGGTTCTCTGTTTTTTCCTAAATCCCCGATAAGGTTGTATCATTTCACTTTTATTGGCAAGAATGCGTGATTTTTCTTTTTGCTTTTGTTTCTAACCTGAAGTGAATTCCCTCCTTTTGCTATCATGTTCTTGTTTTAGCTTTAATTGATCCTTAGCAACTTGTTGGGGAGTTAATGACACGAGTGATAGGTCATTGGTTAAGCATACATGAATATTTATTAGAAAAACCATCTTGTAAAATTTATCTATCAAATTGCCATGGACGACGTAGAAGTGTATGCTCTGCTTGCATAGGAATAACATTGCATAAAACTTCATCTTCATATCTTTCAATTTTAAAAGCAACTAAGACTTGTTTATTTTCCTTTACTTCTTCACTATCATTTAACCATTGTAATTTATATGGTTTAGGATATTTAAGTGTGGATAACCCTAATTTTGTGATCATTATAGTGCTAGCTACATTACTACAATTACCACCATCAATAATTAAGCTACATACCTTATCCTTGACAAAACACCTTGTGTAGAAAATGTTCTCTTGTTGTGTTTCCTTCATTTCTTTGGTTTGCACATTAAGAGCTCTCCTTGCCACCAACTAATCTCCTGGGACAGCGAATTCCTCCTCACCATTTAGCAATACAACAAGATTTTCTTTTATGTGGTCATCTTCTTCATCTATCTCCAGTTCCCCATCATCTACCATTACCATGAGACATTTGTTTGGACATTGAATAGCAATGTGGCCCCTACCTTGACATTTAAAACATTTTATGTCATGATTACAAGGCACAAAATGTTCAGTTTTACCTTTAGGATCGTGTGAACGACTACTCTCCACTTTATGTTCAAATCGAGGCTTGAGGTGTAAAGGTAGCTGTGGCCGATCTTCCTTTCTAGAAAAGCTGGGTTTACAAGAGTGGTGGCCGGAATTGGAGGCTGCTTGGGAGTTTTCTTTTCTTTTGATTTGCCTTTCTACCTTTATAGTCATGTGCAACATATCTTCGATTTCCACATAATGTTGTAGTTCCACTTGTTCTTGAATCCCTGGATTCAGGCCTTGTTAAAATCTAGCCACGGTGGCCTTGGGATCTTCTTCCATATTAGCTATAATCATCACTTTTTTCATTTCTTGGAAGTATTCTTCTATATTTTGGTTTCCTTGCTTCATAACTTATAATATTTTATATAACTCCCTATAGAAATGACTTGGAACAGATCGTTTTCTTATTATAGTTTTCATTTCAAGCCATGTTTCATTAGGATGCTCTTGATTCCTCTTTCGATTGAACACCATTTGATCCCGCCATACCAAGGCATGATCAGAGAATTATGTGGCGTCAATTTGTACCTTCTTTAGTTTGAAATAATTATAGTAGTCAAAGATCACTTGTATCTTTCTTTCTTATTTAAGATATGTTTCTGGATAAGCTCTACCATGGAAAGAAGGGATTCTCATTTTGATATTTCCCATATTATTATCTTCCCTTATTCTAGCTTCACGATTTCCAAATTCATGCATCCTTTCTCTATTTTGTGGTGAATTTTCTAATTTGCCTAACTATTCTTCTTCCTCATCAGCAAATTGATCCCACATACCCCTTTGTGGCATTGGTCCGGGTTGAATGGGTGAGTTCCTTCGATTTTCCAGCTCCAATCAGTCCAACCTTTCATGGATTTGTGCATATTCAGCCCTCATTATCCGCCTAACTTCACGTTTTCCATTGAACCGTTTAATATGTTTGTCGAAGCATGTGCAGGCATTTTGATTTTGATACTTCTAAACATTTTTTGATGTAGATGCTTGATGCACTTGCACATTTCTCTGCATTGCATGGTGCACTTTCATGTACTTGTGTGATGCACATGCATATTTGAGAAATTTTCATGCAAACTATAAAATCCCTTGAATTGGAAGCTAAATGAACTAATCACAAGTCACAATTTATGAGGATGAAAAGAGCAGGGGAATTGCATTGAAACACATCGATTCAAAAGTGCAATTTTTCAACTTTGGTCGATATAAGTTTCGCATGGATCAAATCGGGATCAAATTTGACCAAATTGAAATCCAACATATAGGAAAGATGAATAGTTACATCCGTTATTCTCTTCTTTTTACGTCATTTTTGTGAGAGGCACAATTCTTCTATGCTATCTAGTCATAATAATTACTTTTGAGTTATATTGCACTAGTATGGACTATTGAGGATAAAAGGCTCCTATGTTGGGCCTGCTTCAATTCATTATATTAAGTGGTTATTTGACAGAAAAAATTGGCGACAATTCCAACTCATTTTTTTAAAGTAAAAAATTGATGTAGATTACCTATCTAAACATTACTCAACCATTTTCTTTCATGTTGAACTTATCAAATCTATCTTAGATGAATAACTTTTTTATCTTCTCTCATGATCATGTTCTACTGTGTTCTTTCACATATGCTAAATTTGAGTATGTTTTCCTTCTGGGCAAACCAAGAGAGTTACCTCCACATAGGGATTAGGTTAATTCTTCAAACATAAGAAGAACATACCAATATGCAAAATAATTTAAGGAAAAAATATTAAATGGGTTACTTTTGGGTCAAAAGCGGGTTTGCGAGTCAACCCAAATATGATTTGTTTAATAAACGGGTCAGAATTTCAAATTTGAACCCAACTTGCTAATTAAATAGTTCAAATCGAATCCATATTTTTTTGGTCGGGTTGGCATGCTGGGTCATTTATTGACACCCTACGCAATGGGTTACAAGCTTATTCATATCGTGATTTATTAAATAAAAGTAAGCTCTCAATTCTCATATAGAAATAGAAGCAGCTTCATAACTTCGTATGTCAATCATTAAGAAGATACACATGCAATGAAGCATTTTTAAGCATATTTCTCATATAAAAAAAATAATCAGGAAGAAAACCAACTGGATGAATCCTTTTCGGCCTATGTTAAGAAAGGTAGCGATAGATGTAAAAAGACTTGGTTACAAAGTATTAGAAATGACTTTTTTATTAGATTTAAATGAGAATTTGACTCTTAATTGGACACAATGGAGAAAAATGATTCATATAGCCGATCCCGTGTAGTGTGATTAAGGCTTGATGTTGTTGTCGCATCAATTAATCATTGCAACACTCAAATGAAATGAATGAAGAATGGAGGTGCTTAAACCCATCCCAATTAGTTGGGATAAATCTAATGATGATGCTTGTCATCCTGTTAGTTCATGGCATCCTTTACTAGCTAAGAAGCTTATTGTTTATATGAAATGTTTCTTGATGTGTGCTTGTCATCCATTTTCTGTTTGAATTGAGTATTGTCATAATCTATCATTTTATGTTTTTAACACTTCTTTATGTATGTATACTTAAAATATATGTATATCTGCATTCACATTGGGTTTCTTTGCTTGCAGTGGAAATGTTTCATGGCGTCCATTACAATTCTCATATGTTTCTGGTGGCATCTTAGCAGGTTAGCTATGACTCCTTTAATTTACTTTGATTTAATTCTGTTTTGAAGTTGTCTTGAAGCTGCAAATTATTATTATTTTTTCATGCATTTTTTTATGTTGGTCTACCAATAAAAAAGATGAGATGGGCCTTGGGAAAACTGTTGAATTGTTGGCTTGCATCTTTGCACATCGGAAGCAATCCATGGATGAATGCATTACTGATGATGAATCCGAACAGATGGGAAGCCAAATAAGAAGACAGAAAAGAGAACGCGTGGAATGTATTTGTGGTGCTGCCAGTGAGAGTCGAAAATATGAAGGAATGTGGGTACAATGTGATATTTGTGATGCATGGCAGCATGCCGATTGTGTTGGATTTTCTTCCAGGAAGAAATCATCTATTTCCCATGATAAGAAGTCTTCTGAAATGATTTCACATATTAAATCGAAGTCTCAACGAAATACAAAGGGAAATAGCTATGTTATCGAAATGGAGGGAAATTTTATATGCTCTTTGTGCACAGAACTTGTGGAAGCTACCAAGATTAAGATATCTACTGGTGCAACCCTTGTAGTTTGTCCAGCTCCTATACAGGCACAGTGGTATTCTGAGATACTACGGTGGGATGATCTTTTCTCTTAATTCTCATTCTACTTAAAAGACTTCCGAAACCTTTTTTTTATGGTGTTCAGCTTATTTATTGCAGATTACTATCCACAATTATTTGTATGTTGGAATAGTTATCTAAAATATGCTTGCTACATTTCAAAGTTGCTATTACACATTGTTAATCCTGTGCACCTGGTGACTGCATAAATTTTGGCATGCATGATTTAAGAAAGATATTGAATAATTCCATTGAGGAAACAATATAAAAAGCTTTTTAAGGGTCATAACCTCATCTACAACTTAAATTGCTTTACATTGTTCTTCAAAGTAGATCTTTTAAAAGTTAAGGTTGGCGTTGCCAATTCCATTAACCTACCAAATTTCAAAATATATATGTTACGCGGGGGATGCTTAGTTAAGTATATGAGCATGCGTGGCATGGTTACTAAAGATTAGTATGTATAGCTATCCATTAGACCCTTTGACAGGACAGGTCATAGCAAGCTCTTAATTTTAATTCAGATTATTTTAGGAAATCTTTTGATTGGATAAAGCAGGCCCAACTTTGGTTTAAGCTTTAAATTTGTGAATCTTATAATGAATGTTCTAAGCGGTCATTTGTACGAGAGATTAGTCTGTGCGATACCGGACGGGAAAACCGTCCGGTACCACTTGGTACCGAATGCGGTACACTTTTGGGGTGACGTGACACATCTTTATTGGCCTCTGGATGATGTCCGGACTCCGCACAGAGTAATTTGCCCATCTGTACATGGCCAGTCTGCTGCAGGTAGTCTGGTTCAGTTGATTTCTGTAAACTTGGTGTGTTCAAAATTTCATCGTTTTAGTGATAATGAGGTTTTTGACTTAGTAGCAAGGCTTTTCCCAAAGGCTATCTAGTGATTAAGCTGTCCGGCAAGTCAGAAAGCTATTTTAATTGTAGCACTTGCTGTCCATTGAATTTTTCATGGTCTGAAGGGTGAATTTCTAACATAATGTGCAAAAGAAGCTAAGTGAGATTGTTGGAACTTTGAACTATCATTCCTATTTGAATTATAGATGTTGGCCAAGATTGCAATCCTTCACTTGAATATTAAGAAGTATTTCACTAAAAGTTATTTTGATGTTTTGACATAATTAGTGTATGGACTTGATTCTTTTTGAAATTTTTACAGTTTGTATTACCTCAATTATTTTTAGCCAACTAATATTCATCGATGGTAAAGGTTATGATAAAGGTTTTTTTCCGCTGACAACTCATTTATGGGTTTATCCGGAGGTTAAAATACATCTAGATGTCCAAGTAAATAAATGCTATTACGAATTCAGGATAAATTTTAAAAAATTTCAGGATAAGTATCCTGTCGCAAAGTAGCTAATGAACTGTTTTTCAACGGATGGTTATGAATTTGCATTGTTGCATATATTATGATCATAATTGCTTCTTGAATCTATAGATGAAGTATTTAGAATTCATGAAGTTTCATTTACAAATCTTCATCCTTTAATTTAGCATTGTTTTATTGAGGCACATTATAATGTTCACTACTTTGCTATTAAGATTTAATTGCATTAAATGGGTTATGATGTGACTTGTGACTCATTCTCACAGTCACACGAGACCTGGTTCGCTGAAAATTTACATCTATGAAGGTGCTAGGAACATAACAACAACAACCGCTCTAAAATCTACCATGAGTGAACTGGCAACAGCTGATATTGTCTTAACCACATATGACGTCCTAAAAGAGGATCTATCGCATGATGCTGACCGGCATGATGGTGATCGTCATTTTTTGAGGTTCCGAAAGAGGTATTTGAGCTCTCTTTTTATCCTTTTGCTACAGCACTGGCGATTTCTTATTTACCATCTTTCTTTTCTTTCTTTTGGTAAATAAATAAATAGTTACTCTAAATAGAAACATTTATTTGTAGGAAAGCTAAGTAATAAGTAGGAAGTATGGAGCCTTTTTCTCTATTTATCTATCGTGATATCCAATTATTGCTATATCTCAATGATTTTTTTAGCATAAGTTAGCTGCATTTAACAATTCTTATGTAGTTAGGGTGCTTCATATCCCCACTACTGATGATTTAATCTAGATCATACACGTATGGTACATTGGATGTAAAAAATCAAGGTATCAATCATCAAAGATGCATCAGAAAGGTATGAATTGAATCACCTGATTGAGTTAAGTTTGTTTGTCAATCATCTCAATTAGGATTTGTTTGGATGATCTGCTTAGAAGTCAAAATTCAAACATATGGCAGGTGATTCTCTTTTCAGAACATTTTGCTTGTCAAAAACAATTAGAAGTGCACATGTTGCTCGGGTTCTTGTACCTCTCTTCAATTACACATGCAGTCCACAGTCAATCTATCAGCCAAACTGGTTTTTGCAGAGACATTTCGTAGCACACATATATGAATTCATTAATATTCTTAGTAAATACGAGCAGTTTATATCATGTCACATCAATGCATAAAAGTTTGCATGTATGATCGAGTTCAGATCAATCTGTGTACTTGGTTTGAGATGCATGAATTATATAATACGACTATAGACAATATTTATAACATTAATATTATGCTATCAAGATAACAATCTCAAAATGCTGTACAAAATACAATACTCGGTAAAGATTCAATATGATCATACTATATCACATAATAATTATGGTATTAATATGCAAAAAATTACTCGGCGAAAGTTGTCAAAAATTGAGATATCCAAAATTTTGTAAAATCTATCCAAATTAAGTACGAAAAATTAGGTGAAGAGAATTCACAAGAAACAGAACAATAGCCTTCCTCAAGCTTAACAATTTTCCCAACTAGCTTGCCTTATAAAAATGACTCTAAGACTTTCAAGTCATAGCTTTCTCTTCTTTTCTCTTTTTCTATCATTCTCTCCGTTGCTCTTCTGATGGCCATGTAAAGGATGCTTTAGAGATTTCTAGATAAGCATTATACTTATAAAAAAAAATAAATGGTTGGCTTGTAACCATATAAATTATTTGGCTTTAATCATAGAGTTCATACAAATCCTTTTATATCTTGAAACCTCTAATTTCAAATTTTATGGAAGCTTAGTCAATAAATACACAGTTTATTTGAAACTCAACTGATAAAGTTTGTAAAACGGACATATGATAGTTCAGAAAAGTATATTTTTATAAAGACATGATAATTCCTTAAGAAAAATAAATTAAATAAAGAACATTCTATTTTAATACCTATAATGCCCATAAAAATAGAAAAAAAATACTCATAAAATAGAGTACACAATGTAAAAATTGTAAATATAGTTTGTCAATTGGAATTAAAACAATAGAAAAAATTCGATTGAATATAGTAAGTTAAATTTTATCTAATAATAGTTCAGTGGGTCATATCACTGTTCTTAAAAAAATCTTTTGTATGATAATCAGGGGATCAGAATTTTTTAAAAATAAATTCATATTAATTAAATCATATATAGAAAACTAACATAAACCGAATAAGCACTCAATGGTGGGTTTTTTTTTTTTGCATAAAACAGTACCTATGGATATTATAAAAAAATTCCTTAATTTGCAACATATGATTAGTTGCCTTTGTATTCAATTCATCTAAGAATGTTTGGGCTAATAAATTATCTCAAAAGTCTTAATATTTACTATAACTTTGGAAGAAGTGGCCGAAGTTATATATATATATATATATATATATATAATCAAACTTGAGATGACTCTCACAGCCTCAAACTCCCAACCACACATCGCAGAATCCTAACGTCCATACCCAATCCTGCGGCATGTTGCAAACAATGCTTAGTCATTGCTATTTCTCCTTCAATGCCTCTCCTCTTAGGCTCTTATTGTTGAAAACGCATTTCTTTAGTTTTAGTATGAGGGATGATAGAAAAATAGTTATCTAAAATGATGATTTTAATGAAGATCCTCTAATTGATGAGATTAGGGGAGATTTAAATTCATAAATTATGACATTAGACTACTTGTTTATATTGAATTAAAAGTGGAGGAGATTAATTTTTTAGCGTTGGTTGTAACTTTTTAAAATTTTTAGTAAACTTTAATTTTTTTATAATTTTATTAATATCTTACTTTCATGTTAGTATGTTATTTGTTATTTTATCTTTTTCATTAATTTAATGGTTTACTTCTACGGCTTATGCCTCAAAGCGTCTTGAGGCTTATGCCTCATCATACGGAAAGAAAATGCCTCAATACCTGACTGTGCAATTTCAAACCTTGGTATGTATATTTAGGTATAAATCTACTTACTAATGTTGACCTCTATACATATTCTAAGATCAATCAAGTGCATCAAGGAAGGCAAACAACAGATATGTTGCTTATTACGAGCATCAGGACACCGCGATCACTATAAAAAAAGCTCAAAACTTTATCCGATCATGAAATAGATTACGTTGTTGAGCTCAGGACATTGAATTTGCTAAGAAAATGTCATTTGTGCATAACTTAATCGAAAATGACGACGAGCATGACCTTTGGCAGACACAACGCTACCTACAATTATTCAAATGACTTTTGATTGTTAAATGGATTGTGTCGATATATTTAGAACATCAAATTTACCTAAGAGGGACCCTTCTAATCGAATAGAGTGAAGGTGATCGAAATCGACGGACTACAAACAGAACATTGTGCGACATTGCCTGTACATCATATGTTTGCAAAACGAACTTCGTTGTTGTGTCTAGAACATCTAAATCATATAGAAAAGATTGTAATATTGCTTGGGTCTTTGCCCGAGCAAAAAAGCTTGAAATCAACATGAATTTCGAGGTGGCGATTGTAATATCAAAAATCTGCTCCAGGATCGTCCAGGACGATCTGGATCGTCCTGGGACGATCAGTTGTATGCCAAAACCTGCTCAAATCCCTGCTACAGTTGTCCATGCTAGCCAAGATGAAAATATAATATATATAAAGTAATAAAAAAATTCCTAAACTAAAAACCTATGACTTTTTTTTCCTCCCATATCCTCTCCCATCTCTTAGATCTCTCTCTATTTACTCACACAAGCTCCCGCTCTACTCTCTATTCTAGCACTGCTGGCCCCCTCACCTCTCGCCTCTACCATCTCTCTTGTGTAGCCCCAACAACATCTCCACTTCTCTGCTCGCAAAGCAGCAGCAATTGTAGCCCCATTCCACTCATCAGCTGATCCCTTGCCGGTTTCCTTTTCCAAACTGAGTCGTCGCCAACCTCCAGATCTCCCCGTCATCTGCTCCTCTGTTCTGTTTCCCATCCCGCCTCCCTCCCATCCAGCACAACCAAACAACAGCCCTCCAATCATCCTTGTCCAGGCTAGCCACCCCTCACAGCGGTCTTGCAAGCACTTTTTCTCCCACTCACGTGAATGTCACCTGGTGCCGTGAAACTCCTCCAGCAGCCGAACTCCAAGCCCATCATGCACCTTCTCAACAACTCCATGTCTCTACTCCACTGAACTCGAGAAGCCATAGCCCACATCTGATCTTTCATCTACCACCTGCCCTTCCCCTCACTGATCACCCAAATTGCTCCCAGCCTCATACCTTGTAATACCCTAGGGCTTAATTTTGGAAGAATTGTCAATTTATCTATTACCAGGAGTTATTTTCTTCTTTGATTCAACGATTTACAAATAAGATGAGTTAAGTATAAAAAAAATGATTCATTGAAGGAGAGCAAGGACTGCATTTTCATTTCAAACACAAAGTATGTATCATTGTAAATGAGGGGAAGTGGATTGTACATGTATCTTACACTGGATGCAAAAAATCAATTTACTAGCTATCAAATTTATTGGGTATGCAAGAATTGAATTAATTGTTATATTGTAGTTTGCTAGTCAATCTACTCGGTTAGGATTCATTTGGATGATCTGCGGAAGTCACAAGCCCTCGTCAATACAATCCAGTTGACATGAGGACCAATTCTACTTAGCAAGGTAGATGATGTGATATTAAATGTAACACGACCATTCACATATTGGTATGATTCTTATTTATAAAGTCATGGTCATTTGAGGGATCTATTCAATGTTGAATAAGAACTTCTGGTTATTAAAGGGAGAAATGACTTGGAATATAACAATTGGAAACACACTATAACGTCATTCAGGACACTAAAAGGAAGATTGAAGAATGGAGGGAAAGCTCGTGATCATTACGCAAAAAATTTTCATCCTCTACTTATTCTCAAAATATTCTAATTTTTTATACCGAGGAGAGATCTTATAACAACTTTATTAAGAAATAAAACTTTCTTCAATCTCTGCACAGTGGATGTAGGGTACAAGACTAAACTGTTGGAGAATTTTTGTATCCTCAAACGGATTGCATATTTTATAATCGGGCGCGGCATAAGAATACGATATATTACCCCGGAGGGTAAAAATATCATCTCCTTATGGACTCAATCATCGAGTCGAAACCTATGAGCATCTTAGACTAAACAACTATAAAATCTTGTGTCTACGTTTTGCCACTACTCGCTTCCACCTTATTCTCTCAAACTCGAAGTTACTTTAGATGCAATCCTCTTCTTACTCTATGAACTTCAAACAAAGCAAAATCAGCAATTCACTCTGAGATTGTTTCTAATATTGACTTGAGCAAGTGTAGGGTCATTCTTTTTAATTCATGCTAATTAAAATTTTAAAGTTGTTCTGTTTCCAACCATCACTTGTGGAAATGTTAAATTCCACTTTAACTCATGATTCAGCCGTTTGGAAAGAAAATTCTCTTTTTGGAAGCTGTTAGCATGTGCTTTAATCTGTGGCAGTTTTATTCTTTTTTTTTTTTGTTAACCAAAGGCTATCCTAGAGTGGCTAATGGAATTTCCTGTAAGACCTTTCATGAGATAGCCTATGATTGACCTATTCATTTGACGTGCAAGTGTCTTTCACATCTATATAGTGAGCAGTTTTAATATGAAATAAATTGAACTCAATCTCAACTTTTCAGGAGTTAAATGTTATTATTTCTTCTGATGTTAACTTTGCAGGATAAAGTCAGAATGGGTGACATTTATGTATTTACTTATATAAAGCTGTTTATTATTACCTATCTGAACTTCAGATTATCATAATGTATGATACTTTTAGGTATCCTGTTATTCCTACTTTACTTACAAGGATACATTGGTGGAGAGTGTGCCTGGATGAGGCTCAGATGGTTGAGTGCAACACAGCATCGGTAACAGAGATGGCAATGCGTTTACATGCTCACCATCGTTGGTGTATCACAGGAACTCCAATTCAGCATCGACTTGATGATCTGTTTGGGCTTCTGCGATTCCTTAGAGCTAGTCCTTTTGATGCCTATAGATGGTGGGTTCAAGTTGTCAGAGATCCATATGAGGTAGGTTACTTTAATTGTTTTTTTGGGCCTTGTCTTATTGGTGGGTCTTGAGAATCACTTCTTATTGTTGGCTCATGGATAATGGAAGAGATGTGAAATATGAAAGCTGTAGATGAATTTTTTTTTTTTCGGCGTTGACTTAGGTAATTTTATTTTCCTGATCTGTTTGTATCATTTCATCTTTATTTAAGCCAGTACACATGGGTGCTAATTGGTTCAATTGGTTAAGGTCATTGAAAGTTGCTGTTAAGGTCCTGAATTCAAATCCTAACTACAGAAAAGAATCCCACCACTTTGGTTTGTAAAAAAAAGAAGCTGTTACACTTCATTGTGGTTTGGATTGTAGTTACTCATGATATCATTTCATTTTAAGTCTAATTGTGTCCTTGGAATAAAATACAGACAAGAGTTCCTAGCTTTTCTTTCTCAGAGTTAGAATCATGAAATTTACCTTAGAAAACTCATTTATTGAGCCAACTGGTGTAGATTCTGCCTTATCGGGAGTATTACTATCAGTTCTAGCGTACTTCCTATTTCTGTCATGTTGTTAGGTGTGTTTTACATACATGCATCTTGTCATAGTTATCTGACTGCAGTAACTGTCGGATAAGCTCGTGGAAGAATTATATGCATTTCTTTATGAATTTATGGTGGTTTCAATTTAGTTTGGAGCTTTTTGCATAAGATTTAATTGTACCCGTGCATACAGTTTTTAATTTTTTAGTAAGTTGAGCTTCCGAAATGCATGAGTTGTGTTCTTGTGGCTGGAGAATGCGGAATCTTGATCAATGTGTGGCAAATCATCCAATGAGGATTTGTTGACATGAATAGTGCTCATCAGGTTGACTGGAGCAGATGATTTTTCCTAGTAATTTCATCATTTGTTTTTCAGAGGGAAGACAAAGTGGCCATGGAATTCATCCACAAAATGTTCAAGCAAATTATGTGGCGTTCATCTAAGATTCATGTGTCAGAGGAATTGCAGTTACCTCCGCAGGAAGAGTGTTTGCTGTGGCTGACATTGTCTCCTGTTGAAGAGCATTTCTATCAGAAGCAGCATGAAACATGTGTAAGATGTGCAGAAGAAATCCTCAGAAGTTTCAGAAGTAATAGTCAAGGAAGAGAATGCATTTTGGGTATTTGCTGTTTTGAATTGAGTACATAGTACAGTAATAAATATGATAATATTCCTGGAATTTCAAATCATTTTCAGGTTCTGAAAGTTCATGCAATAGCTTTCTCTCTCATGATGAAGTTGCAAAGCTTCTATGGCCACTTTTAAAACTTCGGCAGGCATGTTGCCATCCTCAAGTTGGAAGTTCTGGTCTTTGCTCATTGCAAAATTCTCCTTTGACTATGGAAGAGATTCTTGAAGTGAGTATGATAGGTACTTTGTCCAACTCAAGGTATGCTTATTGGATTGAAAATTCTAAATATAGGAAACTGCTTGTGTAGGTTCTTATTGGCAAAGCAAAGATTGAAGGAGAGGAAGCTCTCAGAAGAGTTGCTGTGGCACTGAATGGATTAGCTGGGTTGGCTGTAATCGAGGAAGATAATGAGAGAGCAGTTTCACTCTACAAAGAAGCACTGGTTGTAGCGGATGAAAACAGTAATGATTACCGTTTGGACCCTTTGTTGAGCCTGCACATTCATTACAATCTGGCTGAATTGCTTTCTCTCACTTCTGAACTCTCTTGTCCATACATGGGAAACCATTCTGAAACTAATGAGAACAAAAGGGATGTTACTGGTAAGTATGAACGACATTACGTTAAGAGACAAAAAGTTGGTGCAGACTGCAAACCTAATTCTATCAAAGAATCCTTGGAGAAGCATGCCATCCTAAATTCATCCACTGTCGATGATAATGTATGCGAAGCTAAAGAGAACAGAGCTAATAATGAACTGCCATCTAGGTGCTATGCAGTTGGTTGTTTGAGAAAAACATGTGAAAATATTAAGCAAAAGTACCTGTCTGCTTTTATTTCAAAATTGTCCGTAGCTCAGCAGGATTTTAAAAGTTCCTATAAGGAGGTAACTTTTCCATTCATTTTCTTTTATTTTCCTGTTGTTCCTTGAGCTAGATGAAATTATTTTCTTGATTTATGTTGAAGTAAATGAAAGAGCCGTTGTTAAAATCCAATCCTCCGAGTCTGCATTTGGTACTTTGAGGTGTGATATTCTTGATTTTGATTAAATATTTCTTTTATATTGATGCTAGATATGGCTATTTTTTAACTTGTAAGTTATTAAGAATCACCTATCTTACAAATAACAAATAATTTCAGTTTTTTCAAGACGAAGTTGTGCTTGAACATGTTCTATGCAAAACTAATTTACTGGCATGGTGGAGCAGATATTAAACTAGAGAGCATACTTTGTATTCCAAGTATTTAACTGTTAACAGTACAGTAGACTTTTCTTGCCAATATGATTTGATAAGTATTAATGATGATCAACAATTTCTAAGTTTTCCAACTTCCTCCTTTTCAAATGAGCGTTTCCCTTAATTAATAAACTCGGTTACCTGATGATACAGCTAAATACAATGTTCCTTTCCTTCTACCTTACTTGTCCATTTCTTCATTTAAGTAAAAGATTTTGTTTCATTCGCCACTATGAACCTGTCTAGTGTTTATCCTGCTTTGTTGAGTTTATGTTATTATGTTATTTTTGTTGTCCTTTACACATGCTTTGTATATTCCCGCAAAGAAAAGGCTAAATTTAACTCTTTTATTTTGGCATTGAAATGCTTATGTAGTTTAAAGTTTTTTTAGGTTAGGAAATATTTATTTTTACATGTGATTTTGCTTAAAAACATTTCCAATTTATTCTTTCCTGCTCTTTGTTTTTGATAAGGAAACTTGTTATCTTTTCATTGATTTCCAGGTTTGCAATCTGACCAAAGAGTGCAAAGTTCAGAATATGAGCTGGTGGGTGCAGGCACTTGACATTATAGAACAGAAGGAAGACTCATCTCGTGAATTGATGAAAAAGATTGAACAGGCTATTTCCAGGGTTGGTTGCAACTCCAGATCATTCAAAGTTTCTTCAGGGTTAGTTCTACCTCACTTTTGCTTAATGGCCATTTTCCTAGCTACCTGGTGACATAGCTATGTGATGCGTAAGTTATTATACATGATAATACATACATGCATTATACTATTTATTTGCATAACAGTACATTCAATTTATATTTGAAATTCTCCTAGAAAAATTGAAATGAAATATTGAACCTACTCCAATACCCTATAAAGGTCCAAGAAAATCAGTTAGTTTTTTTGTATGTTTTTGTATTGACTTGAAGAATGAACTCGTGATTGAGTTTTCACTTCTGTATAACCTAATACTTCATGCTATTCTAAACCCAAAAAATTATGCTATATTCATTAGTTATGTACTTCTCAGACTATTAGCGTTTTCTAAGGTGGTTGGCTCCTTTATTTTCACATATTTTAGAGTTTGGCTAAAATATAATATTTGGTCGATTTGCTCTTCCGAGATTTTTAATTTTGGCTTCAATCCCATTGCACAATTATGGTTTTAGCGCTTTTGGTGGTTTTCTAAAGTTTGGGTGTTCTGTTTGAGCCATTCCTCTCTTCACTTTTAACAATACTTTCAACTGTCTTCTCAGAGAAAAGTTTTATCTCTCATGGTGAAAAGACTGAAGGATGATGTGCTGCAGAGGTGGATCTAGCGCCTATGAGAGCGCTTTTTTAACTACTTTGTAAACACACAAATGCCTACTTTCATCTGCTTTTGTCAAGAAATCATCATTTGGATCTTGTGAATCATCATCGTTGTATTTCTCATCTTTTGTTTTTCTTCTCCTATCAGACATTTATGACTCTTCATACATTTTTTAAGAAAATTTGTTGGCACTGATATAGGCAGCGTGTGTGAGCTTATACGCAGACGTTTTCAACACTAAACAACATTAAGACTATTATGCAACTAATGGACACCGTAAAATATTGACGTAAACATTACGAGACCCTTCTATCATGAAAACAATTTCAAAAACCTCACTTAACTAATAATAATTCTTGCTCCTGGAATTGAATCCTTGCACTAGAAATTGAATGATAGGTTCCAACTGGTTTGATTTTCAAGCTTTTGGGGTCTTTAATATCTTCAATCTGATTTTACGCCCTTGTCCAGCCAAGGGAAAATTTAAAGAATGATTGTTGGCTGCTGCTTTTGTCCCCAAATGGTCCAAACTCCCTGCCAGCAGGTTCCCAGGTCCTCTGTAGGCTGCTTCCAGCTGTCCTAGGTTGCAAATGGCAGATTCTAAGGTTTTGCTGGAAATTCCAGCAATCTGCAACTCAATTCTAGGAAAAACTAGGTAGATTAATTGCTACTTATAGGGAAAACTGCATTAACTAACAAAAGAAGACAACAGAGAACTTATGTAGAATGTTTCTTGGTTCAAGAAAAAGATGGCCAGTTGCTTTCCTGAGAATTACAACCATTGAAAACTTGCTGCCTTCCCTCTATTCTCCCCTCTTTAGAAACTCAAGATGTGAACATTTAGTGAGTCAATTTTCATTTTTGAGTTTTTATTTTACATTATCTATTTTAATTTTTTTGTTTCCTGATTAAAGTGTTGATCCTTTGACCTTACTAGAACGTGTTTTGTTCTCTAAAAGCCTGTCTTAGTTTGAGTTTGGTCAACCATTGCTTCCTTGGTTCAGTTGTGAAGGTTTGGTTTATTTCCCTATTTTGTCTTTAGTCGGGCTAGCTGTTATTAAGTGATCGGTTCTCTAGTTTGTTGTGTAGTTCATAGATGACTTCTTGTTCTGCTATTGGTTCCTTGTTCGGAGACATGCTACTCTTGCACTATTTTCACCATGCAATTGCTTTCCGATTTAGTTTTATTTGCACGGGCTGGAATCAACATTTAAAAATTGAGACTTGCAGTTTTAGCTTGATTTTATTATTCGAAAATTACTTATTATGGGTTTAGTTTTGATAATAAATAGGACCTAGCTAAGCATATAAAATTCAATCTTTGTTGAATGATTTTCTATTTTTTTTTTCTTAAACTTGTACGCGCTATTGTATGTGAATATTTTTAGTGCAATATAAGTGCTGACTACAAGTTATTGAGAAGCTTCTCTTTGTACCGGCATGAGGCCCAGATGACTTCAATCATTCTTCTTTATCATTTACTCTGTAATTGATTTTGCGTGAGTTTCTAAGATTTAGTTAAGTTTGCTGCAATCTTATGTTTTTTCTTGCGGTGTTAATTCTAATTATTGTGATTTTATTTTGATCTCAAGTCTCTTGCATAATGTTAGTTATGGACAATCTTTAAATTATCATTTGGTATGAGTTTTGTTTGTACGATTTTCTTTTAAAGATAATTTTGCATGATTTGAAGATTTGTGGATTGTTAAATTTTGATCTTTTGTGTTTGTTTTTGCATCGCTTCCTAGACTTATGTGAGAACCCTATACCCTAAGACGTCTTACATCATATTTGGTATCTAGCCCATGGTTGCTTCATCATGTCATTGAGAAGTAGGACATTAGGCATAATAATTTGGTAAATCAATAAAATAATTAATGTCTCAGATCATAAAGTCCTCACAAAATGAGGGCGAAATCTCTGGGTAGTGTCTTATCTACAAACCCATCTGCCTTCTAAAATTTACCTCGGAACTTAGTTCGTTAAAACTCCCTCGCCGAAAAAGAAAAGCAAGCGGAAGCCGAGGCCGAATTTTCGGAGCCCACACTATTGTGAGGCTCATAATTATATTCTTAGTATTGACAAGAGTTATAAACTTAGTGAATTTTTAAATTGGATAGTTACATTAGAATTTTTTGAATGTTGGAATTTGTTTGATTCTAGAAGATCTAAAGCTATTAAAGAAAATTAGTTGGGTATGCTCTATATTATTGCCAAGTATTCCAAGTAAAACAATGCAACATAGGTTGATATGAAATATAAATTGAAAGTGCAATTTTTGTCATATTCAGAGAATAATAGCACCAATTTTTTTAATCAATTTAAGACTTATAAATAAAATGAATATAATATGCTTGATATTATATAAGTTTTACACATCTTGTTATTAAAGCATTACTTACTTATAGACTATTCTAGTATTATTATCTATTTCATAAAAATGTCTTAAATAAGTTATAAGTTGGAAAAAAAAAACATCAGCTTTTATCTAATTTTTTTTTCGTATTTTGGTATATTAAAATCATTTTGTTAGAACTACAGTTTTTATGTCTAGGATCCCTAGGAAAAAAATGTTATAATTTTCTCTAAATCTTGTCAAACATATGTTGGCATTAGGGGTGTAAGTGAGCCGAGTCGGCTCGAGCTCGACTTGTTAACGAGCTTGGGAGCCAAGCTTATCGAGCCCACGAGCTTGGTGAAGCTTGGCTCATGAGCTCGCAAGTCGGCTCGACTAACTATTAGTATTTTTTAAATAATTATTATTTTTATTAAATTTGATTATTAAAAAAATAATATTGAAAAAGACAAAAAAACAAACTGCAACTTTTAAAATATTAGAGTTGAACATTTAAAAGTATATAAATTATTAATTTATATTTCTAATCAGCCACCTGATGCAAGCAAGAAATTAGAAAAAATCTAATTTTTGCTTGCAAGAAGAAACACTTCCTAGGATAAAAGAAAATACATAAAATACCCCAAAATAGACAAAATACAACAATTTTTATAAGATTAAAGACTCTTACAAACTTTGACACAAACACAAACATAAACATACACCTAAAGTTGCTTGACAATCGTCGAGAAGAAAGATACAGGTGGGGTGGACACTTGCGGAGAGAAGAAAGGGGTTAGAAGCTAAGACGAAAAATGTATAACTCGCAAGTTATCCTAGAAGAATGAGAAGGGGATACATAGCTCGCAAGCTATAAAAGAAAACCCTCAAGTTTCTTTACAAAAATCAGCACATATAACCTTAAAAAAAAAAAACTCTTTAAAACAACCACAAACATCTCCTATATATAGGATAAAAGGGGCAACCAAACAGCCACTATAACACTTTCTTTAAACCAATTAAAAGGCCAGAAATAATCCCATAACAGCACCCGAAAAGACAGCACAGGAACCGGGAAAAGCAACCACAGGAAAACAGCCAGGGAAGAAATCGAAAAGGTAGCACATAGGACCGGAATCAGCACCCAACAAAGGGAGGTAAAGCAGCCACGGGACTAGCATCTGTAGGAAACCGAGGGGCAGCTCAGGAGACCGGAACCAGCACCTAGCAAGGGAGAACCAGCCACGGGAAAAACAACACCAGGAAGAAAACTGAAGAGACACAGGGAAGGGAAAAGGAAAAGGCAGCCAATGGGGGAAGAACCAAGGGCCAATAGAGGGGGAGGGGGAATGAAATTCTTGAATATAGAGAACTTATTATAAATTAAATATAATTTTAACGATGAACCTGAACTTGTAATAAAAACTCTTGAATATGAATAAACTTTAATAGAATTTAAATTTGTTCCTGAATATAATCCTTAACTTCTTAAAGATACTGAATCTACTCCTGAATATAAATTTTAACCAACTATGCCCGATGACATTTATAAATTAGTTGAAGAATTTGATGGCTTAGCTTTTAATCAAGTTTTTACAAAGCTATGTCTACAAATTAAACTCAAATTAATTTTTGTCTTGATTCTTGATTTATGATTCACAAATACATAAAAAGAAACTTATGGTTGCTGAGATAATGAAATTGTATCAACATTTCAAAAGATTCATTGATGATGGTTGATGTAAGCACAGTAGATAGAAAAGCCAAACAAGGAGAACAAAGGACGAAACTAAACCAAACTCAATTCAAATAGTAGCAATCATCTATAACATAAAAAATCTGACGAAGAAAACTAGAATAGAATTCAAAGAAACAAAGAAAATAAAAACAACGCTATCCTCAGACAACCGTCAGAGCGGGTTCCTCACATGCATCGAAAAGTAGGTTAAGTAAAATAAGTGCTTAGGGCTAGCAAACCGATGGTCCACCACTGCAAAATAGTCCAACTGTCCAATCCCAAACTCGTCCAGCAAATGCTCCCAATTCAGCCAACAAACATCACCAAAGCTCAAGAAGAAGGATACAGATGGAGTAGAACTTGCGGAGAGACGAAAGAGGTTAGAAGCCGAGAAGAAGGGTGGAAATAACTCGCAAGTCTTTCCTAGAGGAGAAGGAGAATGGAACATGCTCACAAGCTTTTCCAAGAAGAACCCGCAGGTTAATAGCAAATTTGCTCTCAATAATCAACTTCCCTTCCTTCACAAAACATCTCATATTTATAGGCAAGGGAGGAGAAGCCTAACAGCCATAATGACTTTTCAAATTCATATTATAAATGAGGGAATTAAAAAGTTAGCAGTTAACTCCAGGAAACAAAGCACCAAAGCCATAGAAAAGCCCCCAAAAAGTCACGGGAAAATAGCCCAGGCGGAACCCGAAGAGGTAGTCGCAAGAACCAAGGAGGTCCGCACGGAACCGAAGCACCAAGGCACGGGAAAGGCCACCCAACACGGAAAACAGCAGCCAACCGGGGAAACCAAGGGGACAAAGGCTCAGAATTTTAAGAAGAAGGGAGGAGAAGGGACAAGACCACTCCATAATGAATCCAACTTATGAGCTTACCTTAGAACATTAATGAGCTATGTAGTTCTCCTTATGAATGAACTAAACTTCAGCTCATCATTAATGAGCTAGCAACTAAGAAAATAAGCTCAACTCCAATGAGCCATCTTCTTCCACACATCACCATAAGCCCCAAAACCATGGACCATAAGCCAACCCGTGAACCAGCAGCAGCCAAGGACCAATCGAGCCAACAAACCAAAGGTCTACCAAGCCCCAAGCACAACCTACCATGATCATTGGATGCTTTCCCATCATTGGATAGCTAAAAAAAATGAAAAGAACATAAAAACATACTAATGTTCAATATAAAATAAAAATACAGAATATTTGATAGCATCAATGGCTATATTAAAGAAAAAATTCTAGCCTTATTATTGCAAAAAAAAAAAAAAGATTACTTACTTTAGGGGAGGGAGTTGACAGGGGGAGAAAATATTGATATTGGGTCATTTTCTTTCTTTGGGGCGGTGCAAGTTATGAGAGACTACTGTTAGGTGGTCAGTGCTGGAAGAAGCATATTGGACTTAATTGGATTGAATCCTAGCTACTATCGGAATAGAAAATAGAAGATTATGAATTATTCTTTGTGAAGGAGTGGAATGGGTAATAGGGGTGCAAATGAGTCGAGCTCGAGCTCGAGTCAGGCCTAACTCGATCTCTACTCACAAGTTAAATCCTGAGCTCAAGTTTAAAAGGTGAGCTCAAACTCGGCTCTTGCCACAAAAAACAAGCTCGTCGAGCGGCTCAATTTCGCGGTTTGAGTGTGTATAGGTTCGCAGACGCAGTTCGCATCCGCAGAGGTTTGCCCATGCAGACGCATGCAGAGGTTCGCCCATGCAAACGCGTGCAGAGGTTCGCCTTCCGCATGCACATAGGTTGGTAGACGTGCTCTGCTCTTCGCCTTATGCTCGTTTGATAGTTTACGTCTGCCTAACAAGCCGCTTGACGAGTAATCGAGCCAAGCTTAATTTGGGTCAAAGTTGAGCTTGATAATCCAATGAGCTTGAAATTCTGCTCGAGCTCGAGCTCGAAACTTGATAAGCTCGACTCGTGAGCTCGTTAACAATTCGAGCTCGAGCTGGCTTGACCCATTTGCACCCCTAACGGTATATATGGGTACAAGCATCAAAGATGTTTGCAATGTTGATATATGGTTTTAAATAGAGTTTTCTGCAATAATCCTCTTAATTATCTTAAGCATGTAGCAACAAATTGGGTAGAACATATAGATGCCATCAGCATTATCAACGCTATACAACTATGAAACGAAATTTACCTATCAATCAGGTGGGGTGGCTATCAATTTAGAATTTGCAACAATTGGAATCTTTTACCAACTGAAATATCGTCTTTAGAGACATGGTCAAATTTGAAGGATGCATTTTTCTTGAATCTAATTTCAAAAGTTAGGTTTTCTGCTGCTTCCTTACACAAGTTTTGGTAATCTACACGGGTGTTAGCCATTGAAGTGGATATTTTCCAGCTTATAAATCAGAAAGTGTATTAGTATTTATTTTCTTGCCAGCTTATACTTTATTTTATAATTTATAGCATACAGTGCTGAATGGCATCTAGTAGTGTTGGTGCTTAGTGCCTTTGAATGATGATCGTCTTAATGATGTATCACATGGTGCATTCTCTTGGCAAATTCTTTCAACTAGAATGATTGAGGATCATGTGCTTTTAGCAATTTTTCAAGAGAACCTGGACAGTGTTATTATTGCTTTGAACCGTGATAAAACTGATTATTTGGACGGGTTCACACACTTTACAACTTAGCTGTATTTCTCCAAAAAAATTTGTAAGTTGATCTTAGGTTAATATAAGAGAAGGATCAAAATGATCCCTCGACTCTTTACGATGGACCAAAATGATTTTCGTCTATTTAAAAGTCCTACTTTAGTCTCTTGATTTTTTAAATAGGGATCTAAATGATTTCACACAAGGACTACTTCAGCCTCTATTTAGAAGTTAAAAGATCAAATTGATATTTTTATATAATAAAGGACTATTTTAGTCTTTCAGAAAATATTTGAGGATAAATTCAATAATTTTCTCGTAAATATAAATCTAAGGAAGACTTGATGCTGAAAACTTTTCCAATGAACTTTTAATGTAACACCATTGACCTTGATAGCGAATTTAATTTTTTAATCACATGATATGCAAGAAAAAAATGAACCAATTGCAAACTCTATTTTGCTGAAATTTAAAAAAAATATGGAACATGGAAATTTTTTCGTAATGATTCTAAATTAAGAGGTTAAAATCATGCAATAATTACTAGATGATGGTAAATTCAATAATTCCTTGGTGTTTGTAACTCTTAAGATCTAGATTTTCAAACGATCTAGAGAGGTGTTAGGGATTATGCCTTGCATTGTCCTTACTCTAGATGTGACATTCCGTTATTTAAAAATAAAGCTTGCAACAACAACATCAAACCTTTATCCCACTCCGTGGGTCGGCTACATGAATCATTTTTCCTCCATTGTGTCTTGTTAACGGTCAAATTTTCATTTAAATCTAATAAAAAAAATCATTTCTAATATTTAAAAAGAAAGCTTGCATTAAAAAAAAAAATTAACTACCTGATTTGAAACTAATGATTTTCTTGACTGAAATCGTTTCAAAGAAAAAAAGAGAGAAAAAATAAGATGAAAAGAAGAAAATTCATGAAGAAATTGGTGTAATTGATAACGTATAATAAATTTCTTATAGATTGTATGTAAATTTCATCAATGGCATAAGAAGTTTCACAATACCACTTGAAAGATCACTATTTCTATTTATAAGATGTAGAAATTTGTGTGAAGCTCTAAGGATTATTCCCAACATGAACTTATTAGTCTACTGGAACATTGCTTAGGAAAACAAAAAAAAAAACAAAAACCTAAATGGCTGCCCCTCATGGGTGTCATGATCATCCTATGCTACAGTTCTACGAGGAGAGGAGCGGTACTGGTGCCATAGTTGTCCTGGTTTCGCTTGTTCTCTGTGCATCTTTGGTGCTTTTATAGATGGTTGATGCTCCACATATTGATAGCATTTCCTCTTTACCCTGGATAAACCTTGATGTTGCAGTCAAGATGTTTACTTCAAGTTTTTTCTTTGAACCTTCAATAGTTGATTAGAAGTTAACAATGAAATAAGGGATGCATGCTATTACCTTAGGGATCATTTTGCATCATAGATTATTAGATTGTCATTTTAATTGTTGTTATCATTTGACTTATTTTAAGTATCAGTGATGACGACATCGAAGATCAACGGCTAAGATCGTGTCTATTTATTTTATATTTTATGTAGATCTCTTGTAGTGACTATTCTTATTGTTAGCATAGGGATTTATTGTTGAAACCATCCATGTATGCAACATTAGATTAAATTGACTGTTTCTGATTTTAACTTTTATGCACGTGATTCGTCCTAAGCTCGTCTTACCGCTCTTAGTGTTTTATTGCGTCGTTAAATCCAACATTAAGATATAATTCTTTGTTCCAGGAATATTACGTGTGCAATTTCCTTAAAGCAATTCATCCATGCATGTATGTTTCACATCAATCAGCTGTACCATAATTCTCTTTTTGTTTTACACTCTCACAAGTGAATATCATTGAAGATTTAGATTATACAATTGCAAAACAATTATAATTAGAGACTTCTAGGCAATCTCTAGGCAATATTGAGTATCGTTTTACAATTGCAAAACAAAATTATAAGACTTAGAGACAATCTTTATCTGTTTACTAGTTATATTATTATCTTAGAACAGTAACTTTACCTCCATTTTTCAAATCAGCATTCTGTGAACAATCAGAGTAAATAGATGTTGTAACTTGTAAAGAATTCCCTCCTTTTGTTGCTTTTCTTACCTTGGATAACCTAAAAGATCTGTTAATGATGCAGGTTTCGAAATATGAAAGGTTTGAGATACACCATGCAAGTTGGTCTTGATTCTTTAGAGACTTCTAGACAAGCTTTAATTACCCGACTTTTGCAAATTGATCAAACTATGGAGATGCCAGATAATGCTGATGTTGAACGCAAGAGATATTGCCCTTATTGCAGTGGCGGCGATGGTAACTTGTGCACTCATTGTGAATTAGATTTCGTGTTTCAGGTTTGCAATATTGCATTTTGCTTATCATTCCCACTGGAGTACGTGTTACAAGGTTTTTGAAGGTAATAAATTGCAATGCTAGAAATATGAGGCGAAGCTGTTTCTTTTGAGAAAAGGAAATGAGATTGGTGACATTGCATCGGTTGAGGAGGCATTGGACCATCAAAAAAGGAAGTATGCATTAAATAGTTTCTTTCGTAATGGCAAGGATTGTAGCGGATTGAGTGTTGATAATGGAGAAAGAAAACAGAGGCACGCCAAAGAAAATATTGAGGTTAATTTATATTTACACGGTCTATCCCTTTGTTCTGCATTGGCTAGCTTATGTGTTTGCATAAAATTTATCCTCCCAAGTGAAAGATTATGCTTCTATGCGTCTAAAATCAGAATCAGTCCATGAATTCTGATTTAACTTTTTTATCTTATCAATTTGGTGGAATTGTTTTGAATATGAAGGTGAACAAATATCTGATCTTGCATATTGAAAAAATCAACGAGAAGAGAAATGTATAAAAAAATTAATGCGTTTATAGTAATATCGAAGTTATGGGACCAAGTACCCTGTGCTTGTTTTTCTGGAATTGCGGCTGCAACTGAACAAAGCTTCAGAAAAATATGTCAATTTCCGTTTCATTAGTATTTATGGCTTCAAATTATGTTTTCTATCTGATGTTCTCTTTAAAAAATAGAAGCTGTAATTAGCAAGTTCCTTGCCGACAGTTACTAGATGCTTCCAAAGGTTACACTCCTGCATTTGACAAATTTTTTCAGTTCATATCTTGATTTAGCATGTTTTCATTTGTGCAGGTTTTGAGACATCCTTCAGAATTGGAGATTACTCTAGGGGTCATTAGAAGTTATTCGAAAACAATTTTGGGGAGACAAGATTATGCATTAGCTAGAAGACATTTACTACTCTTTGAGGTGCGTATTTGTTGGTACTGTTCTAGCACTACCCTGCCAAGTCACTATGTCCCCCACGCACCTATCCTGATGCTTTTCTGTCTCTCTCTCTCTCTCCCCCTTCTGATGCCCTTCTTGCTCATGCTGAGAGATGCTTGTGCAGAATATATGGAAATATTTGACTAAATGTTGTTTTATGGTTTGTCTGCAATTTTAGGCTTCATGCGTAGAGAATTTACATATATTGGGTGCTCAGGCCATGCGTAGAGAATTTACTCAAGCAAGGCTATTATCTTCAGAATTACTAATCTTCTATTGGGTTAATAGAAGAACGTGATAATAGCCTTGCTTGAGTAAATTTATTACTTTCTTCAGAATTACTAATCTTCTATTAACTTTCTACAGGCCATGCGTAGAGAATTTACTCAAGCAAGGCTATTATCACGTTCGCAAGCTCAGTTATTGGGTGCTCATGATGAAATCAAGCTGTCTACCTCTAGACTGCGGCTCAAGGAAACAGAGGATGAACCAACTGCTATAAATATTCTTTGTAGAGAAGAATTGATTCCTTGTAGCTTGCAATTTTCTAGTGATAAGTTTGCATCTTTGTCTTTGTTATCACGCATGAAAGGGCAACTTCGCTATCTGAAGGTATAATTATTATCGACATTTTCACTTGTATATCAAATTGCTGTCTTTTTGTTGGTTGAATTATGTCTGCATTTAAATATGAAGTATTCAAGCTCGTTTGGCATGTACTAACCAAAGTCATGTTTAAGGAGGCTAAGTAAGTGGTATAAAAAGCTTAGACTAAAATGCTTACTACGAGTCAAGAATGTATTGTCTGATAGGAGGTCAAATGCCAATGTGGTTTATTACTGCAGCCATACCATAGTTTTGAACAACTTAAACAGTGTAATCTTAGCCTGCTATATAACCATCATGCAGGGAAGTTGGCTTAGACAAAGTTATTTGCATTGATCTACGAACATTATTTTTCTTGATCATAAAATCTAGTAAAACTCCATAGGAATTTAAAAAATGAAACTATAAAAAGAAGTTTTGCTCTCTCTTCATAGAAGTGTTATTTTTAACTAATGTTGTAGTTTGCTTCTCTTTCTTATTCTACATTTGTTACTCTGACCAAGGCTTCTAAAATAAAAGGCAGTCGCAAGAAAAATTCAGGGCCTGAGAACCTTGCATTTATGTCTCCTCCATCTGTGTTGTTTGAAAGCAAAGGTGCAAGTGAATATGAAGTCTTAGAATAAAGTTTGAATCAATGAAAATTGTTTTGAAAATTGTTTTGCTTCTTTTTTGAAAATTTATCCGAGCCATCATAACATTTCTTCTTACAAAGTTTAGGTTACAATGGTTATTTGTTTTCTTATGCTTTAGTTTGGATAAGTAATGTGACCTTCACCTTTTCCTTCTTTAGGGATTGGTGGAATCTAAAGTGGAAATAAAGTATCGAAGCCAATTTCCATCTTCCAGGGATCACGATGGAATTAACATGTTAAACACTACAGCATCTGATGAAATAGAATGCCATTTCAAGACTGAAGATGACCACTGTCCCATTTGCCATGAAAAAATGGACAGCAAGAAGATGGTATTTGAATGTGGGCATGTTATTTGCTGTAAATGTGAGTACCGGTTCCTTTTTTTGTTCAAATTAGTTTCCATTATGAAAGTATGGCTTGGTCAAGATTTCAAGTTTGTTTTGATTGTGGCGTTATTCCAATAGGAAATTAGGGAAGAGGCCCCATGAAAGAAAATAAAAAAGTTTGTTTTGATTGGGTTAGCGGGATTTTGTTTTGTCAAGGGTGTTTGGGATTCTTGGAATTTCCAAGAAAATTTCTTTGAGCAGGATTTATATACCGTTTGTATCTTTTCAGCAAACTAAAAATGGTCATCATCATCATCATCATTGCCTTAACAACATTTTTTATTTTTTTCGTTGCCTTCACAACTTTTTTTATTTTTTTCATTGCCTTCACAACCTTATACCAACTATTTGGAGTTATCTTTATGAGTATCAATCTTTATTCATTCTTGTTTAATGCAATTTTAAGGATTTATTTTGGTTGGTGAAAATATGTTTAACAACTTCTAGTCATGCTACATTTGGTTTAGGGGTGTAAGTGAGTTGAGCTGGCTCGTGAGCCCGCTCGAACTCAACTCAATAATGAGCTTGCGAGCCAAGCTTATCGACCCGCGAGCTCGAGCTTGAGCTTAAATTCGAGCTCGATTGTTAAACGAGCTCGAGTTAGAGCCTGATGAGGCTCGGCTCGCGTGCAGGCTCGAATGATTATTCAGATTTTTAAATATTTATTATTTTATTAAATTTAAATATTTAATAAGGTTAATGATTAAAGTTGATTCTCGGAATATTAAAATAAATAAATAAATAAAACACAGAAAGAAAATGTTTGCTTTTTTACTTCGAGCGGCCACCTATCCACCAACACCTAAAGCATGCCAAGTTTATTTGCCAAGATTCACTCAAGAACCCACCTTGTAAATGCTATCAAATTACTAATGCTTTAAACCTTTGAGACACATGGTATTGGATTCAACTCTTAAGTTATTGTTCATCATGCTTCAATTATCCATACCTTTGAGTCTAGGAGCGGCTTTTTCGGCATGATAAGTCAATGTTTAATGCAACCCTTGACATCTATATCAAGCATGTATATGCAGATTAATTTTATAGAGATTAAACAAATCTATTCCATGGAGGTGTGATTCTCCCTTCTTTGCATGGTCACCCTCCTCTCTCTTACGGCAAGTACATGATGAACAAGATCAATCAAGAAGGCTTCCACTCTCCTTTCTTTTGTGCTTGTCCAGGCCTTCCCTAAGAAGACAAGATCAATGAGCATTCAAAGAGTACTATCACCTTCTTTCAAGGCGTGTTCATCCCTCGTATGAAAATTGAAATTTGATGAAGTATGGTTCTACTCTCTTTTCTACTTTGCTTGGCTGGTCCCTCTATTAAATGTATGTGAAGATTGTAATTAACAATATTCCAATGGTCAATTTCTTACTTTGGCTGACCCCCAAATGTTAGAATGTCTCTTTCTTTGTCACCCTCTTTGTAGTTCCAGAAACACAAGTACTATATAACCCTAATGATCAATCATTGAATTATTGAATTATTTTTGCTTGCACGTAAGTGAAGTTGATGGCTCCTTTTTAAAGCATATTGGTGAGATCTTCAAGTTATTTGTGAGATCTTCAAGTTATTTGTTGGAGAAATTCTTGGATGAGATTTTTGTTACACTTTATTTATCTATTTGAGAGCACTGGTTACTTAGTAAGTTTAGTTCTTTGAAGATTTTCCCATTATATGTCAGGTAGGTTGGTGCCTTTTTGTTTATTAAGTACAGTTAATTCTCTTTTTGCTAATTAAATATATAAAAAAATGTTGGTTTGTGTTTGTAAACCATTTTTTCTTCTTTCATGGTCCTATTTGTAGGTTGTTTACACTTGACAGAGAAAGTAATCCTTCACCCAGGAAAGTGCCAAAATTGGCTTATGTGTCCAACTTGTCGCCAACGCACGGTGATAGAGCATGTTGCTTATGTTGATGAGAAACAAAATAAAGATTGTGGCTCAAGGACCCCAAAAGCTTTACATGCTCAAGACTTGAATGAGTGTTCAATTGTTGTTCAAGGATCTTACGGAACAAAGGTTTTGTTTTTTTATATCACCTATGAGAGTTTTTTAATTATTGATGGCGCCTAGAGATTGACCTATTTGCATGTTAGGTCTCATATTGGAGACATATATCATATTATACACAGACGTGTGTGCACATACAAAGCTTGTTCATGGATGGAAAAGATTTTTTTCTTTTAAATTTTCTGATTTTTGCTCTTTATTACACTATCCCAGTTCATCGTGGGCCATAATTCATTATGTTCTACTACTAGTTGGCCATTGATAATGCTTGCTCATAATATTTTTTATTGGACGATCAATACATTTTCATAGTAATTACAGATTTTTATACCAAAAAATTGCTCAAATCGAATGAAATTTAAGGTGAATAACTAACTTAGTGCTAAAATTATAGCTGAAATACCAATGACTTCTATTTTTAAAAGGCATCCTAAAAATTGCTGTTTGGCATTATTAGTTGTTCTTCATTTTGCATTTTTCTATGGCTATTGTCTTAAGCCGTTGTGAAATATTTAAAATTTAGTTTATAGTTATCATTGTCCTATGAACTTAAAGGCAAAACTTATCAATTTTCTTTTCATTGGCCTTTGATACAGATACATATATGTAAAGATGGAGTTTGGACTAGAAGATGCATTAGCTCGTTGATTGCAATAGTATCTAACGTGGTTTGTGTTACCCTAAGAAATATCTCTATGGAAATAGCAATCACTTAAATATACTATTTAGAGTTAGGACATATTTGTTAATGTACATTCACCTGCATAAACTTCCAAATAATAGCAAATTTGGAATAACCGAATAACCAAGAAATATGGAATGAACATTTATTTAGAATCGTTAGCAAATCTTGAACCTTCTTTACTCACAACAGTGTAAGTACGTACATAATAGGCTTCCAAATTAGTTAAGAAATGAGCATGACATTTATTTTTGGTTAGCATTATTATTTTTGTTAAATCTCAACCGTCCCTTGTCTCTTGATCCCACGACCAGCATGGAGATCCGTGGGAGGTTCAATTGGATCACGCTGTTAAATCTCAACCGTCAATTATGCATTATTCCGTAATTATTTATTTCTTTATTAAGATATATTGTATAAATCTATAAATAGGAATAGTTTTGTGTAATAAAATTAAGTCTTTATCCTCTCCAATTCTTTGAATTTAACATGATATCAGAACATAAAGAGATGTAATCCAGTTTTCCACCACCAACCTTCATTTCTGGAATCGCTTTGATATACGAACTGAAGGAAGCAAAGAGGAGCAAGTGCCGTTGGAGATTGAACGAGAGTCGAGAGCAGTCCAAACTGCTCGTGTCCTCTGTTTCGTGCCTGCGGCTAGAAGAAGCGGAAACATGAGTCTCTTGTGCGTCCAAGACTAAGGAGAGATTGAGCGGGAGGGCTCCTATTGCGTGTGTCTGGGGTGGAATAGAGCGGAGCCAAGCTAAAGCCTCCTCTAGCTCACATGCGACTGCACGAAACGAGAAATCATGCATCTGGATAGTGGCCAGGACCTCTTGGGAACGACGACATCGGGCTTGGTCTTCGTTCTTGCATGTGACGACCAGATTCGATTGAGCAGAAGTAAGAGAAGTCGAGTGCAGGGCCTCCTCCCACGTGCATTTGGACAGTGGCCAATACCTCCTCTTGGGAATGGAGGCATCAGGCTTAATCTTTATCCCTACATGCGATCGAGAGAGGAGCGGCATTTCTCTTGGTCATCTTCTTTGTGCGTCTCTTCTTGAAAGTCGAGCGGAGAGGAGCGAGCAAGAATCCTCGTTCGTGCGAAGGAGACCAAGCATTTGTGCGTCCGTTCTTACCTACGCAGAAGTAGAGGCGAGCATCGGGAGGAGTCGTGCAAAAGTTTTTCTACGTGCATGCCTGAGTAGAGCCAAACACTTGGATCAGTGGTATTGTGCGTGTCTACAAGGGACTGAGAGCTTGGAGCCCTTATTGTCGTACATTTGGCCTCTCGTGCACATCTGTGCAAATTTGCCTGATAATTTAATGTTGGCAGATGGGGTCAAAGACATTGGGAATAAGTTGGCATCTCTTCCATCTGATTTACAACAACTTCTGCTACTTGATAAAGCTGAAAATTTATTGTCAAGAATGGAACAATCTCTATCTACTTCAATGTTGACTGCTGTTTAGCCTGCTATAAAGGCATTGATTGCTAAGGATCTTCTAGGGCACTCAAACATGGATGTGAAGGTTTCCATTGCATCTTTTCTTAGCGAAATAACAAGAATAACATCACAAGATGCTCCATATGATGATGATATAATGGAGATATTTGGGCTGATTGTTGGAGCTTTCATGAATTTGTATGAGGTGTCAAGCCATTCATTTTTGAAGAGAGTTTCATTACTTGAAACTATTGCAAAGGTCTGATCCTGTATTGCATATTAGATCTTGATTGTGATGATTTGATATTGGAAATGTTTCAACATTTCCTGAAGACAATAAGGTCAAAGCATTATAATATTATCTTCTCCTCAATGGAGACCATCATGACACTCGTTTTGGAGGAGACTGAAAGTATTTCTACATAGCTTATGTCATGTCTATTGGATGGTATGAAAGTTGTTGAAAAAAATATTTTGCACGCAGCCAAGAAGCTAGCTGAGAAAGTACTTGTTAACTGTTCCTTGAGGCTAAAGTCTTATTTGGCTAAATTATTTAATGGTAATGGTGCTCTGTTAAGTGATTACATCAAAATTGTTGCAGATGTATTTCGGGGGAAGCTTGGCACTTCGATACATAATGAAATGAATGCTTTTGGTAAAAATCAAGAAGCCGATCATAAATTATATGAGGGGTTCCTTTCTGATGACTCGACTCAGAGATCTGTACAACAGGAAGGTGAAATTTTTTGTCCTCATGCAGGCGAATTTTTCAGACCGGTGATGAATAATGGATCTTTTCAGAATGGGAATTGTGATTCCATGGTTGCAAAACAAAATGCTAAATTTCGCCATCATAGTGGTAAATCTAGAGTTAATACTGAACATAGCTTGGATTTAGGTACAATAATGCCCGCTAGAAGGTTAGATCTAAGTTCTCGCAAAGGAGGAAGAAATGCTTCATTGCAGTTGTCAATTAGCAATGATCATTATGGAGATGGTAATAAGAAAAAAGCTCGGAGTAATTATGAAAAAAAAACTTCGTAGTAATGGAGGTAGAAATGAATCTCAAAGAAAAGTTAGAGTGACATTCTAAAAAAACAAGCAAACTGCTGGCACTAAGAAGCAGAAAGGAATTAAGAATGTTGAGGATGAAGCCAAAGAATTGAAATTAAAAGAAATTCTCTCCTCTGAGAAGTCTACGATGAAAGGTTTGATTAAAGATCATAACAATGTTAAAGATATCTGTAAAACAAAATCAAGATGGAAGCGAGCTCAAGGCGTACAAGAGGCTTCTGGACCAAGGAAGTGTAGGAAAAGCTTGAATGACACAATTGTTGGTTCAAAGATATGAATTTGGTGGCCAGATGATCAGAGGTTTTATGATAGCATTGTTGATTTTTTGATCAAAAGAAGAATGTATAAAATTTTGTATGATGGTGATGTAGAGGTGCTACTCCTAAAGAAAGAGCAGTGGAAGTTTATTGAAGGGGAAACCTAGATGCACCAGGTGTAGGAAAAAGGACAAAATCAATGTTGCAGACATTCTTAACAAGGGACTTGATAACTAATTATCAAGTTAGGAGTGACAGATCTGTATTCCCTAGTTTGAGGGGAAGTGTTAAATCTCAGCTGTCCCTTGGCCCTTCATCCCACGGCCAGCATGAGGATCCATGAGAGGCTCACCTGGATCACACTGTTAAATCTCAACTGTCCCTTGGCCTGTTAATCCCACGGCCAGCATGGGGATCCATGGGAGGCTCATCTGGATCACACCGATCTCTTTGGGAATGATTATATTAGGGCAATTATGCATGATTCCATAGTTATTTGCTTTTTTATTAAGATATCTTGTATAAATCTATAAATATGGATAGTTTTGTGTTATATGATTAAGTCTTTTCCCTCTCTAATTCTTTGAATTTAATAATTTTCAACAAAGAAATATTAAAATAATTTGCTATTAATTAATCATTTGTTAAAAAAGTTTTACAGATGGAAAGAAAGTTCAACTTAGTTTACATCAATAAAAGTTATATGAACCCACATTTAATGACATTTCAAGATGATATGTTCATGAATCAACAACATGGATGTAGCACCTTAATAGATAGTCTCAATAGTTAGATAAATGATTCAATATTTTGTAGTATAGGAAAACTTATTTCAACTGAAATTTTTTAAAATCAATAAAGCAAAATAATACAAAATTTTCAATTAATTTCATTTCATAAAAATATACAGTAAGTATTATTAGTGAGGATTAACCTTTCTTAGATGCTAATCAAATTAGACCTCGAGATTGTTCCTAAATTGTAGATCAATGTTTCATCATAATGTATGATCTTTGTAGAAGTTGAACGTTAAGGTTGGCTGTGCCAATTTACATAAAGATGGTAATTGATATTAATAAAAGCTTAGAAAATTATATGCATAGGCAAACCTAAGGGCATGTTTTACTTTTTTTGCCTCTTGTAAAGATATGAAGGCATGACTATATATCCATGCCTTTTTTTTCCGATCTAATCTATATTAAACAGAACCTTTGTACATGCTTGTTACCAGATATCATCTTATGTGTACTTAGCCAGGTTAATTCGTGAAACAGAGAATTGATTGTGCCATTTATTTTCTTCTAGTTTCTTCCAAGGCTAATTGGCTTGTAAGAATGCTGATTCGAGCAACGAAGTACATGCTTGCTTCTTTTTCCCCCCTTTTTGAAGTATTTGAATTGTTAGATCTCTTAAAATAATTTCAAAATTTCGTATATTACAATGAGATCTAAGCTTCATGCATTTTAAATATTGTTGTTTTTTATAGAAAACCGAAGCCCTTATATCTATTTCTCATCTTTGAAGATTGAAGCTGTTACAAGGAGGATTTTGTGGATAAAATCAACTGATCAAAAAGCTAAAGTACTTGTTTTCTCCAGCTGGAATGATGTCCTTGATGTATTGCAGCATGCACTGGATTCTAATAACATTTCGTATGTTCGGATGAAAGGTGGCAGGTAAATTTTAAGGGACCAATCTTTCCTGTGTTGAATTTTGAAATTATTTGCTTCTGTTTACTGGAAGACAAGGCCTGTATTGAGGATGGGCTAGTCTATGAAAGGATTAGTTATTGTTCATCAACCTTATAAATAATTGACAAGAACAACTTTTCTCTTGCATAAATGTTTTTGACTGTTTACTTTGCTCAAATTGCGTAGCTTTTAGTTTTGAATTCTTTTTTTATTTAAAATGTTCATAATGATTCACCAATATTCCATTGACCTTTTCAGTTCATAATCAAAACCTAATAGATATGCTATTCTTCTGACATATAATGTTGCTATTTTGAAGGTTTTTGTTTCCCCCAAATCATTTTCAACATCAAGTTCTCTTTTAAAAGTTGGTTTGTTTGGTTTCATTTCGGACCATGTTGTAACTCTTCTGGTCTTAACGGCTGTCAGTTGGATTTAATAAATAATGTAAAATCAGATTTGGGTAATCTTGAGAAGATTAAAATCTGGATATTATTTTGCTTGACAATTGCTAAGTCTTTTTAAATCCTGATAAATTATTTGTCTATTTATTTCCGGATTTTAAATTTGTGAGAGAGAGAGAAATTCTTAAATCAGTTAAATGCAATGAATGACTAGATTTAATTAATCCTTGATTGAGCCAATAATGGAATTAAAACGGGTTTAACAAAACAATAGGATTTAAAGTCCCAAAAAATCTGTTTGGTTTAATTGAAGCTAAATCTTAAAGTTTACCTAAATTAGGATGCCATAGAGCTCCTAAGAATATAGAAGATTTCTTTTTGTCCCAAAATGTTTTCCGGCATCAAGAAAAACTCCAACTTCCATTCTTGATTTACTGCTTGTTTTAACTTTTGTTAAACACAGACACTGTTTCTTTTCAGTTCTAAACTTCTCATGAAGCTTTTAGAAGATTTTCTTTTTTTGGCGTAAGCATTTACTTGCATGATGGAACGTTTATCTGGTTTACTAGCTCTTTTGGTCTCCTTCTTATCATGGGTGCAATTTCTTCCTTGTTCTTTTATTTAAAGTTTTAATGTCTTTCTTCTTTAGATCATTTGACAAATTGCATGCCTCAAAAGCAGTTTACTAGTTTCTTGATTATTCAAGAGTAATTAAATAATGTGGCTTGCAACTTATCTAATATCTGCCTAGACTTTTATTGCATTGGCTGAAACTAAGAACAGAAAGTTAACTCACAGGAAATCACAAGCTGCGATTGCTCAATTTAAAGGAGAACAACCCTTGAAATCCAAACACATTCAAGTCCTTCTGATCCTAATCCAGCATGGATCGAACGGGCTGAATCTCCTGGAAGCCCAACATGTCATACTTGTAGAACCTCTCCTAAATCCAGCGATTGAAGCCCAAGCAATTGGCCGTGTTCACAGAATTGGGCAGGAAAAGAAAACATTTGTTCATCGGTTTATAGTAAGTGTGGAATCTTCATCCCTTGTGGTGCTATGTAGGATTTTAAACAATCTAATCTCGAGTTGATCCGATCACAGGTTAATATCTGCTTAAAATCATTTTATTTGATCTCAAGGCAAGCTAGGTTTGAATATTGGCCATCTTGATTAATTCTTAATTCTTGCTAAGCTTGACTCATTCATTTCTTAATTCTTGCCAAGCTTGACTCATTCATTTTAATTCGAGATTGATGCAAGCCAAGATTGATTCGCTTTTGATCCATCTTCTAAGAAACTTCTAATCTAAATTGCGGGCCGCACACCACCTCCTCCACAATTGACGATTGTTGCCCTCCACCACCGATCATTATCATCGTTGAGCTTTACATTGTGTTTATTTTACTTCAAACTAAACAAAAAACTAATCATCTGCATTTATTTTATATTCATCCAAATAGCTCCCAACATTTTAAATACATTGCATTATTTTTACATTATATTTTAGTTTAGTTTGCATTTCTTTTTCAACAAAACAAATAGCTCTTAGATGTTAGTTTTTTTAGAATACAATATTTTTCTATTTATGAAGGCATGATTATATTAGTAAAATGATTGGAGTGATATCTATTGATGATAAGATAATTAAAAATAAATTGAGTTAATTAATTTGAATACTTACCTATTAATTAGTTAGACAAAATTAACATTGGAGAACTAAGAAGGAGAAGAGTAGACCCGAGTATCCTCGGGTTGAAATGATTTGTAAAAAATAGGTATATACCTAAGAAAATTCTCAACGAGAACAAATAGAAAATCAGGATTCATAAAACTATTGATATTATTATTGATGATGGTAAATATAAATATATAGAAAAATATGTTTGTTCATGCATTCATACATATGCATGCATTTACAGTATAATTTGATCTCAAGCTAGTTCAATTCTCTCCTACCCTACATCAATTTGACCCAAACTTCTCTCATTAGTTTGCTCAATGGTTCTAATTCAAATCTTCTAAGCCAAAAATTCATTCTGACTTTAGAGTGATCTTAAAATTTAGTTTTCGTTTGGGACAACTTTTTTACTGCTTTTTATGGCAGCTTTTTCGTACAAAATTTTTACTAAAAAACTGCTTTAAGAAACAGTAAAAAAACCGTCCCAAATGAACCCTTAGTCAAATTCATAGCCCATGTAATGCAGTTGTGAGGCTTATTTTTTATTTTTTATTTTTGGTGATTACAGGTGAAGAACACTGTGGAGGAAAGCATATATAAGCTGAATTTGGGTCGGAGTGGAAATTCCATGGTTGGTACTAAAGCTAATAAAAAACAAGATCAACCTGTGCTCACAGTGCAAGATGTAGAGAGTTTGTTTCCTACTTCTTCCATGGTCGAAAATTCGTCGGAAAATTTTGACGATGTAAATGTAGCTGAACAAAGCCTCAGGCATTTGCCTGCTGCTGCTGCAGCTGGTCTTGCTGCTGAGAGGAGATTCATGACGTCTCATAGCAACCAACAATGAGCTTTAAGGAAGCCATTAATTCTGACTGATTGTTTTGTCTGCATCAGCTCTTCTAATATGAATTAATAATGAAGAGGCAGAAACCTGAGATGAAAGGCCAGTGAGTCCAGTCTGATATGGGATGCTTCCTCTGGTATTTATCTTGTAAATTTAGACAAAGTTAGGTCATTCTTTAGGTATAGAAGTATTTAAATGAATTGTTTATGATTCCTATTTGTTTCAATCTTAGAAATATCATATAATGTCATTATATACCTTTGACATGCATGTTAACAAGTCATATGGTTGTCAGTAAGCCCATTGCCCTATTATAACTTCATTAGCAAGTCATGTTTCGGAACCGTTTGGTAATTCAAATTGTGGTTCAAACTTTCCAACAGCGCTTCGGGTCTTTGATTTGGACTCTTTTGGGCTCAGATTGAGTCGAATTTGGTGTCATTGGGTTCGTATTTCTGAGGCGCTCGGTTTGACTATAAGTTTGTTGAAATTTGAGTTCAGGTGATCCCGGATTGGGATGGTTTTCTTACTGCTTGTTAAAGTAGTTTTATAATACAAAATTTAAATGTTTTTTTTACTAAATATCTGCTTTAGAAAGCAATAAGAAAGGAGTCCCAAACAAATACTTAATCTAAAATAATAGTTGTTTATGGCCTCTCAATAAATTTTCGACTACTCCACACTAACAATTATTTAGGCTTCGTTTGGGACAATTTTTACTGTTTTTTAAAATAACTTTTTAGTATAAAAATTTTTGTAATGAAAAAATTGCTTTAAAAATCAATAATAAAGATGTCGCAAACGTAGCCTTAGAGTCGAGAATCACTTTTTTGGCCTATGTTAAGGCTTTGTTTGGGACGGCTTTTTTTATTGCTTTTTAAAACGGAGTTTTAGTACAAAAATAAAAAAAATTTGTACTAAAACTCCATTTTAGAAAGCAGTAAAAAAGCTGTCCCAAACGAAGCCTAAGTCTTTCTTTGGGACAACTTTTAGTTATTATTATTTTTGTTGCTTTCAAAAAAATTATAATAAAAAATTACTTAAAAAAATTCAAATGAAGTCTAAGATTTATCTCTAAAGAACTTTTTTTCACTCTTTATGCACGGCATAATAATCTGCTAACTTATTTCAGTTGAATAATTTTTTATAAATTTTATTTACTTTTAACATTCTCATTGAATATCATTTTTTTTATGGACATGCTATCAACTTGTATGTAACTATGCCATCAATTTGTAATATATAGATATATGAATATGTATTGTATATAGTAAGACTTGCACTATAATATAGGAAGACTTGCACTATATGAAAAGAATTTGTATAATATCTCAAACTGTCTAATAATATTAATTATCTTTAAATTGCTCAATATGAATAAATTTATCACATAACAGTCCAATATTATTAGACCTTCCATGTATTTTGTTATGGGACTGAAGGTTACAGGAAAAGAAAACCATGGATTGGTTGGTCAAGGTTAGGGGTGTTAATTCGGGTCAACGATTTACTTTTACATCCTCATTAAATATCATTTTTTTATGGACATGCTATCAACTTCTATGTAACTATGCCATCAATTTGTAATCTATAGATATATGAATATGTATTATATATAGTAAGACTTGCACTATATGAAAAGAATATGTATAATATATCAAACTTTCTAATAATATTATTAATCTTTAAATTGCCCAATATGAAGAAATTTATCACATAACAGTCCAATATTATCAGACCTTCCATGTATTTTTGTTATGGGACTGAAGGTTGTAGGAAAAGGAAACCATGGATTGGTTGGTCAAGGTTAGGGGTGTTAATTTGGGTCAACGGGTCGGGTTCAGGTTGAAGTTGACATAAAATTGCTAGTTTTTGGGTCAAAATCGGATCAATCTTGGGTTTTTGAGTCAAATAGGAGTTTTCGTGTCAATTTTGGATCATTTTCGAGTCAATTTCGGGTTGCTGGGTCAACCCGAACCTGACCCGTTTTTGGGTCCGAGTTGACCATAACTCGAATTTTTCCGGGTCGTGTCAAAAATTGACACCCCTAGTCAAGGTTCTTACTTATATAAGTAATAGTTATGTAAAATATTTTAATATCCTTTCTAAATTAAAAAAAAAATTGTTTTTTTTTAATTCAAAACTATCTTCTTTCTTTTAAGTGTAAAATATTTTAATATACTTTAATAGACTATAATTTAATTTTTGCAAAAAAATATATATTTTCATGATTTTATTTTAATTTTCATGTTTTTTTAATGTCATAAATAAGCATAATATCAATAATGAAACTTATTATCTTAATTAAATTACTTGGTGTATATTTTCTTGTGCATAAATAAATAATTATGATTAAAAAATGTATCATTTTAATAGTTAAAATATATATATAATAATTAAGTGAATCTAAAATATTTAAGAGGACATCTTTAAAATAATAATATTTTCTATTTCAATAACAGCCCCACTATCCTTCCCCCGCCTTTAAAACTCCCCCACCGTTACTTTCCACGTAAGTAGCTTACTAAAATACCCATGACAGCGAAACAAATTACCAGCCTATTTTTCGTGCCAGATCCAGCGCCAAGGACATAGCCGTCAATTCATATAAAGGATTCGAAACAGCAAATGTGAAGAACCGGAACGCCTTCGATTCTCGTCTTCTTCCGGTGTCCGTCACGACTCACGAGAACAGTGCGGAGGAGAGAGAGAGAGAGCGCTATAAATCGCTGAACGGCGAATTTCGCGCTCCGCCAATTGCTCTCGCCTCTTCCTCCTTCTCTCTACAGCAGGGGAAGGAAAAAGGGCTCGGTTTCCAAACCCTAACCTATCTATACTTCGTCTGCAAACATCAGGGAAAGCTGATTTGGCTCAGAATTGTGTCAGAGGCGTCAGATCTGTGGCTCTGCTAGCGAGAAGGCCTTCATATGCAGCAATGGCATTGGAATCAGCTTGCTAGATAGCGATTTTTGGCTTTTTCTTGAGAGTTTAGGCGCTTCCGTCGGTGGCCGTTCGCGGGCTCTCAAGCGCCGCCGTTGATATCCTCCGGAAACGAGAGGTGATTTCTGGCTCTTATTTTTATTTTTATTTTTCTGATTGCAGCTGACTTTTTAAGGTGTTTATTTATTGTGGGACGGGACTGTGGGCTAAGTGTAGGATGAGATCCGGGGTCTGTGTTCTGTAGTTTTGCTCGTTGGTTTTGGATTGTGGAAGATGATTTCTGAGCTTGATTTTCTGGAATGTCTTCTTTATTTCTGATATGTTTGGTTTTTGGCTTTTCTTAAACTCATTCCAGCTATTGACGTGTAATATAATGGTTATTTATTCTGAGTCTGAGCTCCATTTGTATTTCATGATTACTGGAATTATAAAAAAAAGTCCTTAGAAATCAATGTAATCAGTAAGGAAGTTTTCTAATTTGTTAATACCGTAATCCCAGCTGCCGCCAACGACCTATAAAGTCTAGGAGTTGGTCTTCGTTTCACCACTATTTTCTTAAGCCAAAAAAATATTTTTTTAATTGATTATATTGATTTCTCTAGCTTATCATCCATATTCAAGAATATTTGTTCAGTTAGTATGCACCAGCAAAGTATTACCAAGAGAAATATTTTTTCATGATTACTGGAATTATCATACTGGTCGTCGATGTAGAATCTTATCGCCTAAATATTTTTTTGCATGCTTGTTTACCTGGGAGATTTAGTCATTTTTTCTATTTCTCTATTGACTTCTAGCCACATGGATGTTATCCTGAACATAAAATTTCTTTCAGTGTGTGAGTCGGGAAGCCTCGATTAGAAAGCAGATGGAGTGAGCCTTGATCTCTCATGGAAGCAAAGAGCTAAAATCCTTGTTAAACTGCTCTTCACATGGAAAAAGAAAACTGGTTTAGAACTTTTTCAGCATACAGAATTTTGCTTCAAATGCATTCTCACACAGGCTTTGTTTATGACTTTTGACAAGCCTGTGCTGTGCTCACCTCAATTTGAAGCCAGTTTTCTTCCAGTGCTGCAGTCTTGCTCAGGTTTAGCTTCTTTCCATTCCGTTGCCCATTTACTTCCTTTCTTTCACTCCCACTGATAATTATCGTTTTTTCTTTGCATATGGAAGGTCAAGGTTTTCCAGTTGGAGATAAGGATTTATCTCAGCTACATATTGGGGACTCTCATTGAACAACTACTACGGAGCGGTTTCATTCAGCAGAGTCACATTTCTTTGATCAGATTGTTCTGGAATGCCCTCCTCAACAAATAAGCCGCCTTGTGTATTGGGATGCTATGGAACGCCAAGGCATTCCATCTTCTTTGGAAATTTCTGTGTCTGTTGAGGGATGGGAAAAGGGAAGCAGACCACGTAGGCTCCGTCGCAAAAGTGTTCAGTTTGATGACCTTTTTTCATCTGATGATAGCCCAAGGTTGATATACATTAATGATCCAAGAAAGACAAATGAGAAATATGAGTTCACTGGGAATGAGATTCGTACCAGTAAATATACTGTCATCACCTTCTTACCTAAAAACCTGTTTATCCAATTTCACAGAGTAGCTTATTTGTACTTCTTAGCCATTGCTGGATTGAATCAGCTTCCTCCCTTGGCAGTTTTTGGTCGCACTGTTTCTCTGTTCCCCCTTCTATTTGTGCTTTCTGTGACTGCTATAAAAGATGGTTATGAAGACTGGAGAAGGCACCGGTCTGATCGCAATGAGAACAACCGTGAGGCTGAAGTTTACCAATTTGGACAATTTAGAATAAAGAAATGGAAAAATATACATGCCGGAGAGGTGGTGAAAATTTTTTGTGATGAAACCATACCTTGTGACATGGTCTTGTTAGGGACAAGTGATCCGAATGGTGTAGCCTATATCCAGACAATGAATTTGGATGGTGAGTCGAATTTAAAGACGAGATATGCACGTCTGGAAACTACTTCCATGTGTGCTGAAGTAGGTTGTTATTCTGGGATAATCAGATGTGAGCAGCCTAATAGGAATATTTATGAATTTACAGCCAACATGGAGTACAATGGACACAAGATCTCACTTGGCCAGTCAAACATTGTGTTGAGGGGCTGCCAGCTTAAGAACACTGCCTGGATTATTGGGGTTGTTGTGTATGCTGGACAGGAAACAAAAGCAATGTTGAACAGTGCTATCTCACCTTCCAAAAGGAGCAAACTTGAAAGCTATATGAACAGGGAAACTCTGTGGTTATCAGTTTTTCTTTTTGGCATGTGTGCAGTTGTGGCATTAGGTATGGGATTATGGCTTAAAGAGCACGAGCATCAGCTAGACTCTCTACCTTACTATCGAAGGAGATACATCACTAATGTGAGAGGAAATGGAAAATATTACAAGTTTTATGGGATCCCTATGGAAATATTTTTTTCTTTTTTAAGCTCTGTCATAGTCTTTCAAATAATGATACCTATATCTCTCTATATATCAATGGAGCTTGTCCGGTTGGGGCAGTCTTATTTCATGATTGAGGATGCACAAATGTATGATAATAGTTCAGGCTCTAGGTTTCAGTGCAGATCATTGAACATTAATGAGGATTTGGGCCAAATAAGATACATATTTTCTGACAAGACAGGTACTTTGACTGAGAACAAGATGGAATTCCAAAGGGCTAGCGTGTATGGAAAGGACTATGGAACCTCCTTAAAAACAACTGGCAGTCCAGTGATGCGTGAACGCTTTTCTGGTTGGTTGACATTCATCTCCATTTGTTCTTCTATTTTGCTCATTGTAACATAATTTGCACGTTAGTGGTAATTTTGGAACAATATGGTGTTTGGGTGTACTTTCATTTTCATTGCATATCCTTTCACCATGTGCTTTTGCTATCTTATTATTATTATGTTAAATTTCCATAGTTACATACCAACTCATGAATATGAATATGCCAATGTAGTTTCAATCATTTCTAATGTGACAACCAACTTCCTAGAGTTTTTGTACCTTGTTTAAAAAAAAACAAGAAGTAATTATCTTTATAAGAGATATCGTCATCATCATCATCATTAGATGTACCCCAATTATTTAGGGTCAACATTATGAATACTCATTTTCATTTGTTTTTTGTCGAGTGTTGTCTAAGGTGTTAAAATCATTATTCGCGAATCATTTTAAGCAAATACTATTTATGTAATCTAGGTCTACTCATTTTCATTTTTGATTTTTTGATACTAATTTTATCAACACATCTATCAACCACATTTTGTTGTGGATGTTCAAACCACATAAATCTATTTTCACTCACTTTATATCAATAGATGTTGCTTTAATATTTCATCTGATATAATAATTCATTAATTTATCATTCATAGTTTGTTGCACATTCATCTTAACATTTTCATTTTTGTCACTCTCAATTTTGATATCAATGATTTTTTAGGGCCTAACATTCAAATCCATATGGCATCATCAACCTAATTTCAATTTAATTAAGTTTTCATCTAAATATCCATGATGTACTTTTATCAACCAAAATTCTCGAGGAACTTCTCTATTTAACCATCAAGCCTTTATTCTAAAAGTTATTTTCTCCATGATATATCTAGTTATGTATAATAGTTCCAGGATGCTTAAATCTATCACAAATAGGTATAAAACCTTATCTCCTAATTATATTGAATAAAAACTGTTAACACCGCACGCATCTATATTATACATCATATGCTCAATATTTGTTCTACGAATTATAAGGCCTCTATCCTCTAAGTTTTTTTTTTTTCATTATTCTAGATTTTCATTGGTCATTGGATGTCTCACTACTTAGAATTATATCTTCTAAAAGAAATACACCAATATTTTGCTTTGAATATCTTTTGTAAGCATTTCTATGACCAATACAAAAGTATGCAGACTCAATGTTAATCTTTGATATAAATGTATTGGAATTGAAAACTCTGTAGCCACTCTATAACTATTTCTATTTCTAATGCTCTTTATTTTTGTGACATTTGAGATATAAAATTATCAACATGACTACACATCACAAAGTTAACTTGGTATTTGTAAGGTAGAATATTTTGACACATCCATATGATATTCGATGCATTAGGCAAGTAAAAAAGTGGATATATTTATTTTGATCAATTAGGAAAAAAAAACTCAAGTCCTCATATGTGAGAGCCCTAGAACTTTCTTCTTAGAGTAGATTGATTTTTTCATTTAATAATATTTTTATTGATATGGAATCGAGGTTTGTTTATTTTGATCTTGTTTGAGATTTCATATGGTCGCAAGCTCGTATAGTTGATTTCATAGTCTGATCAGTAAAGCATTCTTGATTAAAGAGGTCACTTTGAATTTTTTAAGGCTATTTGTGATGCGAACATCCAACCGTCCATGCCTATCCGAGGAGGAGTTGAAGATCGACGGCCGAGATCCCTTCAATTTATCTTATTTTATTAATTGTAATTTTTATGATTTTGGGTAAAGAAGTCAGAATTTCTTTCAGATTTTGAAGAAGAGATTCTCTCCCTTGCAAAGCCCCCCTACCCGTTTTACATCAATTTGGTTTGCAAGACATAGGTTGTGTGCTTGATAAGGATTGGTTGATCTTATCAAGTTCTCATGTTTTCATAATATAATTTATCGAGATATCAACCCCAGGTTATCTAGAAGGCTTGGTTGTGACATGTGGACACCCTCGCTTGCAATCATAATTTATCTTATATGCGGAGCTCTCTAAAAACCTAAAGTTTTAGGGTGTTCACTTGGTCAATGGGATCTTGTTAGTGGAATCCCAAAGGTTATTATTATTGTTTTGTTTAAAATAAAGTCAAGTAGTAAAATATTGTTTTATTAGTTTGCTTACATATGGCAATACTGACTTAGCAAAGGTGGAGTTTCTTGAATTTTTCATGCTATATTCTTCATATAAGGCAAACAAATTTTAGTTGACTTCTTGTGTAGCCCTTTGTTAGTATTCTATTACAAATAATTTATGTTCTTGATCGCGAGCATGAGAGCTACAAAATTTTATGCCTTGAGGTAGATTGAATTTTCTTTCCTTTTAAAACTAGATTTCCTGCCATCCTGAATCAAGCCTTATCTAGATCCATGGTTTGAAATTTTTTATGATAGGATGCCCCTAAAAGTTAATCACCTCTCCTTATTAGGAGAGCACTCTTGATTTAAGAGGGTGCTCAACTATGAATTTTACAGTTTTCTGCTATGCATGACTTTGGAAACATGTGCTTTGAAAGATTGGTTAACCCTACCAAGGTCTCTTGGTCCTATAATTATGGGCTATTGAGTGATTAGGCTTATTTGGGAGCTTTGGTTGTGACATAAAGAGTTCTTTGCTATTAAACATGGGTTACTTCATCCAAAGAGCGCAGAAAGAAGCAAGGGTGCTTTTAGAGTGGGTCTTAGATGGTTCAAGAGATTGCAACTTGCTGCTTTTTCTATGGACTGATGATTATGACCTTGATGCTCCCTGTGTTGGAAGCATTGGGTTGATTGAGGTGAAGTTTAATATCTTATCAGATATTTTCATGTGTTAGAAGAGTTTTTTAGAGGAATCTACGATTTTCACAATGGAAAGCTTTCACTATGGGTTGTAAAAATCAGGACCTTAATCCCATTTATTTGAACATTTTAGACATTATGTTGACTTTATGTGAGGTTTGCAGTAGCTCATTGGGTAATAAACATGATTATTAGAGCAAAGATTAAGCCAGCTCTAAGAATTTTAGCAATATGGAGGCTTGACTTTAGTGTCTAGTGTGCTAAATTAGGTTCTTAATTTGATCAAATCATGTTTATGGCGCAAGCCTTGATGTGGTTGAATCTTTAAGCAGCAACTTGCCAAAACTTTGTGCTGAAATAGAATTCACAGTTTATAGCCTTGAAGATACTTCTCAGTAGGAAATCCTGACTTTGTATTATTTGGGACTTTGGCCTCCCGGGATAAGTTTTTTCCCTCTTAGACTAAAAGTGCAGTGCAGTGACACTTTGCCTCGGACATTTCTTGAGGCAACTAATACCTCTTCATGCATTAGCAATGCCCATAGGGAGGATTGGTGATATGTCTTGTCTTACACTAACTGTAAAGGTAGTTATATGTCAAGATTTTCAAAGCAATTTGGCTCAAGGTGTATTGATATGTTTTTGTAGACAAGTGCATTGAACCACTAGAGGTCAATATTGGTTAACCATGAAGTCTAGAGGATTAGATACCTATTTTAATTTTTTAAAAAATGTATTCTCATGGGATTTCCCCACTATTTTTATGAAAATTTCAATCAAATTTAAGCATTTCTCAAAATACATAAAATATTATTTATATAAAGTGCCCCCATTCAAATTAATATTCATATTTAGGCATTTTGTAGATTTTTTTTAGTTTAAAATATCTTAATAATGCATTTTCTTAAAAAAATAAATATTCAAAATATTTTGTAATTTAAAATTTATCAATGGATGTTTAGGCATGTGCGCGCGAGTGCGTAAACATATATGCATACATATCCCATGTTAATTTTTAACTTTCCTTTGATATTTATGCACTTTTTAATTAGTTTGAATGCAATTACATTTCTCTTTATGATCTTACTACATGTTAATTTCTAGTGATGCCATGTGGTGCTTCATGATAGGAACAATAGCAACACAACATCAACATCAAGCCTTTATCCCACTACATGGGGTCGGCTACATGCATTGAATTAATTTTTCTCCTTTGTGTCCAATTAAGAGTCAAATTCTTATTTAAATCTAATTAAAAAAAAAATCTTTTATAATACTTTCTAACCAAATCTTTTAGCTCTACCTCTACTTTTCTTAACATAGGACAAATCTAATACATCTATTCTCCTAACTAGGTCATCAGAAGGCCAACGTTTTATGTGACCAAATCATCTAAGGTGACTATCTCTAATCTTATCTCGCACTAGAGCCACTCCAACATTTTCGCATATATACTCATTTCGTATTTTATCTCTAAGTAAGCCACTCATCAACCTTAACATCGCACCCATGCATTTGTACAATTGAAGAAAACTATGACAAGTGTCCTTGTATTAGCGCTACCATATTTCAATCAGCCTTTTGTTGTGGGGACTGATGCATTAAGCTATGGGTTGGGAGCAGTTCTCATGCAGAGTTAAAGACCTATAACTTATTTCAGACAGATGTTGACCAATAAGGCCAGGCTAAAATTAGTGTATGAAAGGGAGCGGATTGCGATAATGCTGGCAATATAGAAGTGGCGACCTTATCTATTGGGTATGAGTGATTATTTTGTGCGGACACCAGACGGGAGAACGTCAGGTTTACGCTTGGTGCCTAGCGTCGGTACTGCATTCGGTACCGAGCGCGGTACACTTTTGGGTAACTTGGGGCATTTTGGTTGGTCTCTGGACGACGTTCGGACTCCGCACAGAATAAAACTTCGTTGGGGAGACACTTCATAGTCAGGACCGACTAGAAGAGTTTGAAGTTCCTGTTATAGTAGAGGATGGTGGCAGAGGAGCATCAACAGTGGTTTTTCAAGTTGTTGGGTTATGACTTTGAGATCCAGTTGTGGGCTCCGAAAATTCGGCCCCGGCCTCCCCGCCGCTGCTTTTTTTTTTATTTGGCGAGGGAGTTTTAACGAACTAAGTTCTGAGGTAAATTTTGGAAGGCAGATGGGTTTGTAGATAAGACACTACCCAGAGATTTCGCCCTTATTTTGCGAGGACTTTATGATCT